CAACTCGAGGGGTGGAGTAGCTATATACGTTAAGGATAATATGTATGTCAAATATATGAATCAGCTGGTTGTCGTTGGTCTAGAGGCGATATTGGAATATGTTAAATGCAAAACCCGTGATAATTAATTAGTACTGTCAGTGAAGCGAGTGAAGCGTTTTGAGAACATTGATCAGTCACTTGGAAACGCATTTCATATGGATATGCACACTGTAATTGCAGGTAAAAAGTAATATAGGAATGCTGTATTAAATATACAATACGTGAATATTTTCAAATGGTGCATGGTCTTTCACAAATTATTAGAGAACCTACGAGAATCACCCAAAAGTCCGGTGACAGACGTTGATAGTGTACGGGACTGGGGTGTACTTGCAGTTTGTCGTGACCACTGTCCATTTTTTGTAAGCATAAAAGAATAATCTCTACATATAATTCCTTTAAACATACTCTGTAAAATTATTATTATTGTTCTGTAGCAATTTCGTGTGTGTGTGTGTGTGTGTGAGTGAGAGAGAGAGAGAGAGAGAGAGAGAGGGAGAGAGAGAGAGAGTGTGTGTGTGTAAGTGTGTAAGTGTGTGTGTGTCCGGACTAATGCCGCTTGTATAGTGCTAGCCTACTGAGATACCACGTCGCAGTTATAACACGTATACCCGACTTAGACACAGTATACCGCTTCCGATCCTTGTGTTAGCCCCTTTATGCCGAGCAGTAGACGGGGTAACAACAGATACTATCTTTTAACGACTTTTGGTATGACGCGGCTGGGGGTATCTTACCCCGGACCTTCCGTTCTGCGCGCACTTTCACTTAATCAAGACATTAATTAGATCTACAATTGTACTAAAAAAACAACAACAATAATAATTCCTTCTTAGTTATCGTTTTTCTTGTATTGAAAAAATTGGCCTACTCAAATTCAATTTTTTTACCCTTCAAACTTTTTATAAATTAGATTTCAACCAAGCGATGCTTGTATCACACGGCGCCCGAGTTGCGAATAATCGAAACTTACTTTGTGGAATTGTCTCAAGTCAATGTTTGTTGAAAAGGGCCTTTTTATATAACATTGTTTTGGGGAAAATATCTAACTAAATCTATCTTTTTAGTCTTTTAGGGATTTGTATGTGGGTAATTATTATGTTATACTTGTTAACCTAGTGGGAAGTATATCAAACCACGTGTGGCATGTTGCCTCGTGAATATGGAAAGTCTGTTACTTGTACTAATATGTATGTATCTTGCACGCCTAGTACAATCTGCCACTTTGGACTTTCATCCATCATTAATCAGACCAACTGTGATGTATCTCATTTGCTGTTTAAAGCTGCGTTGAAGTCAACTCACTCACTCGTGTGTGTGGTTCTTTCAAGTCAGGAAGCGTATAATCATATTTGTAAAATTCTTGGTGACATTTTGTGAACAACAATTATGTATAGGGTTCTCACATTTATATCTATAACATACTTGGCAAAGCAGAAAAACATTATGTTTAAAAATAGTTAATATCATTATTTTATCATGTACTTTATTTTAATGACTAAGATAAAGCTAGATTATCCTATTAATATAACAATCGATTGTTTAAGAAATGAAATATCAAACAGTTGTATTCACGTTATGTAATGCAATATGATGACATGTTTGTTTGTTGTTTAACGCCACACTTAGCAATATTCCATCTACATTACAGCGGTCTGTAAATAATCGATACTAATTCTAGTTTTAGAAACTAGTTTTGATGTGATGTAATATTAACATTTGTACAAGCACTATTTACTAACACGCTGTCAGAGTACATTCACAATGTGCTTGAACACGCGTGTGCAATTAAACAAGAAGCTGGTTGCAACATTCACGCAAGTCATAGCTTGTAGCCTAGGAAACAAATTATGATGGATGTATCCCTGTCGCTCCAATCTAACACGTGACATAGTATTGTCATTATTTCCACCTTGTCTGATTGGTCTGTAATTACTAGTGCCACTCAGCCTTTAACTGTGCGGATAGGGCGAGTGGAATTAAAAGAGTCTTGCTGACTAATCCCGGTGTGTCTATCTGTAGAGATCAGTAACCTCCAGCGTTCAGTTGTACGTGATCAGGTTAGTTACATTTAAACCTTTTCATCTGACCAGACTTGAGATATTCATCTGTAGACACCAGTGACTATCAGCATTTATTTGTGAGAGATTAGAGTTGTTGGACTAAAACCGTTTTCACCTGTTCACTGACAGGTTTGATTTATTCATCTGTAGACACCAGCGACTATCAGTGATATTTCTGTTGCTGGACTAAAACCGTTTTCACATGTTCAGGTTTGACATATTCATCTGTAGACACCAGTGACTATCAGTGATATTTCTGTTGTTGGACTTAAACCGTTTTCACATGTTCAGGTTTGACATATTCATCTGTAGACACCAGCTACTATCAGTGATATTTCTGAGTAATCAGGTCAGTTGGGTTGAAACCTTTTCATGTGTCCAGACTTGATATATTCATCTGTAAATCCAAATGACTATCATGATCAGTGTTCAATTGTGCGTGATCAGGTTCGCCTGACCTGGTTCGACTCTCACTTAAGAGTAATCAGTTAAGTTTGATTGGGAAATGTTAATTTAAATCTAAGAATATTTCATAAACAAGATGAATTTCCCAACCTCTTCAACGCATTGATTCATGCTATATTTAGTTCACATTCAATATGAATCGAGAGGATTCGGTCTGGTTATTGGTAATTCCTTCATGCATTTCATAACCTTAGACACGTGAAGATTAACACATGGTTGCCGTAAATGGCGACTGTGCTAACCTTCATCTACATAATCACTATAAACCATACATTTCACGATCAGGGCCCGTCATACATCGTGGATTGGTTTGAAATAACTAATCTCCATTTGTTGATTGTATACATCAACTGTGCAATGGGCATGCATCCGTATTGTTGCTTTCAAAGCATATGCTCAGTATGTAGAGACGTAAGTTGGCAGGGATATATACGATTCTCCAAGATACTTATTTTGGATGAAACCATTTCCATATCATGATATTTACAAGATAACTGATATTATCAAGTGAGTGAGTGAGTATGGTTTAACGCCGCTTTTAGCAATATTCCAGCAATATCACGGCGGGGGACACCAGAAATGGGCTTCACACATTGTACCCATGTCGGGAATCGAACCCGGGTCTTCGGCGTGACGAGCGAACGCTTTAACCACTAGGCTACCCCAGAGCCCCGATATTATTTAGGTTTTCTGTAGTTTGAAAAATATTATCTGTCAAATATTAGGCTACCATTTATTGGAGTTATTTAAACTAAATGCTATCAATGATTGTAGGTAAGACGGCGCCGATCAACACAGATACGCATACAGTGATGTCAAAGGTTTGTTTACGAGTTTCCTTCACTGAAATAATTTAGAGATGCTTCCCGTCTTTAAGCGCAGTGTAAGATGATCATAAGACAACATGTAATATCACTGAGAGGATCGTGTTGGAGGTTAGGTGAGGTAAAATGGTTTTTAACGTCGCGTCAAAGATTATTGCACTTATATAGCGACGTGCATGCGTGTGTGTGTTAGGCTGCTTGTACTAGTCCGGGCTGATGCCGATTTATAGTGCTAGCCCACTGAGATACCATGCCGCAGTTTTACATGAATACTCCACTCAGACATAGTATACTGATTCCGAGCCGACTTGTCCTTGTTTTAATCCCTTAATGCCGAGCGCCAGACAGGGAAACAAAAAGTACCATCTTTTAACGCCTTTTGGTATGACGCGGCCGGGGATCTAACCCTGGACCTTCCGCTCTCCGGGCGGACGCTCTACCACTAGACCACGGAGTCGGTCGGATCGTGCTGGACGTTGACTAAGGTCTGGTTTTTAAATTGCTTGATTTACGAATTGTATTTCCTAGAAACATAAGGTAAGTGGTCGATTTATAAATACAAATACTAATTAAAAAAGTAATAATTCTGTGATCAAAAGATTAACGTTGGGAGGAAATAAAGTGGAAAATATATGTAAAGATAATCTCTTTTTAGCATTCAACTTTCCTGGCATTACTGGAATTTTTTAGCAGACTCGGCGTAGGAGTAAGAAAGGAAAACAGACTTGTCGATCACCCATTTGGATTTGGTTGGTTCGCGGATTCGTAATTACCAAGTAATAAATAAAGCCCTAAATGCTTTTTAATTATGGCTAAACATGCTGACCCTATTAATTTCTTATGTTTCAGGCACGGGCATGTCTCCTTAAGAACATATTGCTGATAGCAAACCTCACTTCAGTGACTCTGGGTATTACAATAGGAACACTATGTCGTCCTCTGAACCTCTCTTCTGATGTGGTCTTCCTCATCACTTTTCCAGGGGAGATATTTTTAAGATTGTTGAAGATGCTCATTCTGCCCCTGATGGTGACAAGCCTTGTTACTGGTAATAAATTATTTCTTTTAGTTTTCAGACGCCCCTCCCCACTTCTGCCACCAAGAACCGATAATGTTGACATTCTCATAGATATGTTTTCAGAGAGTAGATATAAAACGTAAATAACACAGAATAACACGTCTCAATTATCAAACGGCACTGATTCCATTAGGGATTAAAAGACAAACTGGCGATTTTTTTAATATAAATTGATCACTGAAAAACAGTGATGACACCAGTTGTTCGAGAAAAGGGTCGAAAATAATGGGCCATGATTGTTTTTGAATTGGCACGACCTTTCTTTTATTCTGAATTCACTTCTCTTTAGCTATGATCATGCCGATAGTGATGCTGTTCATAGTTGGGGTATAGAGACTTGAACTGTTAAAAACATGAAAAATATGAACACTGTAAATGTAAAGAGTGAAAAAAACAGACCCTCTGTAATCATTGTGTCAAAACAGCCATTTGTGACTATGATTTACTGAACCCTAGAACCACAATGTCCAGATGATCATACAACTGAAGACATGTCACGTTTCGACGATTACTTGTGACAGGTCTTGCAAATCTTAACGGAAAAGCTGCAGGTAGGATCGGCATGATCGCTATCGGTTACTACATCTTCACCACCATTGTTGCCACCGTTGTCGGCATCATCCTCGTCATCTCAATCAGACCAGGTGATGTTATCAGCAATGGCGCCATCACAGTCAAGTCCTTAGACGCTACTCCATCGCAATCTACCAGAGATGTGTTCCTGGACTTAGCAAGGTTTGCACTCTGCTTCTACTGTTACTGCTACTGATAATAATAACAAAGGCCACACAAAGCGCAACTCCACATCATATAAACACATGCTCTAAACCGAGCTCCAGGCAGTGACTGCACAATGACTCAACTAAACAACTAAACATGAGACTAGCCACCACATTCACACAGTGGTTGTAAAAGTCACATGACTTAGAAGCTCTGCCCATCGGAAAAGGTCAGAAGCAAACGCCTTAAAGACACGAGATGATAGGATAGGATAGGATAGGATCGGTTTTCATTCCACAGGCCCATAGTACAATTCAATTTTCAATCAAATTTAAATCACATTACTCACTAATTCTCAAGTCAGTAGCTATGTGTCCATGTGTGCCTAATTCAATCATATGTCTTTGAGAGCTGCATCTAAATTGTGCCAAGCCTATTCAACATCTTTTAAAATTGATATCAAACAAATATTGTGAATTGTATATTTCAATAAGCTTGTAATAATTACATTTTTGCGAACTTAAAACCAGACCTCTGCTATATTAAAAAGAATTAATTTTAATTTTTGCATGAAATATTTTCCAAAAAAAGTATATGAAAAATCAGCGAAAGTGTTTAAACTATGTAAGATACTCATCAACATCTTTTTTTTACCTGGATAATCTGCATGTGAAAGCAACCCCATATATAGACTGACTCTTATACATTATATCCCCTTTATGTTTATTCCTCAAATGGGCGCCAAACGTGTTTTATGCTTTATGTCTACTAAGACACAACGATCCCCAACCTCTCCCTGCCCCCATCTGTCTCTCTGTCTCTCTCTGTGTCTCTCTCTCTCTCTCTTACACACACACACACACACACACACACACACACACACACACACACACACACACTTCAATTTATTCCTATTGTACTATCATGTAGAAATGAAGTTACCTACATGCATGGCCAATTAACCGTTTATGACAGTCATATTGATTATATATGTACATTAGCTTAACGAATATTGAATTACATATTAAATATCAATTGTATAATCATATTACCGATAATAAAAGCATCGGATATAAACGATATGATACGGTTTGCGTGAACAAGATAAAAGTGACAAGATAATTAAATATATGTGCCGTAATTACAATTTGACATTGCGTCGGCAATATTGCTGCCACATAGCCCTTTACTGTCATTATATTATTATAAAGAATATTACTTTGATGTACTGCAATCATATACATAATGGATTTCCCGAAACATACATAATTCATTACAACTTCACTGGAAAAAATCTGTGACTCATAGTTTTCGTTCCCTTAATGGGATTGCAAAATAAAAACAATGTATTTCATGAGGAAAGCATTATTCCTCTTGTAAGTGGCGAATACAGATTTTTAGTCGTTATGTCATTATCACGTTTTTCATGATCTGATAAGCAAAGTAAGTATCATTTGTTGCACCATTACCACTAAATATATTTTTGAAAAAATCTTACAATTTATAAACATCAATATCATATTTATACTCATGGACTTAACGTTCCAAGGGTTCCCCAAAATTGTTTCAACGACTTAAACCTCTCGTTCGATGGGGAAAAGTGCATTCAGCGGTCTCATGAAAGTAATTTGCAAAGAGGCAAAGTTGACAACTGTGTACACATATCACTATCTACACGCCATTGCAGTCACTCTTTTATCTGGGGTAGAAAATCGGGAGATTTGCAAAAATAACTGGTCACAAAAATGATCAAAGTCTCAAGTCATATTCCACTGAAGTCAGCATTCGCTAATTACAATGTCAGGCAATCGGAAACTTCTGTCATGGGAATATTTGAAATGACTAATTCTGTTGTAACTGTCAACAACTTCTTCGGCAATAATACTTAGGCTTAAAGTGTCTGTCCGCAATTAACACTTTGTCAGTGAAAACGAGTCAATTCTAAGGGAGGTAAGGTTTCAAATGAATTTGCAGTCGTTGAATGACAATAACATTCGGCTTAAAGTGTCTGTCCGCAATGACCACTTTGTCAGTGAAAACCGAGTCAATTCTAAGGGAGGTAAGGTTTCAAATGAATTTGCAGTCGTTGAATGACAATAACATTCGGCAAAAGTAACAAACGTAACTATTTATCTTCTGATTCAAAACACGAATCTTGAATATATTGATAATGAATATGAAGGCATGAATATATACTAGTTCTACGTATACTGCTTGTAAATACCATATTATGAGTGTTCAGTTTTAAATAGATCTCTTCTAACAAATTACAACAAATTCTAACAATTTCTAACAAATTACATTTCTTGTTTACGTTGGGAAACTAAAGCGATGTGATAACTATTTTTCTAACATTAGAAGCTCAAATTCTAATTCAGTAAGAAATATTATCACTTAACGCATTTTCTTATAGTTTCTAAGCCATGTGAAGATGAAAGGAGGGGACTTCATAGGTGCCCTTCCATCACACACAACGACCAGTATCAGTACAGGAAGGGCGATACTGGTGTTTTTGTCCCACCTGGCATATAAAGCGTGGGGTACAGTCATCATCTGGTCCGTCTGTCCGCCCGTCCGTCCGTCCGTATTTCGTTTCCGGAGCATAACTTGAAAACCGTGAAAGATTTTTCATCCAAACTTTGTACATGTATTAACCAGGCTCTAAAGTTCAGTCGTTTACTATTGTGGGGGCCGGAGCAACTTTCCATCTTCTGATGACTCTTGTTCACTAAATTCAGTGTTGTAAGTTTTCATTATTTTTTTAATATACTGCATATTGGACCAAATCCGAGGCCCATTGTTGTGGGTATCTAGAATCATATAGATGGTAAATCGCATATTATGTTTACTGCATGTAATAGTTTGTGTCTTTGAAGTGTTGGCGTCAGAAGAATACTGATGTGTGGAGCTGACGAATCTTGTATAATTCACAAACACTGTGTGAACATGGTGGATATTCTAATGTTTACATTTAGAGGTTGGCGGGTCCAACTTGACATTTTCATTATACTCTGAATCATCTGAATTAAATCCCGGAACTCAATAGAACGTACGGATCATTATTGCTTTTGGCGTATCTTATTAGTTAGTTTCTTTAAAGTTGATAACGGCACCTGCCATCACTTGATCAAGGACGTAAACACGAAAGGTCGGCGGTTCGGTCCTGTACAATCATTGCCAGGGGATCGGTTTTGGCTGATTGTCCAGGTTACCAGGATGTATGTTCCACGTACATTTTAGTAGGTTGGTTGGTTGGTTGGTTGTTTTACGCCGCACTCAGCGATATTCCAGCTATATGCCGGCGGACATTTTAGTAGGCTAAGCATTCTTACCTTCATAGACAGTAAACAGTACATTAATGTTGATTCAACTGTTGTTCCAATAATACATGCTTGATTGCTTGTCAGTCTTGTGCGGAATATGTTCGATTTAAATTATGTAATACCAACTTTGCTTTTTAACGTGTATCAGTGCAATAGTTGGCATTGCTCTTATTATATAGAGAATGTATCAGTTTCGTACACGGCACTTATTACACAGGTACGTGAGGCACACTGTACCCTGGCTCCGCAATTGTTGTGAAGAGTTGCGTACAATCCCTTTCTGGCCGTAAGACCCGTGAAGTTTCTTGGGGTAGAATAGGTCACTGGATAGTCTGGTCCAGACTCGATTATTTAACAGACGGCCGTCATATAGCTGGAATATTGCTGAGTGCGGCGTTAAACAACAAACAAACAAAACAAAATGTTGGCCCTAAGCTGCTTGATCTTTCGGCACAATACCTGTGTTCGCGGGGTTTGAGAAACATTTTCCCCATTTGCTCCCAAATGAACATGTCACAATGTGATATAACTGAAATATTGCTACAAGCAGCACTGAAACCAAGTTACTCACTGACTCACTGATTAAAACTCTTTGACCTGGACTGCAACTTGGCACCAGTCTGTGATGGATTGTTCCTCTTTAATGACATATCCAACGCTTATAGAATATATGTGTTTACGAGAAGCAAATATGTATGTTTCTTTAATGCCCAACGATTGCTGAGAAACATTTATTTGTTTCACTTCGAACCCAGAAATATCCAGCCATATGACGATGTCATTGATATCGAATGACAGTGTTGTACAATGGACAGCACACATCTGGTTTACACAACCCTGTGTTTATTAGGTAAACCCTTCACAAGACAAAATGCTAGGGGTCTAACACTTAACCTTGAGTGAACAGTTACAAACAGTGATAAGGTATTTTTCTTTTCAAGGAATATCTTCCCTGAAAACATAGTACAAGCAACGTTTGAAACGAGTGGTACCGTGTATGTGAAGATGGACAAACCAGTGGACAGGCGCACTGTTATCCAAAAAAATGGAAACAGATCCAGCAATAATGATACAGATCCAAACACAGATGGACGATGGACACCAACGTCTGTCTACAGGCCAGGAATGAACACGTTAGGTAAGATAATACTTTGTGCTTCATTTTCATATGAAGTACAATATATGATTGATAATAATAATGGAAACGAAAAGAGGCTTGACTTGGGGGCCCAACATAACAGTAAGATATACTTGGTTGTACAACACACATTATGCACCCATCTGGCATTCAAACCATTATTTTCCTCGCGATCTATCAAACACCTATGTGGTCTTTCTGTTGACGTGTGAGAAAATGTTGTCATACTAATGAATGATATTAAACTGCGGCAATTGTAGGCATGCTTTAGCTAATGTGTTAGCCAGTAGTAAATTATTTACAGAAAACTGCGTATAGAATCCTGATAACTGAATGATGCAATTCGCTTTTTCAAAAGTAATTTCATGAGCCTCGTAACGGTCGAGAGAAGAAAATTCTCATGAAACATGATAATTAAGTACTACAAATAATAATTATTTCATTTTGTTAATTTCGTGGCTCGAGTACTCTCTTCCCAAAGTCCAGTACTCTCTTCCCAAAGTCCAGTACTGACTTACCAAAGTCCAGACTCAAACCTAGTCGCTCACGTCCAAGTCTATTCTGCCAATTCTTGTACCGATAGGTTTTAGTTTGAGAGAAGCATTTTGTATCGTATCATCGTGTTTGGATCAGATGTATTTGTTTATCTGGATTTGGTCATATATAAACCAAGACGGCACAATGCGGCGACATTGCGTAAACACCATCATCGGTTATCCAGTGTATTATATCTTCGTTTAATATCTCTCTCTCACTTGACACCAACTTATCACTAAATTGCACCAGCTCGTGAGTTTGAAATTAACATGCATCTTCTGTACGCTCTGCTTTCAAACGTCTGGTGCGACGATGCTCTCGATAAAGTTCATATAGTTCATCAGATGACTTTTATAAAAGCACTTATAACACATTTCTTTCCGAGTACTTAGACAGGAGAGAGATTTCCTCTCGTACACACTTATTTATGATTCTCTTGATTCTTTTACCTTTGAGAGATATTTATAATACCTACTACCTCGCCAACAGGTATATTATGCTTCTTCGTAATTTTTGGAGTTATCCTTGGTCGACATGGAGAAAAGGGAAAGATCGTGTTGCAGTTCTTCGTAACTCTGAATGATATAACTATCCAAATGGTATGGATAGTAATGTGGTGAGTATCGTAATGATGTGTTATTCAGAGTCGTATTTATAAGATTCTCAAGTAAATATCTAGGCAATATCTTTAATTCAATGGTCGAGAACATATGGTAGCTACAAACACATTGCTGTCACTTTTTTTATGTGAAATTCATTCTTTATCTGCAGTCACTAATCAAACTGTTGTCGATTGTACGATTGTACGATTCCGACTAAATCATGAGCATGTGTTTATGAATCACTATCAAATAGTGATGATGCCAGGTGTTTGCGAAAAGGTGATTGTATCCTTCCCCATCGGTGGCACCGTCTAAAACACATGCAAAGGCAAGTCAATTGTTCACCTAAAAAACTATTAAAAGAATAGTGCTTTACCATCATGGTGCCTAGCCGTCAGCTGGTTTTGTATACAGCTCAGTGCAACAATGTGATGACGTCGCGGTTTCAAAAACGTATACATTGTATCGAAAGTGTTACAGTGACCGCCTCCGTGGTCTAGTGGTAGAGCGTCCACCCGGAGAGCGGAAGGTCCAGAGTTCGATCCCCGGCCACGTCATACCAAAAGACGTTAAAAGATGGTACTTGTTGTTACCCTGTCTGGCGCTCGGCATACTGGTCGGCTCGGAGTCAGTATGCTGTGTCTGAGTGGGGTAATCATGTTAAACTGCGGCATGGTATCTCAGTGGGCTAGCACTATAAATCGGCATCAGTCCGGAATAGTACAAGCAGCCTAACACACACACACACACACACACACACACACACACACACACACACACGTGCAAGCACGTCGCTATATAAGTGCAATAATCTTGGTCGCGACGTTAAACCCAATTTCACCTCAACGTTCTTATTTCTACACACGTGACCATATTGTATAACTCAACTGGAGTTGATTGTTTCTCGAAAAGTATCTAAATTCAAATGTGTATGCACTACCTAGCCATCGATGAAAGTGTCGGTATTCTAAGTTTGTTATTTATTTTACATTAACTGTGATATTGAAGCACTCGAAATGTGTCGAAAGTAAAGTCTAGCAAGAGCCCTTGTTTGAAATCTAGAATCTCCAATAATTTACATCATTGGAAAGTACACATCCTAACGATGATATAAATATAACATAGAAATATAACATTTATGTGTACATTCATTGCGAATTGTCCGCGAGTTTAATTTACCGATAAATAATCCCGTTGAAATTGTCAGTGTAATTGACGTCGAAATATAATTGACGAAAGTGATCGTGGTTAGTTCATGCGCAGACTGTTTTCAAAGAAATCCCGTATACGTCCATATATGTTTCAGTGTCTGTGCTTTTCATTAGTGATAAAAACAACTTCGGGGTGATTGGCATCGGACATTTTCAAAGGACATAATATGGAGAAAGAGACAAAACCATTTCCATATCCAATAGAAATCTTTGCATAAAGCAGAATCGATTGTATCGTAAGCATGTTTTTTGTTAATCAATATCTTATACATGTAGTAATGATTCCGGGTGTTTGCGAAAAGATGGCTGAACAGCTCAAACAATCCGATGTTCGGATCGGTAGCGCTGAGTCTCGGCATTTTGGAACTTGAAAAATGTTGACAATGGAATGACAAATCTTTGCCTTATGCTTGCCTTTTTATAGCCAAGAGTTACGAATGCCATAACTTGCACGTGCATTTTGCTTTACTGTTTTCCGCCATGACATTTTTGAATGCCGTTTAAGACATTGCAAATCAACAATGGCTGCGTTTTGACGCACCGTTTGTCGAATATCAGGCCACCAACATTTTCCAAGAACATATATCCAATTTTTAAACCGGATTTTTTGTGTAGTCATGTTCAATGAACTACATACTACCTGTGCATTTCTTTTTTTGAAGAGTATATATATTATTTCTAAAGTCAAGATCCAAATGAATGAATATTGTACTGTATCCGCAAATCTTCTCAAGACAACACGTGTGACTGAGCTGAAAACGAAACATAGCTTAGCGAGAGCGCAGACCCCGCCAAATAATCAAGGCCTCGAACTGACACTTATGAAACGACATGCGGATCCGGGGTAGAATAGGTCTTCATAAACCCATGCTTGCCGCAAAAGGCGACTATGCTTGTCGTAAGAGGCGACTTACGGGATCGGGTGGTCAGGCTCGCTGCTTTGGTTAATGCATGTCATCGATCCAAATTGCATGGATCGATGCTCATGATATCAATCACTGGATTGTCTAGTCCAGACTCGATTATTTACAGACCGCCGTCTCAAGCTGTAATATTGCTGAGTGCGGGGTTAAACAACAAACCAACCAACCAACCAAACCAACATGTGCGCGATGGGATCAAAGTGAGCCATCCCAAATCTCTGTCTGTGCTATAACCCAACCCGTCACCATTTTGAACACGGCCTTATTCCTGGGGCACTTTCACTACATGTATACAAGACGTGCTATGCGCCATGTCAGCACATACTGGTAGTAGTAGCGGTGTTGGTGCCCCCGAGTACCTTGCCTAAGGGCTCAGTCACACATTCAGGATTTTTACTGCCGTCCTTGATAGGACCATTCCCTATTAAAAATTGTCAAAAGTCTGATCAAGATCCTGTTATTCGTGGCGGGAAGTTCACAAATAATCAGATATTGTTCAGGAAGCGTCCCGATTCAGCCGTTTTCAGCCGAATTCGTCCCGATTCTTCCGTTCTCAATCACAATCTGATCCGATTTGTAACTACCGCATGGTAAAACACGACCTTGTCTGTCCCGACAGCGTCCCGATTCTCCCGAATGCGAGATCCGACAATGACCGGACAGTGAAACGACAAAGACGGTTCACAATCGGAAAGATCTGGACGCAATCTGGACTCAATCATGCCCGTTCATCACGACAGCGTGGCGATCCACAGGACACCGTCCAGGCAACACAGGACATTGTTGCGATTTTGATCCGATACAGCAGAATCTGTCACGACATAGTCACGACTGTAATCCGACTACAGATCGAGTTTCCCGAATGTTACGGGACGCACCATACTGTCGGGAGTGCTTGGCCGACCTCTCTGGACCTTTCCCGAACCGTTGGACTCTGTTACGAACGTATACGACTGCGTTCAGACAATGATAGGACATTCCAGATCATTGAGGATTGTAATCCGACTTTTTCACTTTTCGTGTCGTAGCGCTGTCTGATCTCAAACGGGAGTATAAAAATGTCGCATTCTCGCGATTTCGTGTTTTTGAGGCCTAATATCACAAGTCGAGATTGCGAGATTTTTCATCATGTCCAAATGTCGCATTCTCGCGTTGTCGACTTTTGACACAAAGTGCTATGTATCAAAACACGTGAATGCGAGATCGCGAGAACGCGAGATTTGGTTAAAATGTCGCGTTCTCGCGATTTCGCATTCACGTGTTTTGATACATAGCACTCGCATTCTCGTGTTTTTGGCATATTTAGCTCGTCAAAGGTCGAGATCGCGAGAATGTATTCCACACGGATGTCTGTAAAAAAATGTTTTACCTCACCAATTTACGAGCTCATAAGATCGTGAAAAGTAAGTTCAGTGTGTTAATTTTCATGTATATATGGCTACAAAATTAAAAGGGCTGTTTAATCTTCGATCCATTTTGACAACTTTCTCACCGTAAAAACATTCCATTCCCTCACTCAACTGTATGCTCATTATTGTTTTGAATATCACGCCTTCAAACAAATATGAAAAGCACATGTCGCCATACCAAAATTAGAAAACTGCGCCAAATTCTAACGGTGTTAATTAGTCCACCGATAAACTCGTCTCATTGACTCATCGGTCGCTGTGGAAATCTTCCCAAATGTGTTTACACAAACAACGTCAACTTGTGACAGGTGTGACACTTGTCATAACATCAGGTTGACACGTGTCATAACAAGTTCCAGACACAACAAAAGGTTAGATGTGATGGTTTCATTCACCTAAGGGTGGTCACAATCATGGATTCGCTGTAGTAAAGTTCCTTACCAAGGAGGGATGCTAAGCAAAAGAAATCCATGATCGCATGTGTAAAGTGATGGGTAAGGATGCTCCTGACTATTCCATTGGTCTCTACGGTTTAAAAGGGGTAGGGAGTCCATAGACGATGATCCAAGGTCAGGCAGGCCTTCAGATGCCACCCAACCGGAAACCATTGCTGCTATAGGAAGAAGAATTTTATCTGACCGGCGAGTGAAAATAACTTTCTAGGTAATTCTAAATATCAGTTGGAACTGTTGGAACCATTATTCATGTGCATCTTGGTATGACCAAGTTATCGAGACCTCCATGATTTCTATACTGCTGATGAAATTGGATTTCTTTATCGTCTAGTGACAGGTGATGAAACTTGGATCCACCACTGGGACCCAGAAACTAAATTGGAATCCATGCAATGGAAGCACCCCCATTCTCCGCCTCCGAGGAAGTTTCGCACTCAACCATCGGCTGGCAAGGTAATGGCCACCATATTTTGGGATGCTAGAGGCATATTACTGATTGATTACATGTCACCAAAAACTACAATCAATGGACAGTATTATGCTAATGAAATGAAAGAATTGCAAAGATCTATTCGCCAGAAACGCCGTGGGATGTTAACACGTGGTATTCTACTTTTGCACGACAACGCTCCCGTTCACAAGTCGAGAATTGCGCAGGCCGCCATATGTGAATGTGGATTCGAACAGTTAAATCACCCACCCTACAGCCCAGACTTAGCCCCCAATGACTATTTCCTGTTCCGGCAAATGAAATCTGCCCTACGTGGAAGTAGCTTCAAAGGATGACGAGGACATAAAGGCTGCCACAGAGGCGTGGTTAAAGGGCCAATCTGCGGATTTCTATAAAAGTGGTATTAACAGCATGAAGGACAAATGGAATAAGTGTATTGAGGTGAATGGAGAGTGCAAAAGATATTCTGCGACTTGGTCTTATATTGAAGTTTCAAAACGTATTGAACGCTCCTCGTACGTTCTAGTTCAGATCAGTTCTGTCAAACAGAATATTATTATTTAGAAACTGACACCACGTGTGTCCATATATACGACCACACCATTAGATTAACTGTTTGACGTGACGTCATCCACGTCCAAACATGCGAGGTCAAACCACGCGCACCTGTCCAGACGACAGATTTGCAGCAGCGGGAATTCACCGACCGTATGTTAGCCTACACAAATAAAATTGCACATAACGTCATTGAACGAAACAAACAAAGCGTTTACTCATTGCTGATACTACAGATAACGTATCAAGTAAAAGTCCAAGCAATGCGATAGATTATCATACGATAATCTGGAGTACAGTCTACATCAATAATTTGTGAATCTAAAAATAATTAGATCTAATATCTATTGCAGAATGATGGAAATACGAACTCTGTCATGTTATGATTAATATATTCCATTTTCAAAGAAAACCTACAATGTGTATTTGATATCTACTAACATAATTGGTTATTAGTTGTCAAGCATACTCACAACATGTTACATGCAAATTAGACACACGGAAAATACTATTTCAGCAAACTAATCATAGTGTCACTATCACACTTTCAATGATAGGGGGAAAAATGTTGAAACCGAACGTTACAACCCATCGTATCTATAAGCACTTTACTCAAATGCAAAAAGGTATTGCCGTCATCATTTGGAAGTCATGTTGATGTTTTCAGTGATTGTATTATGTTTGTGTCGCGTGTACCATCGACAGAAACTTGTCCCGAGGTACCGCATTTGAAATGTGATCAATCACACGTGACTTAGTCATTTCATAGGAAAAAAGCAGCAGTTATTTGTCAAAACGGGCGAGCATGTAGGACAATTGGTCGACAAGAAATCGCGGCTGAGCTTATGCGAACATGCCCTGTCGAACACTTCGGGCTTTGTCATTCAATGTTTACGTGTTGATCATGGACTTCCTGCCCATAAATATACATTATACCACCTTAATATTAACGATCACAGCTATCTTTCAATACATAAGATTTGAATACTTTCTGGCAATCGGCATAATTAACAGAACGACAATCAACACTGTCCTTTCGTCTCTAGCGCCGTGCTAAATCGTCATGACACACATTAAACGTCAGTAGTCGTACGCCAATAACTGTGTAGTGGGGAAAAAGTAAACCTTTCTGACCAGTCAGATCAGATTTCTTTTACAAATTGGCTATCTGATACTAAAATAGTTACGTGTATGTGACATGAGTGCATAACCAAAATTCGGTGTCATTCGTGCGGTAACTACCTTACCAATCTCACCACATTTCGCGATCCGTAGCACTGTATTAAATATGAGTTAAAGCAGAGTTGATTGCTGTGAAAGATGGTCATAATTTTGATTGTTTTGTGTTTGACATCTTAATTCACAGCTGAAAAGGGACATTTTCACGAGACCATTTGGTCCCGTCGCATTAAGGTGGTGTAAACTGTGAGGGGCCATATATGATTCCGTGGTTCCAAGAGGGTTAAAGCTAATTTATATATACCAGACACGCCATATTAAGTTATCTATTTTTGAGTTTCGTGAGGCAAGAGGTTACGTTTTTGTGTTGTATAATAGTGTTGAAGAGAATCGTTTTCATTAAAATACTTATGTTATGAAATGCAATGATCAATTATCAACTATTCCGAAGCCAGTTCTAGTTACATTAACCAGTTTTAACAAACTTAATGTGTTATTGTTGGTAGTGAAGATAGACAAACTGGGGACATCCCTTTTCCTGCGTTAACTGCAATTGTAATTGAATATGTATGTCATGGTAATTAATGAATTCTATGAATATATGTTGCAGGTATTCACCAGTCGGGATAATGTTTCTGATCATAGGGAAGGTGTTATCAGTGGAGGATATGGCTAGCACGGCCAGGCAACTTGTCGTCTATTTAACCACTATTATAGCTGGCGCAATCATCCATGTGCTGATACTCTTACCTCTTTTATATTTTGTCTTAACCAAGAAGAACCCGTTCAGAATCTTCAGAGGAATACCAGAGGCAGTCGTGACGGCTCTTGCCATTGCTTCCAGGTTAATAGCTATTTATGTCCGTCTTATATAAAGCGTTTACAGAAACTCACCATTTTATATTCTGTGTTGGGGCTAGGATTTCGTTTGGTTTTTAACATTCTGTTCCGGAAAAGACTGGAAAATATAGTTTGTCAAAAACACATGATGGGTGTTCGGAAACAAATGTGTTGTGGATCCCGAGAATAACAAATTGTCGGTTCCTTAGAAATTTAAGTTAATTTCCTGTGATCGGGGAATACATCCTGTGTCGGATAGCTCGAAAATACAATAACAAGGAAGGGTTTTTGGTTATACATAAATATCACCATGGACAAAAAGGCAACAATAATTCAAATGTACGAATATGTTTTTTCCTGCAGGCAGAGAGATATTCATTGTTCATGATCATATGGGGTGGCAAAGGTGTTTCAAGAAGAAAATATGTATGCAGATATCTTAAAGTTTGAAAAGCATGTCCAGTTTTAGTCGCAAGCAACGCTGTATCAAATATGTCTCTGCGACCTATGGGGTATCCTATGGTAAGCAGTAAATATACAGTTCATGTATGGAAAACTGTCGGGCATGACTCCTGTCGGGCATAAAGCATTACATGGGTCAAATGCCTAAAAGCATGTGAATCTCAAGTTTATTTCATGATAACTTGATACAGTAGCTTATTAATTAATTAAAAACATATTCTTAAATTTGTGTTTAATTTATATCATATATATATATATACAGATTTGGATACACTTTCTTTATATCGTTTTGCAACTCCGATTTGCATAATGAAACATTGTTTTTAGTTTGACCCTTTCCTCAGACCCAAACTGATATAAAGAAAGTTTATCCAAATCTGTATTTATGCTCTACTTTGTATTGAGCACTCTCTTCTGCAAATGGATTATACTTTTGTGTGTGTATATATATATATTTATGGATGAACTATATTTGTGTGTGTGTATATATATATATACTGAGTCAAATTAAAAACTTCACATTTTTAAAAGTAATCCCATATATGATATACAACGGACAAATGTATCAGAGAAGGTAATTTTTAATCATTAATGTCCAAAGAAGGATTTTAATTAACGGTGGTAACCATAATTTGTTCCAAGCACCTACGGTATTCGGTAATAACATGAACAGTTTAAATCATAAGTCCCAAGCACGAGAATCTGATGGCGCACAAGTTCAGTAGCGTGTATGGCCACCATGTACGTTGACAACTGCCACACAACGCCTCCGCATGGACCTTGTGATGCTTGTGAACACATGATTGGGAAGACGAGGCCATTGTTGCTGCAAAATGGTGCCAAGATCTTGCAAATTCTGTGGTTGGTTCTGGAGAGTGCGCAGACCTCTGCCAAGAGCATCCCAGACGTGTTCGATGGGATTTAGGTCGGGAGACCTTGACGGCCAGTCCATGACGTTGACTCCCGCATTCTAAGGAAGTCCTTGTCAAAATTGCTTTGTGGGGTCTGGCATTGTCGTGTTGGAAGATCAAACCGGGTCCATTTGCTGCCATAAAAGGCAGACGTTCTGGTGCCAGTACCTGGTCGCGGTAAGCAGCAGCGTTGAGGTTGCCACGGATGACAAGAAGCCTGGAACGTGCATTGCCATAGAAAGCACCCTACACCATGACACTTCCGCCTCGAAATCTGTCAACTTCCTATAAACAACACGGGGCGTAACGTTTATGACGGCGCCTCCACACCCTCGCCCTACCATCAGCAAATCGAAGATTAAATCGGGATTCATCACTGAAGACGACTTGATTCCAATTCCTCTGAGTCCATCGTAAGTGTCTCTATGCCCACAATTGACGTTGACGTCAGAAAATCGGCCCGCAGTATGGCCGTCGTTCTTGAAGGTGAGCAGTTCTCAGACGGTTACCAACAGTTTGCGCACTCAGTCTACCCCTAAACAGTCCATTTCTGGTTGATGTAGCCGTCAAAAATCGGTTACGGAGGTGACGTAAGACAATCTGACGATCCTCTGTATGTGACGTCACATGTGGTCGACCTGGCCGAGGGCGATCAGCGGTGGTACCCGTTTGCTGTAGACGCGTCTGTAAATCATAAACAGTCCGTCGGCTACAACCCATCGGCCTTGCGACGTTCCCGTCTGCAACATGCCGATGGCACGTGCACGTGAAAGGCGTGGCATGACAAATGGCCGTAAAGACTTTTGTTTTCTTGTGTTTTTCTTTATTTGTTAATGACTGCTAACAAGTATGGCTGAAAACACGTGCGGTATTATGGCCACGTGACCAGTTGCACGTGAAAAACCACTTTTGCCACTGTAGTGCTGTGCACATGATTTTGATCGATTCACCTGCACAAAAACGGGTGTTATCTGAAGAAAATACGTGGCTATTACTGTTTAAATACACAATAAGGGCCTACAATGATAACTGGTCAAAATGTTAAAATTTTAGGATTGTGAAGTTTTTAATTTGGTTCAGTATATAAATATATATATATATATACACACACACAAATATAGTTCATCCATAAATCTTATCCTTAATACTCAAACTTCTTAATGCCTCTCAAAGAAGTTACGTAGATAGGTCCCATGCTCCTCGTCTTGTTTTACCATTTCTGGTGTCCCCCGCCGTGATGTGGCTGGATAATTGCCAAAAGCGGTGTCAATAAAAGCGACAAAACCCTTTCCGCGTCGATTGTACAATTCCGACTACATCATGAGCATGTGTTGAATCACTATCAAATAGTGATCATACCAGGTGGTCGCGGAAAGGTAAGCGTATCGTGTCCCACCGGTGATACCCGTCACACATACACAATGTACATGCAAATCAAGTCAATGTCTACCATAAAACGTTTTGAAAGCTTTACTGAGGCCTTGAATGTTGTTACCTTGATCCAACAACTTAATGAGCAAGAGTGGTATGACGCTCTTTCATAGCTTGTCAAAAAGAGGATGTCCGATTGTACCTCAAAAGGTGGGAAATGTGACCACCAAATTGCTCGATGTAAAGGGAAAGTCGACAATTAGTAAGTTTCCCTTTGCCCTACCGTCTTTTGGGGAGTGCTTTGACAAGATCTAAATATGAAACAAATGAGGTGGTCTCCTTTATTTCAAGCTCGGGTGGCTAAGCAGGATGGAGGGAATTGGCTATTTGACCATTATTGAACACTATCAGATCGTCGATATACCTGAAGCGTATTATAAGTTAAACTTCTTGGCCTGATTGCCTCAGTTCGGTTCTGCCCATCCGAACAGAAATTACGTTTCATGGAAGGGAACTGGCTATTTGGCTATCAATTGGTTATTGAACGATATCAGATCATCGATATACCTAAAATTATACTAACTCTTGTTGTTTTGCATTTAGCTCTGCCACACTACCTGTAACTATACGGTGCTGCGAGGAGAACCTGAAGATTAATAATGCCATCACTCGCTTCGTGCTTCCACTCGGGGCAACGATCAACATGGATGGAACTGCAATCTTTTATGTGGTATCGGTTGTCTACATTGCCCAGATGCACGCAATATCCCTTCATTTCTTCGAGATGATTCTGCTGAGGTAAATAGGAAATAAGCGAAAACATAAAGATATTTATGGCTTGAAATGGAATTGTTTTTATTATTTGTATTATATAGTATCATTTGAACACACACATGTACATACAATCATTTAAAATATATAAATATTACATCAGTTGATTTCAAGCCATTATTGGTCAATGTCGTGTAAGATAAGATAACCCTTTGATTAATTGTCCGGTTCTTGCCGTTTGATCGTATCTAGTTTAAATGATGATCATCATTTTATGTGTAATGTTTGTCCGAGATGAATTTGAAAAAAGAAATTCTTTTTCATATGAATCCAAAAATATTTAGTGAGTCTTCAGTGTCCAATGTACACTTTACATCTTCTTTGAAAAGGATTGAAGATTGTCTGATGCACTTTCAGAAATATCTCAATATAATCATGGTTACATTTACCGTTATCCCGTGGGGATTCCGTTCTAGAATAGAACCCGAGCAACCTATGTGCTATATGATCGTAAAAGGTGGTCAGGCTCGGCGATTTGGTTGATTGCATGTCATTGTACCCCGACGGTTTGGATCATTGCTCATTTATCACTAATTTGTCTGTTCGGATTATATATCTCGGGTATTGGAGTACAGCATTAAACAAAACAAGTTGTGTTGCCATTGAGTAGGTGTTGAATAAATATGGTACATTCGTCGTTGGATAGATGATCAAGCTACGTACGAGACAACTCACCCTCTCAACAAAACTAGGTACAGGATTAGTTAAGTTACACATTGAAATCGTCTTCCAGAAATGTCTCATCAACACTCCTTGTTTCAGTCTGTGTACAGTTTTGACAAGTGTGGGTGCTGCAGGAATCCCAAATGCTGCTATAGTGACACTGATTGTCATCCTGTCATCTGTCGGTCTGCCAACTGAGAGCATCTCCATCCTGCTAGCGGTGGACTGGTTCCTGTGAGTATCACATAGCCCAGGGCCTTTCCTGGTGTGTTACTTTGAAATAATTGGTTTATGGAGCTAATGACTCAAAACTATTAAAACTAAACATGAAGGCACTCCTTCATTCATTCATTCACCCATCCATCTAACTGTAGGAATGAAAAACAAATCAAAGTGTGTACTTTGGAAAAGTGGAGTAACTATAAAGTTTGTCAGTCAAAACAACCCTTTTCTTTTTTCTTACATTTCATTGTGTCTTAAAGATAAAGCTTATCTACAGTTCTTTTGCTTTGTTGAAATTTTGATATTGATAGATTTCAATAAGATGCCTTACTAGAATCATTCGGCCAACAAAACAGTAGACCCGAATAAAAATAAGGATAGCATTCCAGAAAAAGTAACACTATGTTGTGGGTGGTTCTGTGAAGGAAGGAAATAGAATTCTCAGAAATTGTTCCACAAAAGGAAGGGTTTTCTATAATGTAAAAAATATCTTTAAGAAAGCGACAAAACCCTTCCTATTATCTATATCAATGAACGATGCCTTAATGACAGGTTTCTTAGGGAAACAAACAAAAGGATGACGAACTTAAGGAATAAGTTCATTCCTTGATTCATGGGGCTTTTGTTACAAAACGTGGTGACCACTGATAAGTTCCGTATCTATATTCAGAGGTTCAGGACAATTTTTTAATAATGAAAGCAAATGCCATCTGAAGTTTTCTTAGAAAGAAATATGTGAAATGCTGGAAGTAGGCATCCCCATGGGCACCTATTGTGCATCCCTTCTTGCGGATGTATTTCTTTATACACATGGTTCGGAATTTCTGCTCGGATTGGCAAAGTCAAAACAAGGTAATGTGGCCAAGAAGTTTAACTTAAGCTTCAGGCATATCATTGGTCTGATATTGTTCAATAACAATCAGATAGCCATTTCCCTTCTACTGATTTACCCACCTGAACTATAAATTAAACCAGTGAGACCGCCTCGCCAGTTTCATATTTAGATCTATGCATAAAGATTCAGAGTGACAAAACGCTCTCCACAAGACTGCATGACAAGAGGGATGACTTCAACTTTCCAATGGTTAACTTTCCCTTCATGTCAAGCAATGTTCCAGCTGCTCAAGCCTTTGGTGATTACATTTCACAACTTTTGAGATACAATCGAGCATGCTCTATCTACGAAGATTTCAAAGAGCGTCATACGACTCTTGCTCAGGAGTTGTTTGATCAAGGTTGCAGCATTCGAGGCCTCAGTAAAGCTTTCAAAAGGTTTTATGGTAGACATATAGAGGACATTTCCAAATTTAACGCATCTGTGACAATAATGATGTCCGATGCAAGTCCCTATTTTGACTTGTACCACATGTTCCCGTGTTTTTTTTAGGTAAACAATTGACTTGCCTTTGCATGTGTTTGTGACGGGTGCCACCGGTGGGGAAGGATACGCAGACCTTTTCGCGACCACCTGGTATCATCACTATTTGATAGTGATTCATAAACGAATGCTCATGACACTGGCGGAATCGTACAATAGATTTCTATTGGATATGGAAAGGGTTTTGTTGCTTTATTTCATAAAGAAGGGTTTCTATAAGTTGAAATATCTTTTGGACAAGTTTCTTTAAAGTACGAAATATCTTTTTAAAAAACATAATTTTCACAACACTTCATCACCAATTCTTCCAAAACATAGTCTCAGTTCCAATAATGGCCACTGACATACAAATCCTAATTTCGAAGCATCATTTACTTCACAGGGGTCGACTGCGCACAATCGCAAACATCACAGGAGACTGCTTGACGGCCGCCGTGTTGGATCACTTCTTTCCACAAGCTGACGTTGACGTTGAGATGCGGCCAGAAAGGCCCCTTTGTACCTCTGAGGATGAAAATCACATGGCTGAACTTGTATAATATGTCCATCGTGCTTCCTGTGTATTGCGTTATAAATTATGATTGTACCTGTAACAATGAGTATGGTTTCACCGTGATGATTGTACCTGTAACAGTGAGTATGGTTTCACCGTGATGATTGTACCTGTAGCAATGAGTATGGTTTCACCGTGATGATTTTACCTGTAGCAATGAGTATGGTTTCACCGTGATGATTGTACCTGTAACAATGAGTATGCTTTCACCGTGATGATTGTACCTGTAACAATGAGTATGGTTTCACCGTGATGATTGTACCTATAACAATGAGGATAGTTTCACCGTGATGATTGTACCTGTAACAATGAGTATGGTTTCACCGTGATGATTGTACCTATAACAATGAGGATAGTTTCACCGTGATGATTGTACCTGTAACAGTGAGTATGGTTTCACCGTGATGATTGTACCTGTAACAGTGAGTATGGTTTCACCGTGATGATTGTACCTGTAACAGTGAGTATGGTTTCACCGTGTTGATTGTACCTGTAACAGTGAGTATGGTTTCACCGTGATGATTGTACCTGTAACAATGAGTATGGTTTCACCGTGATGATTGTACCTGTTACAATGAGTATGGTTTCACCGTGATGATTGTACCTGTAACAATGAGTAAGATTTCACCGTGATGATTGTACCTGTAACAATGAGTAAGATTTCACCGTGATGATTGTACCTGTAACAATGAGTATGGTTTCGGCGTGATGATTGTACCTGTAACAATGAATGTGGTTTCGGCGTGATGATTGTACCTGTAACAGTGAGTATGGTTTCACCGTGATGATTGTACCTGTAACAGTGAGTATGGTTTTACCGTGATGACTCTACATGTAACAATGAGTATGGTATGGTTTCAACGTGATGATTGTACCTGTAACAGTGAGTATGGTTTCACCGTGATGATTGTACCTGTAACAATGAGTATGGTTTCACCGTGATGATTGTACCTGTAACAATGAGTATGATTTCACCGTGATGATTGTACCTGTAACAATGAGTAAGATTTCACCGTGATGATCGTACCTGTAACAATGAGTAAGATTTCACCGTGATGATTGTACCTGTAGCAATGAGTATGGTTTCGGCGTGATGATTGTACCTGTAACAATGAATGTGGTTTCGGCGTGATGATTGTACCTGTAACAGTGAGTATGGTTTCACCGTGATGATTGTACCTGTAGCAATGAGTATGGTTTTACCGTGATGACTCTACATGTAACAATGAGTATGGTATGGTTTCAACGTGATGATTGTACCTGTAACAATGAGTATGGTATGCTTTCAACGTGATGATTATCCTTGTAACAATGAGTATGGTTTCACCGTGATGATTGTACCTGTAACAATGAGTAAGATTTCACCGTGATGATTGTACCTGTAACAATGAGTAAGATTTCACCGTGATGATTGTACCTGTAACAATGAGTATGGTTTCGGCGTGATGATTGTACCTGTAACAATGAATGTGGTTTCGGCGTGATGATTGTACCTGTAACAGTGAGTATGGTTTCACCGTGATGATTGTACCTGTAACAGTGAGTATGGTTTTACCGTGATGACTCTACATGTAACAATGAGTATGGTATGGTTTCAACGTGATGATTGTACCTGTAACAGTGAGTATGGTTTCACCGTGATGATTGTACCTGTAACAATGAGTATGGTTTCACCGTGATGATTGTACCTGTAACAATGAGTATGATTTCACCGTGATGATTGTACCTGTAACAATGAGTAAGATTTCACCGTGATGATCGTACCTGTAACAATGAGTAAGATTTCACCGTGATGATTGTACCTGTAGCAATGAGTATGGTTTCGGCGTGATGATTGTACCTGTAACAATGAATGTGGTTTCGGCGTGATGATTGTACCTGTAACAGTGAGTATGGTTTCACCGTGATGATTGTACCTGTAGCAATGAGTATGGTTTTACCGTGATGACTCTACATGTAACAATGAGTATGGTATGGTTTCAACGTGATGATTGTACCTGTAACAATGAGTATGGTATGCTTTCAACGTGATGATTATCCTTGTAACAATGAGTATGGTTTCACCGTGATGATTGTACCTGTAACAATGAGTATGGTATGGTTTCACCATGATGATTGTACCTGTAACAATGAGTATGGTTTAACCATGATGATTGTACCTGTAACAATGAGTATGGTTTCACCATGATGATTGTACCTGTAACAATGAGTATGGTATGGTTTCGGCGTGATAATTGTACCTATAACAATGAGTGTGGTTTCACCATGATGATTGTACCTGTAACAATGAGTATGGTATGGTTTCACCATGATGATTGTACCTGTAACAATGAGTATGGTTTCACCGTGATGATTGTACCTGTAGCAATGAGTATCGTTTTACCGTGATGACTCTACATGTAACAATGAGTATGGTATGGTTTCAACGTGATGATTGTACCTGTTACAATGAGTATGGTATGCTTTCAACGTGATGATTATCCTTGTAACAATGAGTATGGTTTCACCATGATGATTGTACCTGTAACAATGAGTATGGTATGGTTTCACCATGATGATTGTACCTGTAACAATGAGTATGGTTTAACCATGATGATTATCCTTGTAACAATGAGTATGGTTTCACCATGATGATTGTACCCGTAACACTGAGTATGGTATGGTTTCACCATGATGATTGTACCTGTAACAATGAGTATGATTTCACCGTGATGATGTTTGTACCTGTCACAAAGAGCATGGTTTCACAACCGTTATAGCCATGTTGCGGTGGATGAAACAAATAAAGGTCTTCACATATTTTATTCATATATATGGAGTCGAACCCAGGATCTCCGAGGGACAGGCGAATGTTGGAGCACCAAACCTACCTTATCCGACCTTGCAGACAAAGATCTTGTTCTCTTTGAGATGCAAATGATACAAGTATCATTGATGTGTACAGATAATTTTAACTGTTGCATAATCAGACACTCCATCATTAACGAACAAAAAGCTATTTGATGCTTACGTACATATTGTCAGTCAAAATTTAGGTTTGCGGAGTGATAAACAGAAACGGACGATAGAACGATTTTCTGTGCCTTAAATACTGTGCATACATATTGCCGGTCGAAAGACCGAAATGAAGACAGGTTCAGTCTGCTTTGGTTTCTGCTTTATATGAGTGAGTTGGACTGTATTTCATATATATCACGGCGTGTTGGTTTGGTGCGGGCAGACATCCCAAAGGGAAGCACATATAATACGTTTACCACTTTGGTGCAACCCACGAATACGGATGTGGTGCTGACATAGACACAAAGAAATATAAATCGGGGCAAATCGGTTTCTAACCCATGTTTGAACATTGTTTCAATTTTATCAGGACGCGTAAGCTTGATGTGGGTGGAAAGTCCGAACTAATGTCAACATTACACCTTTGGTGAAACCCACGAGCACGGGTGTGGTGCTGACATACTTAGAACTAGAAACATGAATCAGGACGAACCGGGACGATCGTATGTTTCCGACACGTATATCATACGGTACTGAAAATGCCAAACTGAAGGCCCCTTTAGTATGATCAGGGTACAGTTGACCTGTCTTCAAGTCTCTAACTATGCAGCCAACAGAAGCAATAGGTAACTGTGAGCACTGTGCTCATTGGTTACATTCATAACTGAATGTTTTATATGAAGAGAACTCTTTAACCATCAAGTAAGAATAAGATTGTTGTTACATGTATGTGAATTATCATCAATAGCCCACAGTAAGTGTAGATGATAGCTTCAACATACTAGTATTCTGAAATTATTAATGGTCAGCGCCGGAGGTGGAGATTGGTTGAATGGCATGTTCAAGATCTAGACTCCTGTTTGTTTTGTAGGGCCTTGATCCAGCCGCCCAATGAATCATTATACGTGTTTGAAATAACCTCGGCAGGTTGGGTTATATACTCCTTATGGAATTGAGCATATTTTTGAGTGCTTTGAATGACGTAATAGTTGTGTGAACATGCATTGATAAGTATGCATAAATCGATGTACGTGTTGTTTGCAGCTTCTTAATTCAAATAAAGACTTATGGTCTTAGACACCAAGCACTATCCTGATATGACAATGTTTTCATTTAATTCCATTTGACATAAAATAATGTTTCATCATCAAATTAATTTAGTGTTATGAAAATTAAAACAGTACTGCTTTGTGTATTGTGTGACGTTATATTATTGGAACGAAAAATGGTCAGATCTAGTGTAATTCAAAATGAGGTTAATCAACAGACACACACGCAAGCACGCACGCACGAACGCACGCACACTAATAAAAAGAACTGTATGACAAACAGGCTGTCACTCAACAGAGGGGCTTGTGGGTCCGCCGGTGTAAACGGAAACCGTCATCAACAAATGATTATGTCACCATAAATCGCGTGACATAACTCGACCTTGCACTTCGATTCCTGAATCATCGGATCGGGGCAACTGGGTGAGCTATTTGAACGTCGAGTTTCGATGTTTGCTGCACAGTGCAATAAATAGTGCAATGATTGGGACTGGCACCTGCATAGAAGATTGATGCAGGTCACCGCATAGCCTCCATCTAAAAATATCGACTGTTGCCATATCTAATTCACCATAATTTTGTTTTGAAATATTTGGACTGGATGTCATCAACCCATGTATCATTAGATATAAAGCATTTTTATTATAGTTATATCCGGGCGAGATCTTGAATTTAAACTCAAGGTCAGAAGGGGCTGCACAGCGATTTTGCGAAGACTAAGAAGAATCCATCTCCTGGCAACACACTATGCCCCAGTGTAAACAATCACTACTGGGGGAAGTGCATGCTCCAAGAAGCTAACCACATCAGACGACCCAGGCCATCAACCAATGGAGATCAGGCAGTTTTCCTCCCCAGTGCAAGCGGAAATTAATATTAATTTATCCACTGTACCCATCGAATCTATTTGCAAACGTAATACCAACAAGATGGAATGATAATCACATGTACATGCTGAATATGCGGCTGGAGGAAAGTACACTTTATGTTACAGGGAGAGGTGATTTGATTCCAATCCTTGGTACCTGGCAAAGGAATTTAATCAAACATTTCATTTTGTATGGATATTGTCGGTTGGCATTGGATATTGTCAAATCTTGAAAAGGTTTCAGTTATTGGTAGATTTATGAGATGAATAGCGAAACATTCTCTTCTCGGTTGGGAATAGGTGTCACATGTCAACAATAGATTCAATAATTAATTCATCTTTAATATCATCATAGCCCCTAGCATTGCAGAGAATAAACAAAATCGTTCGGTATACAGAGTCTTTGTATGGCGGCCGCATTCAACAGCAAGTCTGAAGTTATTACACCGAAACATGGTTAATATTTACCGTTGATAAGAGGGAAGGTCACTTGTTGAATATGTTTTTAATTTTAGTAAATGTTTAAACAGAAAATATAACTAAAGCTCGATGTATCGTCGAGTGAGTGATGCCAATATTGAAAGAAGCAGTCATAGAATCTGTTTGAAGCTTACCATAAATGATGAGATGCAGTCAATGACATGATATAGCCAAATAAATCCCAAACCACATCTTCATAAATATTTCTTATATGAGATGCCCAAGTGTTTTTTTACCATTTTCATCCAGAGTTTTAATGATTTTATATGCTTGGTAGGGACGTCTCTGCTGTGGTAACGGGATCAGTCTGCACCAGTACTTAACTGCCCTGGATGTATAAGACATTGCATGGAGACTCTTTCACATTCTCCCTGGACCATATTGTTACTAGTATGTGGATGCCAGTGCAGGAGTGTATGTGGATGTACAGCGTATCAGGAGTGTATGTGGATGTACAGCGTATCAGATGTGTCTGTGGATGTACAGCGTATCAGATGTGTCTGTAGATGTACAGCGTATCAGGAGTGTATGTGGATGTACAGCGTATCAGACGTGTCTGTGGATGTTGTCTTAGATAGTGCAAGCCGTGTCATGATCAGGTGTCGCCCAATTTATATCCCCCAGCAATAGGGTGATAAAATAAGACCCTGGTCGAGGACTCTGTGTTTGTATACTGTATGTGAGTGAGTTATTCATATTATCTCATCGGCATGGTATTAAGTGGGCTAGCACTATAAAAGCGGCATTAGTCCGGCCTTCGTACAGGTAAACAGCCACATACACAACACAATCTCTCTTTCTCTCTCTAAGGCAACTCCGTCTTCCTGTGACCAGCATACTCGTTGGTTTCACCAAGGTCACTAGCGATTACTGCCGATATCAATTTAGCTTTCCTTTCGCTACGTTTACCCCCTTTCTGTTCTGTTGAGTCAAATAAGGTATTCAAGCTCCGAGGCTTGCCGAAGAGATTTCAATCAACGATATTTATATTTCATATCAAAACACACGAGGGTTTCGATTTTTTATCCAGTATCATTTTCAAGAATTGGCTACAAAAATTGTATACCCCGTTGACATTTTAGACAATCACAAAAGAAATATCGTAAATAAATATCAAAATGCGCCTTCAGGCAGCTGAAATCTTCCCCGGCCGAGATAACTTCTGTAGCTGTAAAATATATGTGAGAATTCACTACCTAAGGATTATTTGATATTGTATATGTATTCATATTGATATTCAGTTGCACGAAATGCCTTCATTCGTTGAACGAGAAATATCTATCAGTCCAAAGAATTGGGACGTTCGCGCTGTAACCTTACTATGCTATGACGTGAAAGTTGTAGAACATTTTGGCCTTGTAAAATCACATCCTTGTTAGGCAGAAAAATATGTTTGCTTGTTTAAAACTACACATACAGCGATTGATACACGATACCAAGGGAAGATTTCCTGCTGATACAACAATACATTTTAAGATCTTCAAGAGTATTGCAAGATAACTGTCAGGATTCGCAAAAGAAAAACGTTTTTTTAAAGAATATTTTGACGAATGTTTACCTTCTGTCAAAACTGTACCTTTGCGTTAATAAGAATCCTGATCATTTGTTTTTGAATTGTGTTTCTTTCTTTTGTCTGAGAAATGAATATTAAGACATTTCATGTATTGACTTTTTTCAATGATTTCATAATTTCGTCCACGTTTGTAAAGATATTGCTAAAGTTATCTAAATCTAACGTATCTTGACTAGTGTATAAAAGGGCCATACATGAGTTCTCCATATGTAGCCTATTTCTGGTGTCCCCAACCGAGATATTGCAGGAAAGTGCCATAAAAAGTTGAACGTAATCAATATATACTAAAAACAAATTTCTGTGTTTGAATGTGAAAAGTATAATACAAGTTTTAACCCTTTTATGTACACCTAGGATTAGCGAGTCAAAAGTTGCTTCATGCCACAGTGAACAATAATATAAGCTGCATCACGCCAGGAGAAGAAGGCATAAAATACGATCCACATCTTGTAGACACTCAATCTGCCAGGTCACACATTACGATCCTCATTGGTCAAGGGTACTGGGGACCTTGTCACTTTCTCTCTCCTAAGACCATTGCCTGACACATTCTCTGGTATTTTGACTCAAAAGCCCTCAAATCTAAATCACAGATTGCCATAGAAGGAATTGAATGAAATAAAAAGCAAAAAGCAAATTAATACAAAGGTTTAATAGTATGCAGTTGACAATGCGTTTCTATAGAGTCAGTGGTGTAATTAAAACTGACGCACTTGGGTGACATTTAAGGGGGTTTCTCATAAAAAAAATATTCTTCAGCAAATTGCAGTCATGACTGGAACAACTTGTGCATAGGAATTCTAGCTGTTCCTCGAGCTCTATGTATATGAATACGAATTCTAGCTGTTCCTCGAGCTCTATGTATATGAATACGAATTCTAGTTGTTCCCCGAGCTATATGTATATGAATATGAATTCTAGCTGTTCCCCGAGCTCTATGTATATGAATACGAATTCTAGCTGTTCCCCGAGCTCTATGTACATGAATACGAATTCTAGCTGTTCCCCGAGCTCTATGTATATGAATACGAATTCTAGCTGTTCCCCGAGCTCTATGTATATGAATACAAAATTCTAGCTTTTCCCCGAGCTCTATGTATATGAATACGAATTCTAGCTGTTCCCCGGGCTCTATGTATATGAATACGAATTCTAGCTTTTCCCCGAGCTCTATGTATATGAATACGAATTCAGGCTGTTCCCCGAGCTCTATGTATATGAATACGAATTATAGCTGTTCCTCGAGCTCTATGTATATGAATACGAATTCTAGCTGTTCCTCGAGCTCTATGTATATTATTAAAATGGCTAAGTCTAGTAAGAAAAATACCAATTCAAAAGTACATTGAATTTCACTTCAGACTACTTACAGTTAGAGGCCAGTTTCACGACACACAACAGTGGAATACATATTCATTACACACGCGCAAATACATTTATCCATACAAATCCATCACTCAGCACATGAAATCCATTAAACGAACAATAATGTAATCGTCAAACAATAGTATTGACATTGGCGTTCACAAATAAAGCTGATACATTTATCATTGACATCTCTTCATAATGGCTGTAACAAGGGGAGCATCTAAGGCATGTTTGTTCACATGTGTACACATATGATGGAAATTAATGAGCGGGTAATCTTGGTCCTAGATATTTTGGAGCATAGTCAATTAAAGAATACCATACGATACCATAACCGTCAGAAATGAAAGTACATAACAGAAATATGTACTCGATACAGGTCTGTTTAAATGTCTGAGCGTGACACGTGATACTTAATATAAACGTGAATCTACATCAATCAGCTTGAGGCGTTATCCGGGACAGCACTGACTCCACCTCATGTACATCGTCATCAACACCTTCCAGTTCAACCATCCCCGTCGCCCATTTGATGGTCATGTCCACCGCCATGCTCTCAAGTGATCTTTTAAGGCTCTGCATCTGTAGTGTCAGATGAAAGCAGTTGATCTCGTAGTTTAAACATACTACCAACATTCACAACCAATTCCTTTATTTAACATAATTGGGTATACCATTACTATTTACAATGTACATGAAAATGGACACTTACTTGGATTCTGATGATGCGTATTAGTTTAGTTTCATCGTGTCTTATATTCATAGTCCTGAAGACCTATTCTACCCCGGATCTTCACGAGCTTGAAAGGTTGGTCATCAAAGCTCAGACTGTAGTCTAAATTCCCTCCAAAGACTTGGCTAATTCCAGCTATTGAACACTATTTTGGACTATCAATTTGCACAATCCATCCCTTTGACCAATACGCGGTGTCAAAAGCTTTAAATGGAGACTAGACTCGTGTAAGTTGTCAGTCCCAGAAACTTTGCATCATTGAAATAAACTTTATTTGTCAAATGATTCGTTTTATGATGCATTGTTCAACAAGCTTTCATTTATCGTTTGGACAAAGAACACTGGAAATGAACACAAGTCCATGGAGCATGCCCCCCCCCCCCCCCCCCCTGTAAGATTGTTATGCTCATGTGACACTTTCCTGCACCTACCTTCTGCTCCAGGTGAGAGATCACGGAATGCAGTACCTGATCACATAATACAGTACCTGATCACGGAATGCAGAACCTGATCACGGAATACAGTACCTGATCACAGAATATCGTCCCTGATCAAAGAATATCGTACCTGATCACAGAATATCGTACCTGATCACGGAATGCAGTATCTGATCACAGAATACCGTACCTGATCACGGAATATAGTACCTGATCACAGAATATCGTACCTGATCACGGAATATCGTACCTGATCACGGAATACAGTACCTGATCACGGAATTCATACCTGAGAGGTTACCATGTGCTTCAGTCTCTTTTCTTCAAACGTTCTCGTCACAATGCGAATGTCGCAGATATCTTCTACAGCTTTAAACGCCCGACGTAGAACATCTTCTTTTTCTGAGTACACTGTGATGTCGGCCTCTGTGTCCTTGGTAGTCTTCACGAACACCTGCTCCATACTCCCCGACTGACGACAGAGTGGATATATGCATGTTACAGTCAGTAGCTTAACATCTTCTCAAAATGTATAATTCAATACAAATGTAACAAAAAATAACATTGACCAAGATATTTATTAAACTGTTGCTAAATATTATTTTACGACAATTTCATATTTATGATAATGTAATTCAACAGCCATTTTGTAAAGTAATGCATGATTGAGTGAGTATTCTTTAACACCACAGTCAGCAGTATTCAAACTCTCACGTGTGCCTGCTGTAAATGATAGATCCGCGCCAGGTAAAACGGTGGTTGGTAGCATGAGCAACGTGTAACGTCATCAGGTACGATGACACGCTATCAGCTGGATACCCCTTTAAATTTGAGACCCCCGATTTCCCATAAACGGTGAATCTTACGCAGAGCAATGGGTCCTGAGGACCTATTTTGGCACGGAAAAACAGTAACCATGTCAAGGTTCGAACTTCGAACATACCTGTTGTCCTTCTCCTGTTTGTCTCGGTAGAGTGTCTGTGGCAGAGATCTGTCCTGATGCACCGTCAGGCAAGTGGCCTACAGGGACAGGCAACAAATGAAGTATAATGTAATGTTAAACATAATGTGTTTTCAGGTTTGTGAGTAGTCAGTGGCCGGATATTTTTTTATTCAAAACCCAAGGGGTATCAAATACTCAATAACACCATCAATTCTGAAAACACATACTATTATTGACATTGTAAATGCCAAAATTTATTACTTGCCCGTAAAGAGATCACCCATTTGATAAACATACAGCTGTATTACACAGTGTGTAATACCAAATACCGTGCTTATGTACTATCGGAACACGTTTCACGAACACATATTGAAAGCTCTCAACATCCTTTGGCTTATTCAACGACATTGCGTGTGGAGATGATAGATCACTGAGAGAAGCCAGGCTGACGTAACATGGCAATATTTTTTTAAATTTGACGTTTACACGATATACGGCTTTTCCATTGGTCGAGAGGTCGGTCACATGACCGCGAAATTCATAAGTGTATGAACGACACATTTTGACGTTCATACGTTTTGCACGAGACCGTGTTCTTGAAATGACGTAAACACTGACGGACTACTTCCACATTACAGGGAAACCCCTGGGAATTCCCTAGCACGAAAACAAACAAAAGTCGTTCTTTCTGATCATTTAGAACCTCTAATTTTGGTCTCAGCGTTACAATATACATTGAGAAACGTCAGAGAGTTTGACTGCATGATTGTTCACGAATATCCTCGCTACGGTCTATCCTCATGAACAACCCCCATGGGACTCAACCCATAAAATTAGGAGAACCTGTACTTTACTTAGAAAGTGTTATCCCAAATATCACATTAGTTACATTTGACCACTTTCGAAATGGCAGTGTGTCTTCAAAAATAATTCCTCTAAGAAAGAAAGGTATTTATTCACAAAATACATTCCAGGTTCGGACCCTATTTATCAAATCAGATTGCGACACACTATTCGCTCTGTGGTCACAATCATAACAAATATATTGCCATCAGCGAGAAAAGAAGGTCCTTATGACATCACTCAGGGCTTTCCTCTCACGTTAAGCTGACAAGCCGTGATATAACTGGATTACTATTAAAAGCGGCGTTAAACACAACTCACTCAACCATGAGAGAACAGTGTAAGTTCTACCAGACTCAAAACAAGGTAGAGAATGGATACAAGATATGTCATAACAGGATGGAGACATGACACCCCGGATAATCGAAGATAGACAGATTCACCTTTAGTATCCTTGTGACCAATGATTGTCTCCAAGTGGGAACAAAACAGGGCATGTGAAGTTGCGTCGCTGCTGATAAAACTGATGTCGGTGAGAGAACAGTCCTTCTTCTCAATGTCCCTCAAGCATTTCACAAGCAGCTTCGGCATTTTTTCTAGAGGGAGCTTCCCATCACCTGTCAAGAACAGAAGAAGTTGACCATTATGAGTTTCCAAATGTTCGGTGTTTGTAAAAGGGTAGCGTTATTTTTCAGGGCACTATCATTTGCAGAAGGTCGAGGCCTGCCGTTAACTGCCCGACGAAGGAGGATAGATGAACAGAGGGAGGCCATTGATTTACAAATAGCAACACCATAGAACATAATAAAGGATAAAATCACAAACAAGAAACGTGACGCCAGTGATGTCACATAACAGAATAGGTAGCGGCCCGTCGTTAGGGAAATACGTCTGCTATCAAGTTACAGTAGGACGCAGATTCCTGATAAAATGCAGCCATTGTAAGATAATTCCATCCAACTGACGTATAGTCATGTGTTTTCAAGTTAGAGACTGCTAACATAGGTCCAATACCTGAAAATATCATTCGAATCTATGACACAGAGAGAAAATAAGGCCAACTCCTTCGTACAGATTTCTTATGAATATGGAAATGGTCCAGGCTTTAACGATTATATAAACAACTATTATGACAGAAGTACTTAAATAAATAAATTCATGGTGATGTAGGCAACAACAAAAGCATGGTTTAGTTATGACGGAGATTTGACCAATCAGAATGCAGGATGATGAAATGCTAAATAAATGTAGAATGAGTGCTATTGATTTCAATGCAAGGAAGCATATCAAATGGTCACTTGTTTTGAAATAATGTACACCATACAGTGTTAACATTACCCATGTCAATGACGATGTCCGATGTCATTTAAATTTATAGTTTAAATCAGCCAAAATATTATCGTCGATATTTTGATGTGCTGATTGTCTGAAATGATGATGCTTAATATGTGACGTGATTACCATCTTTGATATATTTGTGTATATGCGCGCATAAAAATAAGCACTCAGCTGCTTGTTCACCGGTAATAACTTATGAATGCGTGTTGTTTAATCTTTCTCCATTAATACTTCTGCCACAGAATGCAGAATGTGAATGAGGGTACAACTATAATGTACTTGTCATTATTGTCACCAACATGTACATATATCTATATTTGAGTTTGTGTCTGCCGTATAAGTTTTGATTTATTGTGTAATGAGACTAGAATACATCACAGCTAAATAATAAACCTTATCCATCCCAAGCAATGTAGCTTGTACGACGAAAACACTTAAGAAACGGTGTGCTGTAACAAACTTAAGGCACTGAATCATAGATAACACAGAGATATAATATTATGCAAATGACTCTTCCATTCATTAATCACTTTGAAGTTTTCCTCACCTGTTCCAAACTCTGGAAATGCGATCGATGTAACGCTATTTTCAGTCGCAACTTTCAAACATGCTTTTATGACGTCTTTCCAGTTGCCCTTGAAACGGTCAACACCAATGTGCATGATGATGTCTGCCGCGATGTTTGGCGCCGTGGTCATAGCAAGTCCTTTTCCCTTCATTTGACCAGCTGCAATGATGGAGACACACAATTACAACACCCTAACTGTACCAGCTATTGGTATACACCTCTAATATACAAGGACATATATTGCTTACTCACCCAAGGACCCACTCACTCACGAATTTCTCAACTCAGTATTTACCCACCTATTGTCTCACGCCTTATGTTTTCAAATCACTGCATCACTTATCCACTCGCTCACCATGACCTCATCCACTCATGCACCCCTCGTTGACCCACTGCCCTCTCTCATCGACTAATCAACCCCTTTTTCCACTCACCAACTTCATCCTGCTGACACCTCACTCACCAAGCCAGCTGAAATCAGCTCCTTGCCACACGCAACTATCTCATTCACTCACCAACACTGCAGTTCAGGCCCTTGCCACTCGCCACTATCAGTTGGCTTGATAGTATTTCTGATTATCCACTACCCTCACCTTCTCATTGACACCCGGACGCACCCACAAAATCCCTCACCTGCCAGCTGACACTGTAGCTCAAGGTCCTTGCCGCACGCCACACTCAGTGGGCTGGACAGTATACCTGCAAATCCGTCACAACATAAAGTTGTCAGCAAAATCTTCCGTTTGCCTTTCATTTCATTCGTAGTTTTCAATTATACTTTCAGTACATTATGTCTCAAATTTATGGATTAGATACAAGTGATTTCCAAATGAGTACCCTAAACGGGAATACTTCCGATAATGCTACATTGCCACGCACATTTTAGGTTTCAACCGATACGAGCGAACGTCTTCAATTTGTATTCCAGTATTTATCTTCCAGTGGAAAACTCACAGGAGCTACGCTGATATGTGAACCTATGGTAATATCCTAGCAGACCAAACAATCATAACTATCTATACAGACAATTATTCACAGAACCAAAGGTCAGATTACACATGTCAATTTGAGAATAACCACAAATACTTCCAAAACAAATATCCTATGACGGAACTGCAATTAAAAATGATCTTTCGACTATTACTTCATATGAAGTTACAACTTTGAAACATATCATCATCTTTTATTATACACACACGCCATTTTCATGAATTATAGACCTATGACCGGATTTTCAGATTGTTCAAAGTTTCAAAATTATGAATATAATAAATTTCTCATTCCTCATCTTGCTAGGATGTGAAACAGGAAGAATCACCTATATTCAAGGGCGTTGTTGAGTTAGTGAAGTGGGCTATGCATGCGGCACTCTCCTTGCTGATGTCGCCGTGTCCGGTGTGAATAGTGAACTTCCCCACCTGGTACCCAGCATCCGCCACAGAGCCAGCGGGGACATCGGCTACTAATTCCACAATAAAAACATAGCAATATATATAAGTGGGAACATTTTTTAGTACAGTTATTACTGAAAAGGTGACGTGTACAACACATCATGCACATTTTTGTTATACTTTCACACCTGGGCGGAGAGGTAGCCTTATGGTTAAAGCGTTAGTTCCTTACGCCGAAGACCAGGGTTCGATTCCCTACATGGGTACAATGTGCGAAGCCAATTTCTTGTGTGTGTGTGTGTGTGTGTGTGTGTGTGTGTGTGTGTGTGTGTGTGTGTGTGTGAAACCTATTCTCAGTACCCGATTTGGTTTTATTTGTTGTTTGGCGCCACACGTTGTTTGACGTCAGAAGCTAGGGGCGTTTTCAAACAATGAGTTAACGAGGTAAATGTTATATGACAGGTATGAGTACATTGTAGCACCATTTTAGCATCGAATCGATGAATATCTGTTCTTTTATACAACTGTATCATCGAAGTGAGGGGCTGTATGGTAGTCTACTGGTTAATACGTTCGTCACGCCGAAGACAATTCACGCGGGTTCGATTCCCCACATGGGTACATTGCGTGAAATTAATTTCGGAAATATTGCTAATACCACTCACTCACTTTAAAGTAAAATACTGCAGTACCTGCGTTTAGCTTGGAGTTACGAATTTGCTTGATCCTCTCTTGTTTAAATGCCTGGGGATCAGAAATACAAATTTAAAACGCATTCATGTTTAAAGCGGCGCTAAGTAGGTTCACTCACTTTTCGCCATGGCCCAATTCTAACACATCTTGAAAGAAACATAAAACATTTCGACGTTGGTCACTGCTTAGCGAAACATACAATACTTAGTATCCTCCTAGAACCTGGTATGAAGTCAGTAGTGACGTTTTCGATATTGGCGACTCCCACGAGCAAGGGAATCACACTGACAGACAAATGGTCAAAAAAAGGAACAATTGCCATTCCCTCGACCTGAAGCCCTGGTTGTGTTAAACGTCTATGACCCACCACATTGGGTTATCCTCCATTATAAAACTGATACAACTTATATATTGTTCAAAGCGGCGTTGAAGACAATTCAGTCACAAACTATTACACCTAGTAACCTTTCGGCATATTTGGCAATTGAAACATAATTTTATGCCTTACCGTGACGACTTCGCTGTTGCCAGGGCCAATAACGATGGCGATATCAGTCAGGGAGGAAGTGTAGGTCATGAAGTAGAATATTATGGTCAGCATTTTCTTTGCTACTTTGTCGGGTGGATAGCCTAGCTTCTCTGTTCCCAGGGCTGGCAGCGCGATACTGCGGTAGTCGCTCTCAGAAGCATCGTACAGACACTTGTATACAACTTTCTCCAAACCCTGTCCAGGAACAAACAAAAACGAGATTACGATATATCTTAATATTGTGGGTGTAGTCTAGTGGTTAAAGTGTTCCCCTGTTAAATCTACTACCCGGGTTCGATTCCCGATATTGTTACGATGTGTTCCATATGTCATTTATTAGTATAATTTCTACCATGAATTTGTTATCTTTTACATATTGATGCTTTGGCAACCAATGTAATGATTTATACTGATGGAAATGAATACGGGAGAACTTAGTTTTAGACAAAGGAAAATGATAATACATGGTTTCCCAGGCTTGTTCACCAAATACGCGTTGGAATCAATTTACACAAACACTACTCAACATTTGATTCCTACCTGTGTTGAATTAGTATGCGCGCTGTTTGAAAAGTACTGACAGCGAAGCTTATTTCTCTATCTTTCATCGTTCCCTAATTCGTTCCCATCAGTTTATAATATCAGCATGCATCCACTAATCTACAAGTGCACTTGTCAGAGCAATAAAGTGCGTGAGTGAGTTGGGTTTAGCGCCGCTTTAAACAGTATTCCAGTTATATCACGGCGTGTCAGCTTGAGTGTGAGGAAAGCAATGATGCAGGTGTCAGGCGTTTACCACATCGGTGAAACCCACGAGCAGCACGGGCATGGCTCTGACCAGGGTGGCGTTGTTCAAAACAACCTTAGCGCTACGACTGTCGTAAGTCTGTGTTACGTAATGGGAGTTACGATCACCTGAGCTCTAAGATCGCTTTGCACAACGACACCCAGAGCAATAAAGGACGGTTGGGTAGTCTGGAGGTCAAAGCGTTCACTCGTCACGCCGAAAACTCGTGTTCGCTTCCCCATATGATACAAAATGTGAAGTCTAGATCTGGTGTCCTCCGCCATGATATGACAAGAATAAAGCATAAACCATACTCATCCACAATAATGACATATGCATCTTCACTAATTCATGTCATCCATTCCAGGGACATAACTCCTCTAGCCTTGTTGCGACCTTAATTATGTGCCGACAACAGCCTTACCCGTCATGTATAATATAACCCACCCACGATTGACAATTGCCGTATGTATATCATTGCACAATCTGGCGTCCATATGTCGACTCGTATGCGTCCGTGAAACATTTAGTCCCGCAGATAACACGCTATATTTGCACTGTGATAGTGATAGCTATCAGCATTTTATACACAGTTTGTTGAATGTATGAATATAGGCCTCTATGTTATTCGTCCTTTAGTTTGCCGCTTCTATTGTACGCTCTAGACTCTCTACAAAGGCAATACAAAAAAGTCGACTTTCTTTACAGCAACTTCAGGACGTCATTGCTGTAGCTAGGTCAGGTCATGTGGACCAGGAAGTTGGGTCCTCGTTCCAGAAACCGATCTGTGCGCTAGGGCGACCCAACCGCCCATATTTTATCATGGAATTACGGCAGTCATAGTACAAAGACTGCTTTGTTGAAAGGGCCCCGGTCTATACCGAATGATATGTGTCATATAGCACTGATATTATCACAGCGTGTGTGAATGCTAACAGCTCATGCTTGGGAAAGGCACTCATGACACGGGGGTTGTAAGTCACTGTCGTACTGGTTCGGTAATACCTGAAATATTTCTTCCTTCTTAATGTGCTTGTTGACCACATATTTTTATCAACCAGGAATTTTAGACTTACATTGACGTGATCACATTTGTGCATAGTCATTGGTATATTGTTAAGCTCTAGTTACTGATCAACACAAAGAAAAAACATAGAAATAACATACATCATGGATGAAGCATATTCACGAACATCATTAATCCTTTACGCCAGTTTATAAAGAAAGTGACTGTGAAGTGGTGAAAGGGTTTGCGCGTAACGACCCACTTGAGCATGTCTCCCGCTGTGGGCTGGATCCCAAACTCACTCACTTAAAAAGTCGATCTCACATCCCTCCTGTTTGGGGTGGTGGGGTATGTGGATGGGGGTCGCTGGGGTGGGGGTGGGGGTGGGGGAGGGGGAGGGGGTGGGGGAGGGTGTGAGGGTGAAGTTGTTTACAGCGTGTGATTCTCGTTTGTGCTGAATATCATCGTTAGGTCTTTCCGTGACTTGATTATTTACATGTCGTGAGCTTAAATATCACTCACTCACTCACTCACTCACTCACTCACTCACTCACCTTGAGTGTGGGGTCGATGGAGTATTCTGGCAAACAACAGTAGAACACCTCCTGACAGTTGAGATTCCCTCCCTTGGTCTTCGCGACCTTGCCGTATTTGATACCCTTGGGGTACCTGTTTCTAAACTCCACCTGTATCTCGTCTCCGCCTGCTGCCGCGATGCTGGCAGATCCCTCTGACAGATCCAAGTCCCTGTCTACTGTGCTGACCAGCACATCGGCCTGGTGACATATACAGATTCCAACATATCAACAGTGGTTTGTTTGATGTTTCACTAAATCACATTAATATTGATGTGGTGTAATCACTTTCATGTTAACATAAATCAACGAATACTTTTACCTGGAAATAAGTTTAGCACCGCTTACTACTACTTGAACCACTACTTGTGTCCATCTAGAAGAATATACAGTGTTACCGACTTGTCATCAGATAAAGGTGATATCTTAGACATGTATAAGAATGTGCTCAATGCCATGTTTGTATGTTTCCAAAAGTCACATGGAAGTATGGGATGACAATAAAGAAGACATGGCGCTTAGCCTCTTTCCAGGAGCACATTTGAGAGTATTTATCTATATTTCTATACATCTCCTATACATCTAATGACATGACCTGACATCATATTACATGTTTGAAATGTCAGCAAAGTGACTGCCTACCCGTTGATGGGCTATTTCTCCTTGGATAAAGTTAAGATCAGTGTCGATAATGCTCGAGGCTGGTTCTGAAAGGAGGAAGGTGGAAGTGTGTTAGCTTTAATATCTTACACTGTGCTCAGTGATCCCCGGACCGGCACCAGTGTACGAGTTATCATTAAGGTGAGACTGGTGTCATTAAGCTGAGACTGGTGTCATTAAGGTGAGACTGGTGTCATTAAGCTGAGACTGGTGTCATTAAGCTGAGACTGGTGTCATTGAGGTGACATGGTTTGTTTTTAGTTCAGATCACTCTCAACCACTTGCAACTGAAGTCATTACATTCCAACTGAATTGAGTTCAGGCGGAATTGTCGTTTGTTATAAACTGTATTTAGGAATACATCAGTTTCACTTGATTAACTTGTAAAACAGTACATTGTACGCATTTTATAATGTCTGTGTGGTGCATGAACTAGACCTTTACTTCCAACACCCACAAATACAGTGTCAAAGAAGTCATTCTGACTAATTCACAGAAAAAGTTATGTAACGTAAACAATTTCAGAAGTATTATACCCACCACCATCTTCTTTGACATCGGAGTACACGCCCGGGTCGACACTCACAGCACACCGGAACCTGTCCTCAATCTTTTTCAATTCCAGTCTGCCACGGGGTGACGTCAAGAACCCATACACATGGCGTTTGTTCATTTCAAACGTATCCTCTTTAATATCCAAAATTGCTATCTTAAGACTATTCACCTTCTTCTTAAAGTCTGACCCACTCCCTTTTACAATGAAAGCATCAGTAGCATACTCTACTTCAACGAAATCCTTGACCAGAGCTTGAAGCGAATGTGAGGGAAATGTTTCCAGGTAGCGTACCTTGCCGCGTGATATGTTCAGCTCTTCACTATTGAGAGGCGGGGACTCTACTATTGGTTGTTCTTCTTTGTGTTGCGGTTCTGAAGTGTCTCCAAGTTGTTGGGTGTCTGTGGGGGAGTCTTCTGTTTGTTGCGAGTCTGTGGGAGAGTCTTTTGGTTTTTGCGAGTCTGTAGGAGTGTCTTCTGGCTGTTGCGAGTCTGTGGTAGTGTCTTCTGAGAGGGGAGACATTGCCAGTCTATTGTCGTATAAGTCGACGTCGGGCTGCTGTGATCTGTAGTATGGGTACACGATGAGGCGAATACCGCTGACTTTGTGATCTCGCATCTCGACATTTGACGCATCTTAAGGGAATCAATATAATTTCAAAAGATGATACTCGTATGGACTCTGCTAATGACACAGTTTATTTGGTAATTACTATTAATCGTGTACAATTATGTTATATGTATAATTTTCTCGAATGAGCCCTCTGGCCTGTATTAGAAGGTTTGAAATGTCATCTTTAAAATTCAGTTATATTTTACATGGGGAAAATGGAGGATCATTGCACACTTAATTTCGCTTGGCACGAATATTTCCGACGACACCAAATGTACATAGGAGCCCTACATCCTATCAGAAGATTTATTATTTTTTAAATACGTTTTTCCTTTGTATGGAATAAGTAAAAAAATCATTTTTCATTTTTCGGCGCGAATGTAAAATGTACATGTGGGCATTTCATTTTATTTTCAGCTCGCATTGAAACTCAGTTTTTAACATAATGATAGGAAGCCACGCAATGGCATTATGGAAGAATAACGTCAAATTCTATATATTAAGTACGTTTTCACGCATAACACCAAAAACGATGTGTAAATGATGATACATTTACTGGTTGTTCGATATTAAACAATGTAGCATTTGACTTCATTTTTATGATTCTCGCGATCGGCTAAACCACGAATTAATGTCAAACTCTACAGACGTTAGAACCCGTCGATGCCATGAAACGACTCAAGTATTTGTATCATTTCGAGCAATTCAAACGTTAAGGGAGAGCATTTATGGATGTCAACTTCTTTATTATGGGGGACAAGTATATACTTAATCCTTCATCATTCACAACGTTTCAGTGTATATACTTACTCCTTCACCATTCACCTAATGAAGGAGGAAGTATATATTCGAAAACATTGTGTCCCTCATAATTAAGTAGTTGACATCCTAAATTCTCTTCCTTATGTGAAACAGTTCTAAGTGCCTTTCAAAGACTTAATTCAAACGATGAAGTTTTGCTTTCGTTCGTGATGGTAATACAGCCGTTCACTAAACATCTGGAGGACACGGTTGCCCGTGGTTTCACCAAAGTGGTAAACGTCTAAACTTAAATCTCATCTGGCTTTCCTCCCAGCGACGCCGTAATATAACTGAAATACTATTGGCAAAGCGTCGTTAGAGCAAACTCACTCACTGACTAAGTATCTGGTGATCCATGCTACTGTGCATGAATATCGACTGAATAAGGTGGACGTTTACGCTCTCTATACCTACCAGATGCATCTCCAAACGTCACCCGGGCGCTGTCGTCAGACAGAACATCCAGGAACTCGAGTGTCCCTCCCCCTGACTCATCCCGGCTCTCGAAGTACCTCCACAACGCCTCTCTGTCTGGCAACGTCTCCGACGACTCGGGTGCGACGATGACCGTCCGGTTGTCTATATCTGCAAAACAGAAAAGGATGGTGTTAGTGCTTATTGCACATTTACAGTTGTTCTTATAAATTGATATAGCGCTAGTTCATCCTTACGTAAGCAAATAAAGTGGAAATGAGATGATTACAACATATCACCAAGTACTATATATAACGTATATAACGAAATAGAGACCCTAAAATATTACGTACAGTTCAATAAGCCTTCAAGCAGACAGTTTACGCATCACTCGGAGTTAGCAGCACATAATATGCCCATGGTGAAGAGTTCAATAGAAACCCATAACAGTTCAATATGCATTAACTTATAACGGGCAATACAATAGTAACTAATATAAAACAGTTCAATATGCACTCACTTATAACGGGCAATACAATATTAACTAATATAAAACAGTTCAATATGCACTTACTTATAACGGGCAATACAATAGTAACTGATATATACCAGTTCAATAGGCACTTACTTATAGCGAGCAATACAATAGTAACTAGTATAAAACAGTTCAATATGCACTTACTTATAACAGGCAATACAATGGTAACTAGTATTAAGCAGTTCAATATACACTTACTTATAACGGGCAATACAATAGTAACTAGTATAAAACAGTTCAATATGCACTTACTTATAACGGGCATTGCAATAGTAACTAATATAAAACAGTTCAATATGCATTTACTCATAAAGGGCAATACAATAGTAACTGATATAAAACAGTTCAATATACACTTACTCATAAAGGGCAATATAATAGTAACTAATATAAAACAGTTCAATATGCACTTATTTATAACGGGCAATACAATAGTATCTGATATATACCAGTTCAATATGCATTTACTTATTACGGGCAATACAATAGTAACTAATATAAAACAGTTCAGTATGCATGTACTTACAACGGGCAATACAATAGTAACTAGTATAGAACAGTTAACTATGCATTTACTTACAACGGGCAATACAATAGTAACTAGTATAAAAGAGTTCACTGTGCATTTACTTACAACGGGCAATACAATAGTAACTAGTATAAAACAGTTCACTATGCATTTACTTACAACGGGCAATACAATAGTATAGTTACTAGTATAGAACAGTTCAGTATGCATGTACTTATAACGGGCAATACAATAGTAACTAGTATAGAACAGTTCACTATGCATGTACTTACAACGGGCAATACAATAGTAACTAGTATAGAACAGTTCACTATGCATTTACTTACAACGGGCAATACAATAGTAACTAGTATAAAAGAGTTCACTGTGCATTTACTTACAACGGGCAATACAATAGTAACTATTTTAAAACAGTTCAATGTGCATTTACCGTCAGCAGACAATCCAGGTAGTTGCTGAAACATGTCCTTCTTGTCTGCCATCTGCAAAATGTAACACGTCAATTAGGTATCTCCTTGTAGTCATCGACTCTTCAAACAGGAGACGTCGCTGCATCAAGTTCAGGGTTCCGGTCTGCAGCTCTTAGGGATTAGTTGACGCGAAAGTCGATGCAATAATAGCATATTTTTAGAATACCTCGCGTATGTTACCTTGTGAAAGGATGTTCAGTTCATTCGATGCACATCCAACATCCCCTTAACTGTTTGTAAGTTAAAGGTTTTGGGGTAGATTTGTTTTTAAACAATTGTTTACCTTGGGGAATATAAGGTGCGTGCAGATCCAGCGGGTATATTGCACACACGGCAGTGACTACACCGGTGAATAATGTATCTGACCCATGTATTCCCTACCTGCGGAGTACTCTGTTCATAGAGCATGTCAAGGATTAGAAAGGATATTCATGAACTGTATAACGTCGAGTAGAGAAAGTGTGACTACTATGACACGATCCGTTTGCAAGCGAAAAGGCCCCGGTTATATATGTTAGGTTCACTTATCACCCAGAATAAAACATCGGAATAAGATAGAAACACACCTCAGTTTATGGCTTATTCATTCCAATAATTACAAAATATCGTGTATGCAGGTTGATTCATTTCCAAGAATAAAACACCCGATCTATCGGTTAACTCGTTACCCAGAATAAACAGAATAAAACACATCAGTTAATGGTTGACTGATTGCCCAGAATAAACTACCTCAGCCACTGGTTCACTAACAACCCAGAATATATCACCTCATCCACTGGTTCACTCAATACCCAGAATAAAACACATCAACTACTGGTTCACTCACTACCCAGAATAAAACACATCAACTACTGGTTCACTCACTACCCAGAATAAAACACCTCATCCGCTGGTTCACTCAATACCCAGGAAAGAACACCCCATCCTCTGGTTCACTCAATACCCAGAATAAAACACATCAACTACTGGTTCACTCACTACCCAGAATAAAACACATCAACTACTGGTTCACTCACTACCCAGAATAAAACACCTCAGCTACTGGTTCATTTACAGACCAGAATAAAACATCTCAGCTACTAGTTCAATGTTTGTATTTGTTTATTGTTTAACGCCGCACTCAGCAATATTCCAGCTATATGACGACGATCTGTAAATAATCGAGTCTGGACCAGACGATTCAGTGAGTGATATCATGAGCATCGTTCCACGCAATTGGGAGATATTGACATGCATCAAATAAGTCATAGAGTCTGTCAACCAGTTCCCGTGAGTCGCCTCTTACGACAAGCATGGGTTGCTGAAGACCAATTGTAACCCGGATGTTCACGGGTTACTGGTTCAATGGGTTGCAGGCTCAGAAAACACTCAGTTCATGGTTCATTCAGTGCCCGAAACTATGGAACTCAAGATCAGGTCACGATTCGTTCACCCCTTAGAATGAAACACTTTTGTTCTGGTTCATTCAACAACAACAATAACAACAACAACAAAACGAAACAGCAACGTAGATCAAGGTTCATCATACACCGTGAATAAAAAACCTATCTTTAAAGTTCACTCAAAATCCAGAATAAGACACACACACACACACACACACATTCATACACACACATACACATTCATACACACACACACACACACACACACACACACACACACACACACACACACACACACACACACACACACACACACACACACACACACACACACACACACACACACACATTCATACATACACACACACACACATTCATACATACACACACATTAATACATACACACACACACACACACACACCTCAGTTTAAGGTTTATTTATTTCCTAGCCTTAGAAAAACAGATCACAGTTCATTTATTACCCAGACGAGGACACATGAAATGAAGAATAAACTACCTGATCAGTAAAAGGTTCATTCATTAACTGATTAAACACAAAAGAATCGGGTTCATGCATACCACTAAATAAGATGCCCCATTTCTTCAAATCAAGACACTTCTTTACATTAGAGCATGTATCGATAATCCTAGTCAGTATGGTCAAACAGAAAATGTCCTATCGTTTTGTAGCTTACATATCTACATTGGATTTACAGAGACATACGCCTGCGCGCGCTGTTCACACACAGGAGGGGACATGTATTTTACCATAAAGAACACACACCTCTTTACTCCAGCATTAGCATTTAGTGGTTAGCATTATCACCCTGTCCTAGCTCATTAGTCATTCTTACCGAGTGACATTGGTGATCAAGTAAAGCAGTTGATATCCTACTGTATCCCACGTTGTATGTTTGCCAGGAGTGAATATAAATGCACTTGCTTCTACGTACTGGCGAAACGCAGTGTGTCCACATAAAGGAAGCATAATATCTGGTTTCATGGACATGAAAGCAAACATTCTTACGCGTACCTATAGCCGAGGAGCATGTCGGCTAAAGTCTCGTGAAAAAACAACTGGGCAGTAATAAACGCCAAGTCATAACACACTTCGTACGAAGCCATTATAATTAGCTAGGTTTCATATTACACTGCGCACAACACCACCCACATTCAACGTGCAAATATACAGCTGCTATTTTGCATTAGTCCATTAACTGTGGAGAGTTTCGATGAATGTATGTTTGAATAAACTGAATCGTACAGTCAGATATATATATATATATATATATATATATATATATATATATATATATATATATATATATATATATATATAATGAGATTTTCATATTGTATGACGCCTTATACATGAATGACATTATCGTATATATATACGATAATGTCATTCGTATATAAGGCGTCAAACAATATGAAAATCTCAAACAACCAGGAAGTACATAATTATTGCAGCGTTCGGCAAAGCTGAAATGTTACTGGTGCGTGTTACCGGAAGGTTCCCAAGATGATAGCAAAACGCCTTGTTGTGTAACACCTTGTTGCTATTGACTCCAAGCCAACATATTCAGTTGACTCAAATGGGTCTCACAACAAAGCGTTCCCTTTTCATTATTCAATTAAAATTCAAGACATTACAAAGTGTGCACTTCCTTTGTGTCAGAGATAATTGGAAAATTCCACCATTAAGAGGTTTTTCTATTTGTATGGCTGTCACAACAAAAACGATACGAATACTAATAACTCATATTAATGCACGTGTTTGATAAAAAGAGCAATGCATGTGGTCGATATCATATATTTGTCATTGTCAATAGGAGCGTGTCTGTTGTAATATGATGGCATGTAGTCTTGATCATTAAGATACAGACGCCCAAACACTAACCTACCCACGTCCTCATTCACTCACTCACTCACTCACTCACTTGGGGGAGAATGAATGTTATCTAAGCCACAGTGAACAATAATTCAGCTGTATATGGCGGCGATTCTACAACTGGCACTGTATTTGGAGGTAAAGATGGATGACATTTAAGCAAATGATGCCTGAGTGTGCTTGCGCTCAGTTGGACATTAGTATGAGGTCATGACTCTCAATGTATTGTTATCTCACAAATATTGAGGGGCGGTCGGGTAGCCTAGTGGTTAAAGCGTTCGCTCGTCACGTCGAAGACCCGGGTTCGATTCCAGACATGGGTACAATGCGTGAAGCCCATTTCTGGTGTCCCCCCGCCGTGATATTGCTGGAATATTGCTAAAAGTGGCGTAAACTCAAACTCACTCACTCACACATATTGAACATGAAGATGTGGTTGGCTACAATAGACATATTGTACACATGGCGTCGGTTACTATTAACTGTAAAAGTCATCTGCCTCTTGCATTCTTATCGCACAATCATCACACTGGCCTGTCACTGTGTTTTGGTGAGGTACATGAATTGTTGAAAGCACGAGTAACGATCCTTTCCTTTAGGGCACGAAGACACAAAATCAGTCAGATCCCAAGTCGTAACAAACATAACCTCATAAAAAGCATGGAATACTGTGGACAATTCTGTCTGAGGCTACCCACTGCATTCTGGACAATTGCAACGGTCAGTACAATGTTATAACATTATGTGAATCATATTAATATATATTTTATTTGTATGTAAATGTGTAACAATGATGTGATGAATCCACAACTTAATCCATCCGTAAAGACAGTTGTCAGTGTACTTCCTGTAACAGTATATCTGACGCCTCTCGCCTCCATTCACAGATGAAACATTCGATCTCTCGTCGGTTGAAGGAAGATATAAGATTACTTACAAAAAGTAAGATACAACTTGTACACAACAATGTAGCTGAAATTTACTTCACCTTGTGTCTGTGGATCGTCGGGTCTTACACATAACCAGGAAGATGCATGTAACCACATACCTGAAGTGTGATGCCCTTCTCAACATATCGACCTGTTCTGCGCCACGATGTTCGTAATGCGTGGTTTGAAAAAGTGGCTTTCCTTTTACAAACTACATTTATGTTGTTGTGAGCGAACATAACTTGATATACTGGTTTAGGATTCAGATCTTTGCTGAGCGTTTGCTAAGGCTCGCGGTGGACACCTTTTCCGTGTTATAGAACTGGAGATCCTGGTACGAAAAGTATTTTAGGATCACACACTCTAATGCGTCATTATGGTATCGAAAGGAAGTGAACGGATTGACTATACATATTGTTATTCCACAGAAAGGCGTAATCAATCTCAGATTGAATATCCTAACAGAAACTAGAATGTTCTCGTGTTACACAAAGGATGTTTTTGAGGAAATAATTACGAACATGTATTGATTAAATATCGTCATTGTAACCATGGTCGTGTGCATGCACATATATAGCGATGAAACCTTAACAATAATATTTTCTGAAATAATATGAATAATGATGTGTGAAATGCGCAGAGTATACCCACTGACGCATGCTCCCAGCGCTATACCATCATCCCGGACAAGGATTAAGTGTGCACTCATTCTCCGCTCCCTGGGGAGTATACGACCCAAGGTGGCTACGAGGCGCGAGGTGGTTTACAGTCACATAACCTCATACTACCTAGTATTTATGTGGGGACAGGGGTTTATTTCGAAGAAGCTTTTGTCTTGATAGTTTGATAAAGAGAGAAGTCGGTACATGTGGTCGAGATAATTCATTTGTTATTGTCAATAGGGACGCGTCTGTAGTAATATGATAGCCTGTCATCTTGATGGATAAAATACAGACGCCCATCCACTCACTCCCTAACTCACTCAATTGCAGAATAACTGTCTTGTCACACCTCAGTGAGCAATATGTCAGCTGTATGACTCTACATCTTGTCACTGTAGGCTGCATTTGGAGGTAAAGATCGATGACTTTTAAGCAAATGATACATGACTGTACTACAGTTTGACATTACTATTAGGTCATATCACTCTCAATGTATCATCCCGGACAATGAATAAGTGTGCACTTATTCTCAGCTCCCTGGGGATTATACAACCAAAGGTGTTTACGAGGCGCGAGGAGGTTAACGGTCACATAATCTCATCCTACTTCGAACTAATGTGTAGACGGAACAAGCTTTTGTCAAGCTTGCCGACGCGGTCACCCATCCATCAATTCTCCGCCACCATCTCTTGCTCAGAAGTTGTTATATCAAGGTTACAACATTCAATGCCTCAGTCATCCGTGTAACTGACGTGCGCCCCACATGATTCCAACACATGAACAACGAATATACATGCCACTTTTTAACTTGTCAATTAGCTCCAAATAAGGTCATAATGTATCCATTGTGGAAGAGTGAGTGAGTGAGTATGTTTTTACGCCGCTTTTAGCAATATTTCAGCAATATCACGGCGGTGGGACACCAGAAATGGGCTTCACACATTGTACCCTTGTCGGGAATCTAACCCGGGTCTTCGGCGTGACGAGCGAACGCTTTAAGCACTAGGCTACCCGACCGCCCCCCATTGTGGAAGAAATTACACGTCATTAGAGAATGTACTGTCTGTATGGGGTTCAATCCCATTCTGCCTACATCCCAATTTGCCTACAGAAAATAATGCAGACAAATTGGGAACACAGTTTCATCCCCATCTATTTACAGTAAACTACGGTTATAACGAACTAATTAAGACCACTAATTTTAGTTCGTATTAACCGTAGTTCGTTATAAGCATACATACAGCATATATACAACAAATGGTCGGGACTAAAAAATAAGTTGGTTTTATCGGTCAGTTCATTATAAGAATGTTCGTTATGAACGTAGTTTACTGTATGTAAATGACACTATTGTTTGACTTATTTTTTTAAATACCTTTGCCCAATTAAGTCAGGCTTGTACTGTTGCAGCTTCTTGTATAAAATGTTAGTCATCGATATAGCTGAGTAGAGGAATGAAATTATTATACTTATTACTGTTCCATCTGGGACTCCGGAAGAAAGACAACCATGCAGTTCCTAGCTGCCGCTGGTCACCTTATCAAATTTGGACAATAACTTTTATGATTTGCCTTTGGTTAATTGATTGAATGTGAAATTATTGCCAAAACTATTGTTATATTTTTTCTTCTGTGTTATATTATAAATATAATATATCCGTGACTTTTATTATGTGTTATGTTTTATTTCATTTAACAAGTGTTTCCCATTGTGCCTACACTGTTTTGTTGTCTCAGTATGGACTAGTTTATCTCCTATCAAAGGTGGAACATGTAACAGTCATGTTCACTCATGTATCACTTTCTGAGCATTAGACCGTGCATGATTTTACAGTAGGCAGATAGGGACTGTAGGCATATTTGGAAGACTTCCTATATGGGGTTATGCGTATTTAATAAACTCGTAAAAATATATCTGCAGCAACACAAACTAATATTGCGTTTGATCATTACTAGTTATTGTTTGACCATACAGCGGTTTCCCTTATGATTGGTGGATTGAAAATAAGCATGAACAGAGTCGCATTCTTTACAAAACTGATAACATTCACTATAACACTTGTATGAACTCAGAATTATTAAATTCTGTACACTAAGTTAAACAGGACATATTTCAAGTAACAATGTAGCAAATGTAATTTATTGTCATATCTTACAAAACGTAAAATAAAAAAAATAAAAATGTTTATAACACATTGCAAGGTGCTATATTTAGCATGCATAAGCAAGTGGACAAATAAATATTTACACAGTGAAACCGCGTTTATATGGACATAATTAGTCCGGAAACTATTTAGTAATGTCTTCATTGTTATAGACATTGGCAGCACTCCGTAGAAATGATCCTGAAATTGTGTTAATTCAAACGCTTTCATTGGAAACACTAGGTTGTACTATTTTTGACGAAAAGCTTAATATCTATAACAGAGAGAGAAAAGGCTAAAATGTAAAGTCATTACCAAGCATGGTAAGACATTTGATCAAAATCAGATGGACAGTTTTACTGTAATTGGAGTAACAGTTAAAAGGGCTTACGCAACGTCAATATTACGACCATTTATAGACGGAATGGAATCATGACGGTATTTGCGTAGCTCCACAGCCTAGATTGGTTACGTTAAGTTGATATTGGTATTATTGTTGTTACAACCATACCTGCTAGTATTGGTCTACCAGTCATACCCAAAGGTAGTGTAAAAGTCATATCTCACAATAGTGGCGCAAGAGTCTTACCACACAATATTGATGTAACAGTTATACGACACGGTATTGGTAATCATCACACCAGACAGTACTGATGTAACCAGTCATACGAAAAGGTATTGGTGCAAAAGTCATACCACTGATTAGTGGTGTAACATTAAAACTATTGCAAAAAGACGAAGCTTACATCACACAACTTGCTAAATATATACCATGTGGTGGTGGCTATACATAGCTTTCTCAATATGACTACCGTGGTGACCACATAGAACGATGGCTTCGAACCCCTTGAGACAAATATGGGTGTCGTCATTAGTGGGAACAAGCATGTGAAGTTTCAGCTTCATTGGTCAATTGGTTTCTAATGATGAGGGGAAGATGCTTACAAAGCGAGGGCGAGGTGGTGTCAAAGGAGAGGATGTTTGCAGGTGAGCTAAAATATAATACTTTCTTCCCATATATTAGAGAATGTTCATTGTCATTGTTAGTTTGATTATTTGCTGAAAATCCTTTTGGTTGAGTCACAGGTTTCCATGCTGTCTGTCGCCTGCAGTATTGCGACCACACTGCCGTGACACTCACATGAAAATGGTGGTAGTGTGTTTTACTTGGATTTTCCTTTTTTGAAAACAAACAAGTATTTGGGGTAGGCCTGTGTGTCCCTGAACACGACATACATGGAGGGATTGTCGCTTCTGTCCACGGCGCATCCATAACGGACAGATCGTTTCCGGTCAATTAACGGAGTGTCAAACATTTTCTTGCTGCCCTTTGTTGACACGCCGGTGAGAACGTGCGCCAGATAGATGTACTTGTGTTTGGCATCGTCCGGAACAGAGAGGACATCATTGGCGGAATAACTGGCTTCGGTAGCAAAGTATACACCCCGTCCATACTTCGTGCCTGAAAAATATATTCACACTATACAGCTGGGCAAGCATCGCTGCGATTAATGTTCGTTTCATAATGTCCCATGTATGTAAGGTGTCTTTCAGGACTTCCTGTGTGATCTAGTGGTAGAGCGTACGCCTTGCGAGCGGAAGGAAGGTCGTCATAGCAAAAGACGTTAGAAAATGGTAACCCTGCCTGGCGCTCGGCATGTAGGCGCTAAAACAAGGACTGGTTGGCGCGGAGTCACTGTGTCCGAGTGGGGTATTCATGTTAAACTCAGTGGGTTAGCACTATGAAATGGGTTTAAGTCCGGACTAGTACAAGCACACACACACGCACGCGCTACGTTTAACCCCATTTTATCTCACCTCACCTTAATACCAGGTTTACATTACGATAGGTTGGCAGTTTTTGAATGAATGCTTTTATCTCAGTGTACCATATTTTCCATTTTCGCTGGAGGCTATTAAGACACAATATTTAGTAATGTTATTTTATGCTTTAATCAGCAACACCACAGGATTATTTATAAAGCCTGATTCTAATAGGGTATCGACCAGACAAATTAGTTTTTGATAGCATAACACCCATCCACGCCGCCAGGGAGGTTAAAAACACTATCAGCCAAGTCACACAAAGACTACAGATACGTGGTACTGATGAGTCCCAATGGGGTGCAATACATTCCAAATAACACTATTTACCTAAATAGTACGAAGCTATTTCGAAATTGACTCCTAATTATTACATAAAGGTCAATCAACGATAACTATAAAGTCTGAAAAAAATGAAACATTCTCACTATTAAATTATTAAATCATCTTTCTCCACTTTTTATATAATTGACACTGGCTGGTTACTACAAATGTCACGATCGGTAAGTTTTATGTGTATAGACCAGTTTAAATGTTTGGGTCTGAGTATAATGGTGACATGACGCAATTTTATTGCAATACTCTTACCGTTCTTTCCGCAGTAGCCTCTATTGAATCCATATTTGTTGATGTTTTTAATGGCGTCTACATTCGTACCATGCCAGAGTTGTCTTTCATTGCTCTTGTGTGGGTAGTTTCTTTCCATGGCTTCTTTCTGTATCTGATACTGCTCGTACAGGTACCTGTGCTGTATCCTGAACACCTGAAAACGTTGATAGAGAGGTACGTTACTAGCTACAATATATCTAAAATACACTAATGAATACAAGTAACTGTACTCTACATAAAGTTGAGCAAAAATAAAAATATTTTGAAATTTATTCTGAAAATAATGCGTCCTACAATATATATTCATTTAGACACCTCAACCACTTTAAGGTCCTGATTCACAGTTTTTACGTGCATGTTAATGCACGGGGCACTATTTGGGTGTTTGCGTGTTTGTTGTGAACAAGATACTCATACACGTGGTTTATGACCGTGCACAGCACGTAATGATTGTTTAGCTATAAGGTGCTCATAGAAACAACGGAAATAATTGTAACCGCTTACGCTTACGTCTGGTATGCTGCAAAGAGTAATGGAGCAAAACGAGTGAGTGAGTGGGGTTTTACGCAGCTTTTAGCAATATTCCAGCAATATCACGGCGGGGGACACCAGAAATGGGCCTTCACACATTGTACCCATGTCGGGAATCGAACCCGGGTCTTCGGCGTGATGAGCAAACGCTTCAACCACTAGGCTACCCGACCGCCCCTGGAGCAAAACGAAGTTGCCAGGCATTTTATCATGTCCTTGGAGGCGTTATCTACAGTCAGGGCAACACATATTACTTGCCATAGGCCGGTCGGCCACGGACAACTACATTCGTCAGGCACGCCCAGCTTGGTGGAGACAGAATCTGAGTTTCAGAAGACAAGACCGGGACATCTACAGTATACTGTCCACAAATGAGTCTAGGTTTCACATGGACAGCTCTGTCTGATGGTCGTGGAGGATCTACAGGCGTTCACAAGAACGTGTAAGCTCAACTCAACGTCAGTTTGGGGAAGGAAGTGTAATGCCATGCATGGGATGGGATCACAACCCATAGATGAACACTACTCATCATTGTCAATTTGTCATCTGGTGTCTTCAATGCATCGCTCCTGTCTCGACTGTATCAACGCAAATGGTGGTCACACCCGATATTGACATTTTTAATTGTGTTGTTACTGTAACAACAGCTCTCTTTACAGCGTGTCGCTCTGCTTCTTTTTACCAGGCAAGGGTTTCGTCAATGAAGTTGTTATGATAAAACATTGATGAGAAGAATTTTTTTTTCAATAACAGAACATTAACACATCTTTACATGAAGCACAATTACTTTTTTCCGTTAGTATATTTTAACTAATCCCTCTGTAATCGTACCACAAGGTGCACGGGTATGGTCCAAGTTGCTGTACAGTGGAGTAGAAGTCCTCCTCCTAGCTGATCGTGGGTTCGTATTCAAGATTCGACCAACTTATGAACCTTTTTGGTACTTTAGGCTCACTTTCAACCAAAATTTTACAAGACTTTACATGACTGAACCTCTTTTGAAACCAAACCAACTCACTCACTAACTATCATATTCATAACACAGCATCTCCCAGCCGTTATGCAAATTGCTATTGCTGGCAAATTCATTTTGAAGTAATGCAACAGATATAAAACAGATATTTGGTGATGTTAAGAAATAATCCATCACTGATTACATCAATACTATATTCAGAGCTTTATTCAGTCCAGTAAACATTCATGCTTTAGTTAATAAATGCAGTTAATATTCTATGTTATTGGAGCATGACAAGACATATTACCCCTAATATCTCAAACTTGTTCCCAGCGCTGGACATGAATATTTGACGAAGTTCATCTGCTTCGGGTCCCGCCATGATCCTGGGCGCGACCATATCTTTGGCACCCATGTCTTCCCAGGTATTAGGGAGAGGCACAGCTGAAGGCACAATAGTTAAACACCTCTATTACAGCGAACCTTTTGTTTTACTTACTAATACCATGTGTTATTCATCTTCGTGTATCCTGTGTTTTGTGTCGCCATTCAAGTCTGATAAGTACCTTGGACCCATTCGCTGCAATATCTTGGTTTCGGAAGTGACGTCACACCCCCATCGTTTCTATGTCCTACTTAGCATAGAATTTCTCTCGCTCAGAAGTGTATGTTTATTGCACAACCACTACTGTTTTTCGAAATCAGACTCAAAGCAGAGTTGTGGCTTCGAATGGCTCCATGGCATTTATCGTGTTATTAGATTGGCGATATATATCATACACTTTGTGTTGTTTTGCGTTTTCTAAAGATATTGAGTTTTGGTCTAATGTTGGTAATGTTGTGCGGCAAAAATATGAAAACGAGGAACAACTATAAAGAGATGATGGGTATAGTTGTTTTGTTTATCGCTACAATAATAGACAGAATCGAGTAATGAAAATTGAAAAAGGTAACATTGCTTATGTAAAATTCAACCTCCAATTGATTATACATGTATACCATTGAATTGAATTAATATTACGAGTCTATTATCCATCTCGATGTGTTCATGTCAAGTTTGACAGTTAAAGCCTTCAGGGTACATTGCAATACACAGTGTATGATGTCTGCAACCACCAACATACAATAGCATACATGGCAAACGTGATAAAATTGTATTTTGGACCAACCTGGGCCTTTTTTTCTGAAAATCTGTAGTGTGTGGTTGGGGTTTTCCCGGGGACTAAGCTCCATAGAGGTGAAGTCTATGTTGACCTTAGATGTCGATGTTGGTACCACAGCCGTAGGATGTGTAGACCTCATTATAAAAGCTTCTTCGATCAACATACTGGTCATGGGCGTGAACCCCATCTCAAGACCATCCTCCGTGATATACCACCACTCCACAATGCAGCGTAGAAGTTCGGCCTTTTCAAGGTTCTTCTTCAGGAACTCAATATTTTTCAGCACTTCCTGTGTTAGGCTCTTGGCCTTGATGGCGTCAACCTTCATCCCAGAGTGATGAATGACACAGTTCTCAGTAATCACCTCTGCCCTCACGTCAATATCGGCACACGTGCGTTGGATGTCTTTTACCTGGAAATGTTAGTAATACTTAAACATCCATCACAGCTGCATCAATGCGTATGGGACGATCTGACCTATGATATATTATAAGTGGGTATCGCAGGTAATTATCTGTCATGACGGGTCCTTTTGTCACTAAAATGCAAATCCCAACATGATTATGAGGTATAGACACCTGAGTTTGGAGAATTCAAATCAATCATAGGCCTATGGCCTCTGAAAACGCCTAGCTGAACGCATGTGGTTAATGTAATTTGGTACTTGCTGATAACACTCATTTACGCTCTTTCTCACTTCATCCCAACTTGAGTACTGAGAAATCAACGCGTTACATATTAGCAACCATGTATCAAAGGAAAAACCATCCAAACAGTTAGACATTGGCGTCTCCCTTGAGAACATAGGTCAATCACTTGTAATTTTGCACGATATTCGACGATCACCTAAAAAGTATACACTTTGTATAAATTCAAATAATAATATCATATTGCATCAGTGTATTCTAAACATGTAGTTTGATTTTAAGTATGTTTTATTTCATTAATGAAAGGTGAACAATTTCCTATTACATAAAATTTGATAGTTTTACATGTTCATTTCCCTATGTAATATATTCGAGTAAATCAGCTATTTAAATGTTCACTTAATAATCCCAATAGTAGTCGCTTTCTTAAGATCAACACAGGGATATATCATGACTTATCTTTTCAAAATGAGTCTTTTGTTGTTACTATTATTATTATCTCATATGGGTGGAGCATATGAACGTTCATACTAATATGTTTCTTACTGCTGTTGCTTATAATAACTTATGGGTATGAGAAATACTAACAAGGCTTCCTTTTTTGATCAATCAGAATAAAGTATTCTCCTAACCCATGTTTAGTCATGCATCACATTTCCTAGATAAGGGGGGCGGTCGGGCAGCCTAGTGGTTAAAGCGTTCGCTCGTCACGCCGAAGACCCAGGTTCGATTCCCGACATGGGTACAATGTGTGAAGCCCATTGCTGGTGTCCCCGCCGTGATATTGCTGGAATATTGCTAAAAGCGGCGTAAAACCATACTCACTCACTCACTCCTAGATAAGGTCTTAAACGCTGATTAGTTGTAACAAACTGGTATACCAAACCTATGGTTAGTGAAATATATGGAAGAGATATATATGGCCTCTGCGCATATTTGGAATAATTATAATGTCGACATGAGATCAAATCCAGACCTGTTGTTGTGTCAGTTCACAGATTGTTGGGTTCTCCAGTGTCTCCACAGACAGGTTCTCTCTCAATAGGTTGTCCAAGAACTGCTGACATTCTCCAAAACTTCTGCTGTTGTTAAACACTATGTTCATGACAAGTCCACCTTGCATTGTACTGCCATTGATGTCTTTCGGTGTTAGTGATCCTGATAAAAACAAGGGCACCTGTGCTGTATTTGAACATTCCGTTAGAGCATTTCTTTCTGTCACTTGTTATACTCAGAGACCATATGGTATTTCTGTGACACTGTAGTATTCTATTACTCAGTAACATTGTGGGTGTAAACGATGTAACGCGTTTCCGAAATTTTCCAGTTGATCCATCGAAAGTGCCAGAATGTCAAGAATTAGGAAAGATTGTTTGAGGCCAAGAACTATTTTGTTGTAAACAAACTTATACGTAAAAATATTTCAGAAACTATGATTGACATATTGCTATGGATAATTTTCACCGCTATTTTGCACAATGGAATCTGTTCCGTTGGAAAATCGTGACTAGATATTCGCTAAAATTGACGATATTTTTAAGTGGCATTTTTGAAGCTGTGTTATCAATGAAGATAGAGTTGATATTGCAAAAAAAGAAGTGAAGTCAATTGGTGATCTCAGTCTGCATTGAGATGGAGTCAAAGCAGACGTCATTTTGAGATGAATTGTGATTGCATATGGGCGATGTGTAACTTACCCTCAGTTGGATGTTGAGAAGACGTTTCTGCAAACCTGTATCTTCCCACACATGTAGAACTAAGATGTTTTTCGAACAGCTGCACGGCGGCAACTATAGCTGCAGGGTCAGTGAAGACAAGTCTGACTTCTCGGACAAACTCCAGTGCGCCCATGAGACCTTTGACGGAGTTGATCAATACTTCCGGGAGAGTTTCAGCCTTACCTGGGCATAGCAAAGAGAGAAGAAACAAAATTATTCTGTACAATATCTTTGAATATAATCAACCACAATATCAAAAACTTCTTGAATTCATCACGATCCCAAATGCGATGATGCATCATATTACTGGCCTTGTCATTAAATATAGAAACAATAGAGCTGTTCACAAAGCTCTATGGAGTGCACGCGTCCATATAGGCATTGCATACAACAATACGGAAGTCATGTCTCTGTATGTATTACACCCAACAAATCAGTGATTTAGTATGAGCAACATTATGACAACATGATCCTCAAGTATATTTTTAATGGCTATCAAAAGTAGCACTTGAGACCTTTCTGCCTCCTATCCCCACGGACAGGAGTGAAATACGACTCACCTGCCATAAGCGGGATGGCGATGGAGGTGACTTTGTTTTTCTCAGCTTTCCGCAGACACTTGCAGATCATCTGGAACAAGTCTCCGTAGAAGTAATCCTTGGATACGCCCAGTACACTTGAACAATGATGTCCGGGGACTCGCAGCATCACACCTCCTGACTTTCTGATGTTTGCATCTTTGAGCAAAACATAAGGTAATCAAATCATTCACGTTTAAACTATCATTTCGAGATGTGGTGTCATCACTGATTCTCAGTGATCTAGTTATATACGTTTCACCACTAGTTTTCCTTTTACGCCCAATGGAATGTGTTTCTGTACATAATTGAGACTGACTATTCTTCTGCAAGATTGATATTTCAAATGTACATGCATTGATTGCATCGGTTACGTTGAATTGCATTGTGTCATCTTGGATCGATTTGGATGTTTGATTCGGATACCATGAGGGCTGATACTTTTCTGTTTGAATATGGAGCAATCAAAGGGTAGGATGAAATGTTTGGAATGAAAGTTGTTTTGTCCAGTGTTGCCACTGATGTTGTGATGACGTTATCAGACAAAATCAGAACAGTCGTTTTTTACAATTAAAATGGAATCCGTAATCTACCTTTCCACTGACGAAAGGTGTTGTCTCCAAATTCATGTACAAAGGTCCACTTTACTTCGCCTGAAATACGAACGATAAAGACTGTACTTTGCCTAAATGATCAAAAATCTGTAAAATAAAATACAAAATAGCATTATTTGTGAAACATTACACGTATACGCCAAACTCCGTACAATACATGTATGTACTCCAAGGAACTCACACGAGACTGACATCTTGTTGTCGGTGGGGACTACAACAACATCCACATCTTCCTTAAAGATGTTGCCTTCTTTCACTTCAAGCTGAACATGGCCAAGGAGGAACTCTGTTGAAGAAAGGAGACCGTAAATTAAAAGTAAATTCAAAATAAATATTCGAATTACAACATGGGAACAAAAATGAAATTTAAAGAGTATATACAACTGTTATGCTATGGCCGTACCTGTCATCATTGAAATGTTTGACAGGGAGGTAATTCGTGGGTTCATTTTCTCACTGTCATAAGCATCCTTGAAAATCTGTAGAAAGATACAAAGTTCAAGATTAAACGTCCAAGGACTGTAACAACAATTTTTAAAAAAAGCTTTAGTGAGACTGGTCACTTTTGTGTTACATGTAGATACACCATACCAGAATTTATATACATTCTCGTGATCTGACTGTGTGTCATCACACCTGTGATAATTGTTTTTTAATATTAATGTAAGTTCACAGGCTGTCATTATTTATGTACCTTCAATAGATATTGGTCCTTGTGAAAAAATACAATCACAACCTCTGCTAGAGAACTGCAGTGGTTTGATGTTGAGAATTCCTTAACAGCCTCTCTAAAGCATATTCCTACTGTATCTGCCAGATATTGCCTTTTGCCTGTGCCAATGGCGGGGAAGGCTATGCTGCTGTGACCCGCTGTAGACGCTTTGTGTAGACATTGCAGTATTGTCTGCCGTAGAATCTATAAAGGTCACACGTATGTTGGTTATGCAGTTTCATTATTAAAGATATTATAAGTAACCAAAATTAACAAGACAAGTAAAAGAAAACGAGGTTCACATCTGATTGTGATAATAATTGAGTGACTGAGTGAGTGAGTGAGTTGGGTTTAACGCCGCTTTTAACAGTATTCCAGTTATATCACGCCGTGTCAGCTTCATGTTGGAGGAAAGCCCGAAGTGATGCAGGTCTCAGACGTTTACCACTTCCGTGAAACCCACCAGCACGGGTATGGTGCTGACAAACCTAGAAACGTAATCGAGGCGAACCGGGATTCGAACCCACAATCATCGGTTTCTGGGGTGCCCAATGGAGGCAATTCTGCACAGCGAATCACGAATTACTGTCCCCCCGAGTTACACATGTATTATTAATGGATATTATTGGCAGGAGATCAAATATAAGAGGTGGCTGACATTCGAGACGGTTAGTTAAACTTAAACATGATTATGGGAACTCAAGGAATCCCACCTTCTCAGCCTGATCGTGATGCTCTGGTCTACAGATTGGAAGACAGCAATGATACAGCTCCTTGCAGCGTAATTTTCCAGGACGAGTCTTCACAACATCACCAACTCTACAACCTTGTGGATAAAGCTCCTTGCATTCCACCTGTATGCTAGCGCCGCCTACTTTGATGATGGCCTTCGACAGGTTACTACCAGACAGGTCGAGTTTCTCGTTTGTTGAGTTGACAATGACATCCGCCTGGTTGTGAACACAGATTAGTGCATGATAGTACCCGTTAAGGAAAATGCAAACTATCATTGGGTTTAAACTGTAAAGTATTGCAGTCATAATTTGTAAAAAGCGGGAATCCGGGTCCATCAAGTAAATGGTAAATGTAAATGTAATCATACTATATGTTTCACGCCACAAGACTACTTCTCCATTTAATTACCTTTGTAATTGCGATATCTCCTAGTTTGAGAACAACTTCAATGTCAGCTGATGCAACGTCGTCCGGATGTTCTTCCCCTGGAAGAAAATCGTTTACAGATGATACAGATTATTGTACAAAAGGTCATAGACCCAGAAAAAAAAGTATTTACAGAAGGTTTGTTTGTCTGTTTTTTAACGCCGAGCTCCAGCTATATCACGGAGGTCTGTAATTAATCAAGTCTGGTCCAGATAATCCAAGGATTGACAGGGATTGAGTGTCGAGCTACACACCTGGGATACAATGACATGCATCAACCAAGTCAACAAGCATGTACACCCGATACCGTTAATCGCCTCTTACAACAAGCAAATAGTTGCTAAAGACGCGGATCTTCAAGGGGAAGTTCATGAACACCAGGTTTACACACTACATGTACATGGGTAGCATGCACAAAAAGTACAGGAAATGAGTGTGAACCGATCCTGGCAGCTTTTCAAATATAGAACGTCAGCCACAGAGAACAACCAGTTTCTATTATCTGCCGAAATAGATTCCATTTCAAATAGTGTTGACAGTTAAATGACTCGATCACTCAAAATCAGTGATTACACCAGGTGTTCGAACAAAGAGTAAGGATGTCCTACCCAACGTGTAACACCGTCATCCACACAACTTTCCTGCAGAAGTAAGAGTTTGTTGCCCGACGCCCCACAGCAGTTATCATGCCATGAGACGGCGGCCTGTAAACAAACCCGACGATAAAGTGATGGACCAAAAATGTCACTGACACAATAACACATTTACTGATTCGTAATTTTGAATAACGTCTGCTGTGTACAAGTGCAGAGATGCTGCTGCTTAAAAGTAGTGGGGGCAGTTTTATTGCGTCGACCAAAATATTTCTTTTGTTGTTGACTCAGCATAATACACAACATGTACACATTGACAGCTGTCAGTGCAAATCAACAATAATGAAACTATGAGTGAGTGAGTGAGCTTTGAACAGTAATCCATTTACGGCGCGTCAGCTTAATGTATGAGGAAAGCCTAAAGTAAAATTACCACTTGAATGAACCCCCACGAACATGGGTATGTTGGTGACAAGCATACTCGAAGCGAACCGAAATTCACACCCACAATCACAGGTTTCTGGCGTGCCCAAGGGATGCAACTTGTGAATTGTGGAGCCTTTGACGACTGGACCACCCAATCAAATGGAAAGAGATAAGTACGTGTAACAGTGTTTACACGATGCTCACAACAACCAGATGAATACAATGTTACCCTTTTCGCGAACAACTGGTGTCATCAGTGATGTTCAGTGATCCATTCATATAATTGTCACCTCTATTTTGCCTTTTCCGCCCAATGGAGACTGTTGCAGCGGATAATCGAGGTTTCATATTTGCATAGGAACCTCGTTTATGAAGTAGAAATTACATTCTTATTGAGAGCAGAGGGTTAATTAGGATCGACGGGACACGAGAAACACAAGGAACATACAGATGTAACATAAAGCATTACGTAGAGGTTGAATATTTCTGACGTTTTTTTATCATTTACGAAGCATTCCACGTAATGCGTTTGCATGGTAAATGGAAAGAACGTCAACAGCAAAACCTTCCTCATAGAAATTGTACCTACCCGTCCTCTCAGGGTCTCTACTAATGAAACACTTATATTTATCTTCCGCTTGTCTGATTGTCGACTCCCCTGTTGCGGATTTGAAATATTTTCTGCCCCCCATCAGCTCTGACTTGTATGCTTCCATCTGAACATCAGTGGCCAGGGTCTTTATGCGGCTAAAAGCTTCTTCAGCCTTTCTACCATGCATGATGATACAATTGGACTTGAGATCAAATGAGATAATGACAGACAGTTCTCTTCTAATGACATCTATTGACGATGAGCAGTGTCTCTGAAGAAACATGATTTTGTCTCTTTCTTCGTAAATCTTTCTTTCCTGCTTTTCCTCCCCTGAACCAGCTTCTCCTGATGTCGGTGTGGCCTGCTCTGGTGCGTACTTCCTCAGGATATGCTCCTCCTCGGCGTGTTCAACAAGCACCAGCAGGTTTTGTACAATAGGTAAAAGACGGTCCTGTTCTCCAACCACTAAATATCCTGGATGGTCCTCGGACTGACTCACCATTACTTCATCTGATGTTTGTGGAAGAATATTTGATAAATCTTTCTGTTTCATTTCCGGCCACAGTATATGCATTACTGTAACTGTATGTACTTTTATATCTCTAAGGACATCTGTGATGATTGTATCCATGCCTTTTCTCCATGTCTGAATGTAGGAAACTGAAGAGTCTGAAGAATCGAGGAGTTTCTCTTGTACCAGTGCAATGACCAGTTCATTATCCCCACTTTCGTCCCATCTGATTTCACCATGTTTAGGGTATACTGAGGTTGCTAACTTCATGCCATATGTATGAGATTGTTTCACAAACTTCACCTTGTTGATATCCAGGTTCTGAATGGTGTACAAGATATGGTCATCTGCGCGAAGCAGCTCAAGGTATGTAGCTGATGGCGGATCAGGAAGGCGTTCTGAATCTAGAACAAAATTTCATACAGTTTCATTATGCTATAATAAATATAATTCTGGAGTACATGTAATGTAATGTAAATTGGGACGAGGCATGAGTAAATAGCTACCCCAGCATTAATGAGCTAGCAGTTACTCTATTTACTTACACTAACTACCAGAGACGATGTCTGTATTTCAAAGGATACCAATTATAGATTGAGGTATGGATTTGAAATTGTCGCCATACCATAGAGCATTGTGTCCCCTTTGATGACATTTTTTGTTACATAAGTTTACCCCATTATTCCACAAAACATCCAGTGATATGTCGTGTCATATGCTTGTGACTTCATGGTGGTTTCTTACATATGTATGTATGTATGTATGTATGTATGTATGTATGTATGTATGTACATGTATGAATGTATGTATGTATGTATGTATGTATTAATGTGTGTGTGTGTGTGTGTGTGTGTGTGTGTGTGTGTGTGTGTGTGTGTGTGTGTGTGTGTGCATACACATATGTGAAGTTTCCGGGGTCGAATAGGTCTTCAGCAACCCATGCTTGCCGTAGAAGGTGACTATGCTTGTCGTAAAAGGCGATTAACGAGATCGGGTGGTCAGGCTCGCTGACTTGGTTGATGCATGTCATCGATCCCAATTGCGTGGATCGATGCTCATGATATCGATCACTGGATTGTGTGGTCCAGACTCGATTATTTACAGACCGCCGTCATATAGCTGGAATATTGCTGACTGCGGCGTTAAACAACAAACAGACACACAGACATATATGTAGACATGTTGACGCTGCCATTATGACATGACGTTTTTCCGATATGGCTAAAAAAATAGAGTTAACATTTTATCAATATTTCATATTCTTATATGTTATTATATTTTTCTATTGATGCTTACCGGATACAGTGTCCCAAGGGGAGATAATTTCACATATCTCTGATGTGATGATCTGGAGTGTTCTATCCCTTGGTTGAACAGCCTGGCCTTTTGGGCGGTCAGTACAGTACGACAATAGGCTACGCCTCTTTTCTCTACTGCCCAACGTTCTTCCAGCACGATTACGTAGCACTGTACGAGCACTGTCTCCAAAGTCATGTGTCACGTCATCCTCGTCAGGATCGTCAAACACGCTGTCTCTGCCCATCAGCAACCTTCTGTAAAGTATATCTTCATCCGCCACATCCTCAGATACACTGCTCATCAGAAAGCCCCGGACACCATCTCCAAACTGAGCTGTTGTGAGTCCCAGCTGTTCATCATTCAGCAGCAGCTCATCCTCAGATGTTCCGAACAGTCCGTACATTGGGTTGGTAGCCATTGCTGTTTGAAAACAGTCCTTCAAAAATAAGTCTTCTCTGTGTCGGCACCTTTTCTTACAAAATCGTAATCTTGTTTACGTTCTGTTGTTATAAAACTCCCATGGCGACATGCGAATCATGCAAAGTCTTCATTAGATATCACTCATCATGTCTGCATGGTATGTGCACGTACGTCTGGGTATACTTCGACATGGCTGCAATGGGCACTGCTATCAAATGTACCAACAATCAGCAGGGTGGCAGGAACTAGATCAGGCGTCCCTAGCCAAGATTCACTTCTTTGACAGTGTCAGTGTATTAGACGCCATGTCAATTACAAACCTGCTGTACTATCACATCCTGTTACAACATACCTTGAGCAGTTGGAAATACCTGCTAGCTAGACTGGCTACCTGTAAACTAATAGCCGTACCTGAGCACGTAGAAAATAGTGGATGTCTATATATATTCTATTGATTTTCTTCCTGCTTGAAGTTGCTTGCTGTGTCCTGTGTTGAAGTCAAAGGAAAATATCATGCATGGCTACTATCTCATTCTATTCTTAGTTCAGTATTCACGGTTTGCCCTAGATGTGCGGTAGTTACATTTCTGTTTATACAACTCGTATGGTTTAATCAAATAGGATCCTGGTTTACAAGTTTAGAGTTGAATATGTCTCACTAACACTTACAATTTGCTTGGCGTGGAGAGGGCTATTCACAATGTTGTTCTATACTTTGATTTGTTAGCGAAACAGTTCTCAGCAGCGAAATATTTCTGGTGTCCCCCGCCGCTCACCCACTTATAAACGAAAACATGTTACATTCAGGAAACGCCTATGTGGTAACATTATTTCCCCGGTAGAACTAAAGGAAATACTGCGTGTGCTTACTATATGAATACTAGTCATCAGTTTTATTGATTATCTCCAGACTACCAGTTGTCGGATTACTATTATGTGGACCATCTCTCTGCTCTTCGGTCGATAGCAGCACTCAGGATGTATAGAATATAGATAAGGCGATAAGTTTCGATGTTCACTATGATGTTGAGTTATGCTGTCCATGTACCCGGTCACGTTGTAGTCTGACTAGTTCAAGTAATGTAAGCTAAATGCTTGAGAGGGCATCATAACATTCTAGGCTTATGGGTGAATTGTTTTATGAAGCCCTGTTTAGGCGAATGTATTACGTCTGACATAACAATCTATTGGAACAACTAACTAGTTGTTGTGTATTTATCCAGACTTGCTATATGTATGTCTACATCCGTTTGTCTTCTGTAATAAAGAATTAAATAATAATTCAAACCTTTTCTCTGTTTTAATGACTTTATTCCTTGGTTCTCTTTTATCAGATCACAAAGTGATACATCACTGTTGCACCACACAATGCATTTCGATCGTTCAATGACCTACATGTAAAACGTGTACATGGTGTGCAAGTTAACGTCACGTACAATGTCAAACATTATCATAAATCATGTATAATCCCAATCCAATCCGAACCCAACTGATAAAGAGTCTATAAGTTATAGGTGAGTCATTTAGCATTCCTTGCAAACTCGAGTTTTATTAATATATATTTTAAACTTAAAAAGAGCAGTGACAACTTGGAATCTAATGTGTCTTCTGTACATATAACTGAACTATCTATTCGTCTATATTTATAAATTAAATATGTTCAGACTTTTGAGCTATTTATGCACATAAGCCTGTAGCAACATATAAATACGTCAAAGTAGTTAAACTACTTGTATCTATATGTGTGTATGCTTGTGCGACTCTGCGTTGTGACTTGGGGAAATAAAAACGATTGATTGATTGGTTCATTCATTGATTCATTCATTATATGCCATAGCATGCCACATCTTTATACATTAAATGAAAGGTATTTACTCAACTCATATGATATAACAATAACAGACTGAGTTTATAAACAGATGTATTCCCCAACAGTCATTCGTGCGTATTTCTCATGCGTTATCGGTTTCTTTTTTTCAAAGGCTTATCTGGTAACCAGTATAACAGACAATCTAGTGATCGATATTGTGAGCTACGACCCACACCGTCGGGGTACGATGGCACACAAACAACCAAGTGACCGAGCCCGACAATCTGACCCATGTAATCGCCTCTTACGACCAGCACACATTAATTTGGAAAGTAACTGGGGATCAATTCTAACCCCGAATCCGTATCTACACAGATATAGCACAATGAACCAATGTTGGCGAAACGTCTGACGAATGACTACGCTGCTTGCGGTTCAGTCATCCAATCAGCAGTGTTTCTGTGATAAAACTGGGTTGAGAAATCATAGATAAATATGATGGTCAGGGATAGATATCTGGTGTGTAGACAAACGCAATAAAACACTTAACTAAGCAACTCCTCTCAAAGTCTAGTCGAAAGAATCATGTCAGATTAAGGAAACAGTGCAATTCTCCCACATTGTTGTCACATTCATAATAGTGAAAGTGATGTGAACTACTTCAAATATACATCGTTGTCCTCAGACACTGTCACATTCATAATAGTAACAGTCAGATGAACGACTTCAAAGAAACAGTGCTATGTATGTGCATGAAGTGCATGTAGAAAATATCGGCATGTAGACGTCTTGGCAAGTGCAAGTGATGACTGGCATGTAGAAATAGAATGATCAATGGTGAAGGTAAACGGTTGTCTGAGTGAGGCAAAGAACTTTGTGATTTATCCTTGTTTCATTTATTTCGCGCTTGAAAATACTTCAATGTCCTAATAGATATATAAGCATTAAATTAAAATGCACACATAATGCATATATACTAGTATAGTAATATGTTACTTAAGTATGGTGTATGGCATTAAGAATCCACAAATACCCATACCACATTTTGACTATTTAAGCTTATAAATATGTCAAAGATTTAAGAGCACGTTGTGGCATTGCATACATTTTCCCGAAAAGTCTCTTTAAGCAAAATCAAATGTCCCGTTCAAAAACAGTTTTCATCCATATAAGTTAACCTTAGGCAAACCGTATTTCAGCCATTGTCACAATCGAGCTGTTTAATTGCAAATAGGTATTGGGGATAGACATGTGTTGCTCTGAAAACGATATACAGGGATGAAGTTTCAACATCATTTACAACCACAGTCGCGTCTGACGCCTTCTCTTCCGCTTTCGTGGGGGCGCCGGTGATCACTTGGCACAGGTAGATGTAGTGAATGCCGTTGGTGTCTCGATGGCAATATTTATCCCGAGTAGCGTAACTTGCCTCTGTGGCAAAAGACATGCCTCTGCCGTTGTTGGTGTCTGTGAATAATTGGTAAAGAAAAACCATCATAGTTGTATTTTGTGATTTGGAAAATGTTATTATGAAAGTCCAGTGAACAGTAATATAAAGATATTTTGGTATTAAAAGCGTAACGCTATTTTTCAGGGCATTATCATTTGCAGAAGCCCGAGGTCTTCCATTAACTGCCCGAGGAAGGAGTGCAGTTGAAAAGATCGAGGGCTTCTGTGCACAAATGATAAGCTAAAATGGATAGAATTTATAAGTGTTATCAAATAAAAATAAACAACAATATCGGTTTTGAAACAGTTACTGCAATCAACACGAATTTCACTGAGTCACATTTGCGAATATGGAAACGTCAAAGAACAAACCAGATGACGTATCTATTGAATGTGACGTCACCTTTCCATGTCCCGAAGACGTCACCTAACAACGGGCGTGATAATGGCCAGTCGTCAAGCAATATGAGGGCATTATCAAGTTACAATGGCCCGCTCATTTCCGATAACATACGGACGGTTTAATGATATATCTATCCATTTTAGCTGTAATATGTTGTATCAGTCCGTCTTCAAATAATTAACAGTTTATCATTTCAAACGTGATAATATCGAAACGGTCACAACGTGACGTCACTTTTCGACTTTACTATGATAAGACGTTACATGTATGGAACGTTTTGGCTTTGCATGCAGTCACAATTTCTAGAAAGAGTTCGGTATTGTTACTATGAGTTGGTTAAAGAAAAAGTGTTTAAAAAAACGTTAAAGTTTGTTCACTTAATGTAAATCATTTAAACCTCACGCTAACGTAACGTCAACCGTCAACCGTCAACGTCAATCGGGAGAGAAATATCTCTTCCGGAGATATAGTTTGAACTCACACAAGCGACATCTCTTGCGGTAGGCTGTTGCAGATATATCGCGTTATGGTAAGCTATTGTTGCCACATATGACAATGAACTTTGTTCATTAAAAAAAGATAAAACACATACACAAAAGAGGACAGAAGAGTTTGTATAGAGTTTTCAATGCACTGTAGCTTTTAGTGTGTATAAGTAGTTATTAAAATAACTTCTTGATGTGATAAATATAAGATTCAATTGTGTATCATTTTACCATTGTCACCAGAACGGGGAATGTCGAAGCCATGCGCATTAATGTCATCAATATCCTCCACGTTGGTGCCACGCCAGAGGAGTCTAATGTCGCGCTCAGAAGCTGGTCTGGTGTTCATGGCCTGCTTCAGTAGCTGATACTGCTGGTACCTATCCCTGTTCTGGATGCGGAGTATCTGTAATACAACGGTTTCATTAAACAATGGAGAATAGAGGATCATATTCCTGAATCGTATGTAAACAGTGAGAGTGTTGTTTTGAATGGGGCTTTGATAAGTATATCAATTCCCAAATGAAGGTCAAACATATTTCCTACTTCGGTGAAAATCGTACATACATGTGACAAAGCCGTTTCCATAATCATAAGAAATCTATATTGGGCAGACAGGCCATTGTTCATAATGAGAGAAAATCTGGGCGTCGACCAGAGGATCCTGATTCGGCTAAGGCTACGCACCCCTTACAGCAGCTTCTCGGACAACTGGGCTATCCATGTTCCATGTAATTTACCAATTAGAAGAATATAGGTCGCCAAAAGGAGAAACCTACGTCTACAATCTCAAAAGTGTTTCCAGCGCTTCTCCGAAATATTTCCGTCAGTTCCTCTTCTTCTGAACCCGATATGACCCTTGGTGTGGTCAGGTCACTGTCGTCCATATCATCCCATAGGTCCTCTGACCAAGTATTGGACAAGATAGACAAACCTGCGATAATGGTCAATATCATTAACATTTGGTAGAACAAAAACATACAAGTTCAGGCTCAAAACGTACATGAGGGAAGTTCGGCAAAGGTATATTTGGCTGGTAAATTATTATTTAGACATGAACCCTTCGTTTACCCTTATTTACTTGATAATATAGCCTGGATCCGACTATTGTGGCTTCATGTGAGCATTATTCCCTTGCTCGTGGATTTCACCAAGGTTGAAAACATTGCTCACTCACACGTATATCCTTACCCGATATAGTATATCTCCTTACACTTGCTTCACCGAAGGTCTCCTTGAATACCTGTACAGCTTCAGCCACTGCTGCAGGTTCAGCAAGGATCAGTCGTACATCTCGGAGGCATTTGAATTTCTCATGGTTGTTGATAATAGCCTTATTGAAAGCCAAGATGAAGAACTCCTCGTGTGTGTTACCTTTGTGAAAATAGCTCAACATTCATCCATTCATCAATACATTAATGATTTGTTTCATTGGAAGCATTTGAGGAATTGTGAATACATTTAAAATGGTATGTTTCACTGTGTGAAACTTATTTCCAATCTATGTTCACGGGTTGTAATAAGAGTGAATGACACGTTCTGTTTTTTGAGATAAGGAAAATAATTAACTACCGAATCAAAGGAACCAAACCGAAAAAAGATGGTCTTTTAAAACTACTTAAAAAACATATATTCAATCGAGAAATTTATTGCTATAAAAAGGATGACAAGATTTAACTTTAACACAAAATGATCACTTTTATTCTCAGCATTTGATTCTTAGTTCTCTGTTGACACATGCTATGTTTGAGTCTGATTGTGTGTTGCAACCGTTTTGGTTTGAAATATTACAATGTTTCTTTGCCAAACCTTTAAATTTATTAAAAAGTGCATTGTGTCATCCTATGTAATCCGAAACAAGTTTTTGACGGAATACTGTATTAATCTAAAATTCTGGGAACAATAAAGCATTGCAAAAACAACAACTAATAAACATTAACTACCATAATGAGCTTAAAACACAAATGAGCTCGTGTTGAAAATTGCCAAGTCTCTTTGTTTGATGAACAAGATTTATTCCAGTTCGAAACATTCGGGTTCCCTGAGGTTGAGGGTAGGGATTGTTTAACATGTGTAAGGTCTGTGAATTGGCTCTCGTTTCTCATTGGGACCTTACCTGGGGACGAATGTTACATATAATAACCCAGTATGATGGTTTCGCGCTTTTGATGTTGCAGTGACATTGTTAACGTCTCTATAACAAGTAAAATTTACGTAACTATAGGTCATTATGCAAAATTATAGAGAAATTATATATCAATATATATTTAATTCGGAGAAATCCCTCGAATTCGTTGAATCCGGAAGAAGCATCAACAGATTCTGGTAGTTTCCATTACCTAATATACGATACTTGTAGCGGTGAGATCGCATTGTCTTGTGCGTTCCTCGTTGTACCACAACAGTATGAATGAATGAAATGGGCATTGATCATTTGCCAGGGAAAGTTGTATATGTTTCCGCTCACTCTACTAAGGTCAAGGGTTTTGTGATAGAACTGTATCCAGTATTGTCGTAAAGAGCGCACTTGTTGTACAAGGAAAGCATACACGGCACTACAAGTAAAAGCCCGAAAGAGAAAACTCAAAAACGAATTTTCGCCTTCTCGACATTTCAGGTTTTGGGGACCCACTTGATACAACGAGGTCGCGAGATTGCAAACTCTTGCATGATATAAAAATGTCACATTCTCGGGTTCTTGACGATTTGAAAATACACATTCGTTTAAAAAACACGAAAATGCATAGACTGCAGCACCCTTGATTGTTTCGCCTTATCACCACATAAAGTACTGATTTCACAGCTCACCTGACTGGTAGGTTATGGCGAGCGACATGGCTTTGTCCTTGTCTGCTTTACACAGACACTTGCTGATCAACTTCCACAGGCTGTACTCTATAGACGATCGTGGAGTGGTGACAGTCTTCGTTGGAGGTTTGGGCAGAGGCAGTATCATAGCTCCTGTTGCCCTCAGACTTGACTCTATTGTGAAAATAAAGAAGCAGGATGTAAAATCCATAATTCTTCAAAGTACAGTCATTTCGAATTTCCTCAATTTATGGCTTAAATATAATTGGAATATACAAGGAAAACAACATATGTAAGCGTATCTGGTTCACAGTGCATGTATCTGGTTCATAGTGCATGTATTTATGTAGTACAGAATACATGCAAATGCGGGTGAGGTGGGCAGAAATGGGGTTTTGCGACTCGTTCTAGATTATCTTACTCATATTAAGATGTGTATGGACGTTTGTTGTGTTTGTGTGTGCTAGTACGGTCGTATGCCGGTTTTATATGGAGACCCCACCAAGACATATTGTTATGGACCGTGGGGTCGCTTGTTTATCGGACGTGTCGATTTCTGGTAACTGACATTGAAAGCTTTCTCACAGGATTTGACGAAGTACATTCAGGAGAAACTGAACGTGTAAAATAGAGGACTGTTGGGTTAACTATTTCCTTTCACTTCATCCCATTGCCTTTGGAGAATTCCCCTGACAGCTATATTAAAAAGAAATGTGTTCAAATATTTGAAATTTATTGATGAATTCTGATATAGATGTGACATACCACTTTAACTATTTAAATAATAACATGCTTCAACGGTATAGTTGCCTTTTTAAAATATTAACAAATAACACACCCAGTTTGATCTTTGTCAGTAATACTGACCTATAAAATTATATCTTTCAGGTTTTACCGGATTCTATAAATTAATTATTATAATGGATAATACATAAACGTATTACTGATTTAATCAATATTTAAACTTTCGCTTTGTAGTTTCATTCAATGATAAATTTAAATTTGGTTCAGGCGTTACAAGTCACAAACATTTAAAAATCGATATTTTCTAAATATCTTTATTTGTGGTTGATGATCTTTTGAAAATGTGATTATAAAGGAATTAAAACAGTATCGGAATTATGTTTAATATGTATCTTAATGAAATGCTTTATAACATATTTAAACAAATAATTTAATCGGCCGCACACTGTACATCGACAATATGCGATATGCGACCAAGTAGATAAAGTGTTAGGAAATCATTTCAAGTATTCGTTTCCCATTGAAGTTGGCCTTATGGTACAATCTATCTATTGTGTACTTCCGGAAGAAAGTCCGGAAACATTCCACACGCCGGCGCAGTGATGACTTATCATTACTTATTACTGACATAATCAAATTTGCGTGACCGGAATTTTCTCTTGCATGTAAACAAACGCTCTTATTCTGAGATCAGAGCAGAATGGCGTATTGCAGGCCTGTCAATGACCTTCACACGTGTTTGCATAATTATATAGAAACGCTACTACAACAGCGACTGTGAGGCGCATGACAATATATCTTTGTTCATCAAAGTGACCGTGTCACCAGCTGTCCATATGGCATCGATGACAGGACGTGGAGATGTACAACTAATGTAGACAAAGAAAAAATACGCAATTGGAAATGTTTTTTCACGTTGTAGGATATTTTTTTCTAATGAATCCATTTTATGACACATGTTTATGAAAGTGTGTAGACTTTCTAAATATGAGAAAACATGTTGAAATGACTTTTCAGACATGACAAACCGTCACATCTCGCTGGCCTATGGAGGTACCATGTTGACCGCAAGGAACCCAGGGTATGAGTTGCCGTGTTGGTGATGTTGGGAATCAGTATATAAATGATATTGAATCATCTTAAATGTCCCAGCTCAGAATTGACAATTATCACTGCATATTTATTTTCATATAATTGCTGTGACTATGTTGACTTCGTCCTATTTAGATGGCACGGCGTTACTCACCTGATACTGACATGCTGTCCGCGGGGACTACAATGGCGTCGACGCACTCCGTGAGGATGTCGCCCTGCTTCACCTCCAGCTGTAAGTAGCCCTGGAAGAACTCTGAAACACAGGAGACATGATTGAAATACGAGTGATCTTGAAAGTGTGTTTTGGGCAGGTCTAAAACGCAGGTGACACGGGGAAGTTTTACCGCTGAGTTTAGAAATACGGAAAAGCTAAGATCTGCCTCATAGATGAGTTTTACAACAAACCAATGACAAGTCATAAGCAACAACTGAGAAAGAATTCATTTATAATCAAAACATCGTCATCCAACTGAAATGAATATGATTGGTGTCTCGTACGTGACTGGTCGTGGACCATTTATAGTGAACCGTCTCGTTGTGATGAAACAAATGGTGACGCATAAAGCATTGAATCTTACCCGTTTTCTGCTCGGTAAGGGTGGTAACTCGCCAGTAGCGGGCATCCACGTCAAACGTGTCGATAAATGCCTTGTAAATAGTCAATAATGAAGTGGTATTTATTTATTTTTTAATGTTATTTGTTACAACAGAATCAATTTAGAAATTACTTTTTCTCAAGGGGAATTCCCTCGAATATACCATACAGTGGGAAAAGTAAAGTTCATTTAATATATGGTTAGCGAAACGTTGTTATATACATAGAACTCACCCAAGTATTATCTTTCGAATAAACACATTTCTGTATTAACAAATAATATTAAGGGAGTAATGAATGTCCTCTGTGTACATGTATAACTATAACAATAGTTGCCCGGATAACAGTGTGTCCGGATCAACGTGGCGTTACTGTTCACCCAAATAAACATCTACTTACCTTAAGCATAGTTTGATCTTTATGGAAGATGACGACCATGATTTCTTTGAGAGAAGTCTGAGGGTTTAATTGTGAATATTCCCAAATTGTTTCTCTAAAGACATCTGTCACTACACGAGGCGGATAGTTCCTGACTCCAGCACCAAGAGCTGGAAATGCTATGCTGTTGTGTCCTGCTTCAGATGCTTTCTGGAGACACTGATGTATTGTGAGACGTAACACCTGTATACGAGGACATTATACACATTATCAAAGGTGTGTTAACCACAGGACACATCACGCAACACCACAGGGACACATAACACATTATAATTACCACAGGGACACACATCACATTAGGTTGGTAGGTTAACTACAGGACGCATTGCACATAACCACATGTGTGTTACCTATAAAACACACAGCACATCATCATAGGCATAGGTGTGTTAACCACATGACACATGACACATTACTGCTGGTGTATTAACCACAGGAACACACAACAAAGGTATGTTAACCACAGGAACACACAACAAAGGTATGTTAACCACAGGAACACACAACAAAGGTATGTTTACCACAGGGACACACAACAAAGGTATGTTAACCACAGGAACACACAACAAAGGTATGTTTACCATAGGGACACACAACAAAGGTATGTTAACCACAGGGACACACAGCAAAGGTATGTTAACCACAGGAACACACAACAAAGGTATGTTAACCACAGGAACACACAACAAAGGTATGTTTACCATAGGGACACACAACAAAAGTATGTTAACCACAGGGACACACAGCAAAGGTATGTTAACCACAGGAACACACAACAAAAGTGTGTTAACCACAGGAACACACAACAAAGGTGTGTTAACCACAGGAACACACAACAAAGGTGTGTTAACCACAGGAACACTCAACAAAGGTGTGTTAACCACAGGAACACACAACAAAGGTGTGTTAACCACCGGGACACACAACAAAGGTATGTTAACCACAGGGACACACAACAAAGGTGTGTTAACAACAGGAACACACAACAAAGGTGTGTTAACCACAGGAACACTCAACAAAGGTGTGTTAACCACAGGAACACACAACAAAGGTGTGTTAACCACCGGGACACACAACAAAGGTATGTTAACCACAGGGACACACAACAAAGGTGTGGTAACAACAGGAACACACAACAAAGGTGTGTTAACCACAGGAACACACAACAAAGGTATGTTAACCACAGGGACACACAACAAAGGTGCCTTAACCACAGGGACACATAAGACAGATGTGTCAATCAAAACGAAGCAAATGACACAAGATAAGAGAGAGATTTCTCCGCAATCAGCGATATTACAGCTATCTGCGCGGTCAGTCTTGGTCAGGCAAATCAATAGTCGATAGTATAATCAAGATCCATGGCGTTGGGCAACATCAACTTCATTTAGATCATCCAATTGTCGTCCCAAAGAGGGAACCAATAATTTGGAATACTCCTAATTCATCAAAGTGACACGGACTTTCTCACCCGTGAAAATTCGGGTTAGAATAGGTCCCAGCCACCCATGCTTGCCGTAAAAGGCGACTACGCTTGTAAGAGACGACTGACGGGATCGGGTTGTCTGGCTCGCTGACCTGGTTAGTGCGTGTCATCGTATCCCAATTGCGTGGATCGATGCTCATGATGTCAATCACTGATTGTCTTGTCCAGGCTCGATTATTTACAGACCGCCGCCATATAGCTGGAATATTGCTGAGTGCGGCGTTAAACAACAAATACAACAAAGATAATTAATCAAATTAACTGATGCATCAACGCCATTTGTTTTAATTTAAAAGTTATTAAAAGTATATGTGGCGAAGAAAGCTATAAACAAAGCTATGTAACAGCAGCAGAGAAGATTATCCGTTGACGTCACCTCTTCATGGTGCTGGTGTGGTTTGTAATTTGGAAGACAACAGTGATGCAGCTCCTTGCAGCGTAATTTGCCAACATACGTTCGTATCTGCAGCACGTCACCATTTCTCATACCCCGTGGAAAGAGCTCCTTACATTGCGTCTGTACTATGGAGCCGCCTACACTCACAATAGCCTTGGACAACGCCGATGTTGACAGGTCGAGCTCTGTATTTGTGGAGTTGACAATCACATCTGCCTGATGATGAAGACATATCTTACTGGTCATGCATGTGTTATTTTATGTGTTCTGGGATAATGCAACCATATAACCATATTAGATGTAACATTCAACACAGAATGTGATTGACGCCATTATATGTATATCTATATCTATATATCTATATATATAAAGCATAGTAAAGTTCTAACTCTCAGGCACAATATAGTAATAATTAAATAAGTGGAGTAAGATTAAACACAGTTTTAATAACTTATGTTATGGCCTGAGTTTTAATTGGCTAGCGCTTTCAACTCGTACCCCGTACGAGTTGAAAGCGCTAGCCAATTAAAACTGTGTTCAATCTTACTCCACTTAATTAATTATTACTATATTGTGCCTGAGAGTTAGAACTTTACTATGCTTTTTATATATATATATACTACGATCTAGTAGATATATACAATTGGTGTGCAAGAGTTTGTTAAGTTACATGACTAATGGTCGCATTCAACGCACATACCTTTGCTATTGCTAAATTTCCTACTTTCACTGTGATTCCGATCTCAGCGGATGCTCCACCTTCTGGAACCATATAATATCAGTGGAATGTAACGATATTTCCGATGTGAGAAAGATTACACCTCATCTCCAATATTGATTAAGACTAACATCTAGTCTCTGAAATAAATAATGTTTACAGAAAAATACCTGTTGTTAAACTATAGTTATAAAATATATTGAAAAGGAGCCAAAAGACGTTCTTCCTTTTCAGATATGCAGTAGCATAGACTTGCCAAATCGTATAGACTTGCATGGGCTGTATTGGATTTAATTGGTTGAGGGTCTGTATGACAGACTAACATTGATTCTCAAATGTCGTTTATGACGAACTAAATTTAAGAGCTCTCTTGTTGAAAGACTAAATCTCCAGTAAGTCAGTAGCAAAGTACATTTTGAAACAACATTAAAATATATTTTAAAATGTAATTGAATAGTATGGTAACGTCTTGTTGTATTTCGTTCCCCTTTTGATTTAAGATCATACAGACCTATACGCAGCTTGCTTGTTATAATGACCACGCCCCCCCCCCCCCCCCCCAACCACACACACACACACACACCCCCTCCATTGAAATGATAGGAAATGATAACCTCTTTATTGAAAGCTCTCTTAGAAAGTTTATGTTGAGGTGGCCATGGCCCGTTTCAGAGTGCGATCGTCGCGCTCCGTCTGCCGATCCTCATGTGCTGTAGCACAGACATTCAACTTCACACTGCTATGCTCGCGTTTAGAAACGGGCCCCGGTCTCTGTCACTGCTATGTCATGAATCTATTCAGCTACCCTTTTCAGACATGTTCACCAATGCTGTTAAGAGTGACAATACACTGTGTACTGTCAACACGCCCTTGTAGACAGGGATGCATAAACGATAACATCCTTCTATATATTGCACACTTTCTGCACAACAGACACAATTAAACAAAACGTCACTTCTATGTAACGAATATACACAAAAATGTTCCAACTTACGGCGCTGAGCGCTATCCTTTCTTCTGTTCACATATGACGCCCCATTCTCCGGTCCACGCCATCCCTCTGGGGTTTCTAATCTCAGCTGTTCAGTACTTGACACCAATTCCTTCATGGAATTTCCAGTTTTCGGATTCATTTTCACGACAAAGCAACTTCACCTTAACAAAAGTAAAACTTATTACATAATTAAGGTGATTCAAATGCAGTTGAACACGGCAACCCGCTACAAAGAGTGAACTTTCACCTGCGTTGCTTCTGTACAACACAGACGAAACTTCTGTTTGTTATTTTTGTTTGAGATGACGCGCTACTCTCCAAACCAATGTCATTTTAAACAACTATTAGACCGTGACATGATACATAATATCAGCATGGCAATCCTAAATATAGTCTTTCCAACCCATGGTGTGTCATTTCTACTTGAGCAAGAAGGCTCTCGCGTAACTTGAAACACTCTGAGATACTTGTACTTCAGTAGCCAACTGAAGGACACGTACGCCAGCCTTGTAGGACTTATAGACACTCTAACAGCACTTACGATTTCATCGCAAGGGAACATCGGCCCTCACCTTGTTGTTCACTGACATTATTTTGTATCAGCATGACGTTTCATGCCTACAAACGGGTAATCTGTTTATCTAAACACTACTACTGTACAAAATATCCAATGTCAATGTGAATAATGAACAAATGTGTTGTATCCGTTCTATTTTAACATACACAGCACATATACGCAGTAGGATTAGTCTCAAGGTCCCCAATCACGCTGAGTCATATGGTTCAAAGAAGTTGTATTTCAACATACGAATACAGACAAAGCATACTGTTAACTGTAATCCTATAGTCAAAATATCTACAACATGATAAGGCGTCTGAATGCAGAGAAGTGAACGCCGACCATACCCCCCCCCCCCCCTCCCTCCCCCCCCCCCCCCCCCCCTCCATTGAAATGATAGGAAATGATAATGAATGAATGTTGATCTTTTTTGTGATTATCACCCTTTTTTATATTCATAACACAACCAGTCACATTGAAAGGGGCATTGTGCAGCCAACATTCAAACATATTTATATAATGTTGAAAGGGCCTATAGCAAGGATTTGTTGGCGTCCACTATTCACGTTGTCAACATGTATCGTGTGTCATCTGAAGGACTATATACCCTGGCTCGCGGCACGGTGGTATGAATAAGTGTATTCATTTTACGTCATAGTCAGTGTTCCTGATGTATCATGACAGCCTGTATACAATCGGTCCAGGCAGGATAAAAAACCCATGATGACACAGCGTCAGCGATTGCTGTTCAAAGCGGAGTTAAATCATACTCACACTAGATCTCATTGGGCAACTAACCATTGCAAGTCAGGACAGGAACAAAAGACAAAGCGTAATACGGGCCCATTTTGGCCAACTGGATCAGCATGAATTAAGAAATAAGGAAATCCTTTAGAAATCTTATGACTGTATATTAGACTTTCCTCATTTGCATATATTGAACCGATAACATCACCAACATAATATGTTCAAAAAGGATGATTTGGAGGGTTTTTGGGACGCGTCAGTAATATCAATACGTGATTAGAAAAATGAGCCTTTTCGCTCATACGTTTGATCAATTTCAAGTGAGTGAGTGTGTTTTTTTACGCCGCTTTTAGCAAAATATTACAACAATATCACTGTGGGGGTGGGGGGGTGGGGGGGGGGGGGGGGGGGGGGGCAACAGAAATGGGCTTCACTCATTGTACGCACGAACCCGGGTTGCGGCGTGACGAGCGAACGCTTTAACCACTAGGCTACCCGACCGCCCCTGAACAAGTTTAAACCTCGCAAATGTAAAAAGTAGTTCAGTAGTTTCCGTTACTTTACAATTTGACACTTCCTGTGGGTCACAACTGCCAAAACATTGAATATATATTGGCAAGATATGTTCATCATCAGGAGATATACAGTGAAAACATGACAGACTGTTTCCATGTTTTTCAGGTGAACAATTGACTTCCCTTTGCATGTGTTTGTGACGGGTGCCACCGTTCTCCTTTTCGTGAATACCTGGTATCAATACTATTTATATCGTTCACACTGAAAATAATTGACGACATAGCACCAAATCAATCAATCTTTATTTGTACTTGAGGCCTCAGGCCCATATACAAAGTATACAAAGTATACAAAAATACAAATTATACATCAAGGGTTATGGCGGTTTAATATAGATAGATAGATAGATAGATAGATAGATAGATAGATAGATAGATAGATAGATAGATAGATAGATAGATAGAGTGTACAGTAATTGATGATAACATGCACTCCTTATAAGTGAAGCTTTACAAAAGTTTACTACTATAGCTGGATCATAATCATTAATTAAATTTACACAACATGTTGTATGTAAATTTGCTTAAATATTTCTTTGGTACAAAAAAAGGTTTTTCAAATGATTGAAACATGGGCATTTCATTATTATGTGGAATTCATCCTCCAAATCATTTAAATTACAATTCGGACAGATTCTTTTACATTTTTCAACATTGTTCCATCTTCCAATATTGATGTAGATTTTTGCACCTCCAGTTCTTTAGAGAGCTAAGTATCGTCTATGCATTGGATATTTTTTGAATTACATATATGGTTGAGCATTATATGAAAATGTGTATTTACTGTAACTATCGAATCTTGTACTTTCTCTTAATTTTACTTACCAATCTTGAATAGAAATATATCTTAATCTAACTAAAGTTTAATCATACTTAATAAATAATCACTATTCAACTCATTGAGAGAACCAGACTTCTCCAAGCCCTATTAAACATAAAGATTATGTAATATTTACTGCCAAATTTCTCCTATCCTATTCATCTAAGTGTTTTAACATATTATATGATTTTTTTGGTATTTCGTATTTCAAAGTCAATTCGTCTATTAAATAATTTAATAGTTTGTTTGCCGGGACTTAGTTTAATTGTTGGCAAATATTATTCTAGTCATTTTTTGGGATTTATATTTAATGTGTAATATATCAGATTCACATATTTAACATACCTGGTTCCTGGTTACCATCATTAAAACTTAGATCGCATACTGAAATTACGTATTTATTGATGTGAGCGCGCATTTATCATTATTGGTGGATCTGATCAAAACACACGTCAGGTACAAAACATATGACTGTCCTATAATGCATATGTTAATCTTCAGTCAAGTCTGGTTAGAACAAATACAGCTAACAAACAATAATAATTCATGAAACCGTCGAGCTGACGTAAACTGATTAAATACCGAACGGAAATAAAGTACATGAACGTAAAAGCAAGAGGGGGGTGATGACAATCATGAGATGGCACTTTCAACGTGAAGAACAAAGTCTGGTACTTATTTGATTTTTTTGTATATGTTTAGGCGGAGTCCTATCCGGGATTCGAACCCACACTCTCAGGGTGAGGCACCTAATCTCCAGCATACAAACTCAGCGACCTTACCTACTGAGCCACCGAGACTGGTGATTAAGTACCTCACACTGAGGGTGTGGGTTCGAAACCCGGATGGACTCCACCCAAAGATACACAAGAAATTGTACTGTATTAAGAAAGTACCAAATACAACAAATGTTGACATAATCATTCAACAAGTGACCCATATCGCAAATTTGAAATCTAGGAATGTAAGAATATTCCGTTTAATAAAAGATTGACAAACAACGGAGCCCTTTCATCCAGGATACTCTGACAAAGATCCCATTGAGCACAGTCAAGCCATTTTCAACCTTTACAGATAACTTTCTATATGTTCATTTCAATCTAGGATAATACTGATGAGGGGTGTCACCAATAACTCCAGTCAGAGCTGCCAATTGCCCACACGAGAGATCTGTCCGCTACTTGGGTCCACCGGGATCATTCTACCCAGCTGCAAGAAACAAATATTATGGGTAGGGAAGAAAATTGATTGATGTCAACTTCTTCCGGAGTATATGCTTACTCCTTCATCAGGAGAATGAATGCTATGGACCATCGTCATTGAGTATTATGTTCTCAGGCTCATAGCATTCATTCACCTGATGAAGGAGTTTCATTTTAGCCACTATCAAACATATACTGTTTTTACTCGGCAGTTTATACGGAATCACAACACGGATAAATTGGTATGTATGTTTAGGACGAGGAGGCGGAATAGATACATTGTTCCAGATATGCTCCAATGTCTAGAAACCAATGCACTTGTGAATTAACCTATCTACATCCGATGTAGACAAATCATACTTTTCGAATAGTGTAAATAACATCAGTAAATCCCACCTCGCTTATCCACCCGAGACATCTTCATTGACTCTGTAGGTGACATGTGGAACCGATATGTAAGGAAGTCAGCAGTGACCGGACCCCCCTGGCCTCTGAAGGTGACCGAGGGGAGACTTTCCCCGTAGGCCTGCTCCAGCAACATGTTGCTCACTGGTGGAAAGGCCTTGGGCTCCCCCTCGGGAGGGGCGTAGTACCACTGGACTCCGGTCTGAACCGCTACGGCTCGTTCCCGTGTTTGATGCATCGTATTTACATTACGGACGACGTCCTGAGTCTTCCTGTACGCTGCCGTGACGTCTTCTTTGGACCCATGGAAGGACACCATCCCATTGCTTCTGTCTACCTGTGCCATCACGTGCAGATTCGTGCAGAGAGAGGTCACTTGTGAAACCTAAAAGCAATTCCTTACATATTATCCACTTTTTGGCAAACCCAGTAAGCAATGACATGATGCGGAAAAACAGAATCGTATCGAAACTAGGATTCGTACCCATAGTTACAGTGAGTGAGTGAGTTTAGACCCTTTTAACAGTATTCCAGTGATATCACGGCGTGTCAGATTGATGTGGGACGAAAGTTATGCATGTCTCAGACTTTTACCAATTTGATGAAACCCATGCGTCTGAACATGGCCCTGACAAACCCAGAAATATAAACAAGGCGAACTGGTATAAGTATTAGACGTGTTAGGTACTGTAGCCCAAACACAACGAGGTCCTACACCGAGGCTCACCTTATCATCTGAAAGGGTTTCTAGTGCCGGATCAGTCAGTATTTCTGTTTCTAAATTATCGTGCAAGATGGTTGAGACCGTCTCACTGCAGTCATCCAGGTGCTCTTTGCTCGTGGCCAACATGCGCAGTCGCGGTAGTGAAGGCAGGTGATGATCATCCAAGATCTTAGACTTGCTTCGGTATGCTTGTGGTTTGGTGGCTAGAAACAAAATCAAGAATCATCAAACGAACGAATTCCCAAGCACAAACATACAGGAGAAAAAACAAGGAAACGAATTATTAGAATACACAGCTTAACAAATCATCATCACGTTGGGTATATAAAGAACACATTGTAATGATTACTTTTCATAAACAATAAGTTTTGTTCGGAAGTAAATCCGGTTTCGAGTTCTGTTGATGTCATTTCTGATCATTAGCCTTTTTGAAACGTCTCGGCAAAGCGTCAGCAATTGTTACGTCAGAAAACAGACGCATAAGTGTGTCAAATGTCAACAATTAAACACTGTTACAGAAAATAGCCCTTATTGATACAACTGTATGTAATCGTGCCTAGTGTATATTATATTTGATTGGGTTCACATACACTGAGTGAGACATGCTTGTCGTTTGAGGCGACTAAAGGGATCGGGTGGTCAGCCTCGCTGACATGATCGATGGAAGTCAACTTATCCCAATTGGGCAGTACGGTGCTCATGATGTCAATCACTGCATTGTCTGGTTCAGATTAGATTACTTACAGGCCGTCGACAAACTGCTGCAATATTGCTAAGTGCAGCATTAAACAGCAAACGGAGCAATACACGGAGCTGGACAACACGAATGGCTTCAGACAGTGCACCCCTTGGGAAAATCGAACATGGATGACTAACAAACGTTTTAACAACGCTACACAACAATCCAGTGATTGGCATCATGAGCATCGATCCACGCAATTGGGATACAATGATATGCATCAACCAATTCACCGAGTCTGACCACCCGATGCCGTTAGTCACCTCTTACGAGAAGCATAGTCGCCCTTTATGGCACGCATGGGTTGCTGAAACCTATTCTACCCTGGATCTTCACGGGTCCACTACTTACGTGAAGGCAATCCATCTTCCTGGGGGAGCAGAAAGGACTTCCTCATAGCTGATCGGCCTACTTTCTGTCTGAACATGAAAACGCACGTGGACATTTGTTCTGCGTTGTTGAGGATAACTCGAACATCACTAAGGTATTTCAGGTTCCTCTTGTAATGATTGATGGCTCTCTCCATGCCTGTGGCGAATATCTCTGCGTCAGCGTCATTTTCTGTAAGAAACGTTCGTGATAAGTATTCTTTAAAATACACATACTAAAACATGGATTCATTTTCTAAACAACTAGCATGGGTGAAAAAGAAGCATATTTTGCCATAACCAGACCCTAAAGCTATCGTCTTCAATGATTCTAAGATATATCTTTCACAATTTCAAAGATACAATTTTAATTCATTTAATTCATTTCAAAATACAATTCTAGGGATTGTAATTTCATCATGTTTTGGTCACTTCAGTTATCAATAATGTAAGCTTTAACTTCAAATAATACAATCATAAGCAACTGTTAAATGTGTGTGTGTGTGTGTGTATGTGTGTGTGTGTGTGTGTGTGTGTGTATGCGTGCGTATATGCCTGTTTGTAAGTTTTTTGTTTTACGCCGCACTCAGTATTGTGGTTCCAACAAAAGGACGGCGGAATTTAAAGAATCAAGTGAGTGAGTGAGTGAGTGAGTGAGTGAGTGAGTGAGTGAGTTGGGTTTAACGCCGCTTTTAACAGTATTCCAGTTATATCGCGGCGTGTCAGCTTAATGTGGGAGGAAAGCCCGAAGTGACGCAGGTCTTAGACGTTTACCACTTCGGTGAAACCCACGAGCACGGGTATGGTGCTGACAAACCTAGAAACATAATCGGGGCGAACCGGGATTCGAACCCACAATCATAGGTTTCTGGCGTGCCCAAGGGACGCAACTCTGCACAGCGAATCGCGGCGCCTTAGACGACTGGGCCACCCGTGCCCCCAAAGAATTAAGTCTGGATCCGATAATCCAGTGATTGATATTAGAAGCAATGATCCACACCGGATTACGATGACAGGTATTCAACGAAGTGACCGAGCCTGATCGTCCGATCCAGTAAGTCGTCTCTTGGCATGCATGCGTGTGTGCGTGTGCGTGTGCGTGTGCGTGTGCGTGTGCCTGCATGCGTAAGTGTGTGTGTTTGGGGGAGGGAGGGACGTATTACGCACAAATAAATACATGTAGATGTGGCCGTGAACTCAATTATTCCAATACAGTAAACTACGGTTATAACGAACACGCTTATAACGAACTGACGGATATAACGAACTGACTTTTTGGTCCCGACTACTTGCTGTAGTCATGCTGTGTATGTACTTATAACGAACTACGGTTATAACGAACTAAAATTAGTAGTCCCTTTGAGTTCGTTATAACCGTAGTTTACTGTATATGTTGGACTGCACGTGTTACCTGGAATAAGGTGGCCTATTGCGAGTGACATAATCTTCTTCTTGTCCGCCTTCTTGAAACACTTCTTTATTGTTTCCTCAACATTGTTCTTGAAGTATTCCGTGGACACTAACAGGATATTCGTGCAGGGCATATTTTGAGCAGGAACGATGACAGCCCCAGATTTTGTGATGTTTGCTCCTGGATTACAAAATGTTGATAAACTGTTGTACACTTATTTTATGGAATACTGTAAGAGAACTTCCGAGAAAACGTTCTAGGTTCCAAAACACGAGAACGTGAGAATGTGGCCAATTCATCGCTTTCGCGTGTTCTCACACTTTGTTTGTTTTAAAGGTGGAGATAACGTGAAACCGAGAATGTCACTTATTGTCTTCCAAATCAATTTGTTCCTGACGATGCCGTTTGCAGTGTCAATCTACAGATGAACTCTTTTCCTAATTTACGAATAATTGGGACGTGGCAATGTGCCATTGATAATAATACTTTATTTTCATTGCGCAGGTCACTGGATCAATGTGCACTCAAGAATCATGCTCAGCCCCCAGGCGCTAGAAAGTTAACAATCACATTGCAATCTCATCCTATCCATTCACTCCCGGGGGAACAGAGGCACATTTCGAACATAGTCACTTGCCCATGGAGACGCAACATGTGTTACACGTGTTTCTGTGTGGCAGGACCGGTGCCCCCCAAACTCTGAGGAGCCAAGCTGCCGAAAAGCGGTCACCCATTAGTGAGGCTTAACTTCCCCTGATTTATGACCTGTGATTTTTGATGTGTTGGTATATTTGATACCCAAAGACACGAGGCCAGGGTGAGGTTTTATTTATCATCCAACATCATTCATCCAACTTTTTCAGTTTGTAAACAGTAATAGTGAGTGAGTGAGTTGGGTTTAACGCCGCTTTTAACAGTATTCCAGTCATATCACGGCGTGTCAGCTTAATGTGGGAGGAAAGCCCGAAGCGATACAGGTCTCAGACGTTTACCACTTCGGTGAAACCCACGAGCACGGGTATGGTTCTGACAAACATAATCGGGGCGAACCGGGATTCGAACCCACAATCATAGGTTTCTGGCGTGCCCTAGGGACGCAACTCTGCACAGCGAATCGCGGTGCCTTAGACGACTGGGCCACCCGTGCCCCCGTAAACAGTAATAAGCAGTGTCTAAACTGTACTTGATCTCACCCAAGCGATATCTTCTGTGGGAGCCAGTTTTGTATGATACAAATACATTGTACAAAATTTAGTTCACATCATACATATGTCATATGGGTTTACGTGAATAGGATTTCATCTGCACGTACATCTATGCCAATTATGCCTATGCTAATTAACTTTAGCTATAATAGCTTACGTTCGCTTCCTACCATACAATCGGGGCCATACACTGACTTCAGAAGTCCCACCAGACCTGAAATCAAATTTAATTGCGTGATGAAAACGGCAAAATGTAATTGTAAAAATATATAAATGAAATTGACTATAAATTCGAAATCCACTGAAGGGTCTCTGACAACCATTTGAATCGGTGGTGGGTGGAGTTGGGGGAACGCATGGGACTGTTTTAGCATTCAGTTTATTCATATATAACTGTAAGGTCAGAGGCTCATAGTACAGAATATAGGACAATGTGGAAGCGGTTAAATGTTTTACAAGGATATATTCTTTAATAACATGGCAAGATATATAAAAAGATATAGATTTCGTATTTATTGCTCACATGTTTCATTAAAGAGATAAACGTGTATTTATTTGGATGCACATAGTACAAGCAGAAGAAAATTCATCTTCCACGACATTTAAAGAAAATTGTCTCCATAATCTTAAACATGTTTGTATTTTTCGTGTGCCTGCCAACTCCAACCATTAACCTGTGTGTGAGCTGCATCTAAATTGTGATGAATGATATTCTGCATTTTGTTTAGATTTGCATCAGTTCAAAAACTTTCTGCGCATATTTGCATTTTACAATACCTATAATATTCACATTTGCTAAAAACATCTACAACAGATGCCCATGCTTGAACATTGTACATGTAAAAAAATGTCTCTGCAAACACACATATTTCAGAACCATAAGCAAGAGTAGGAGCTATTTCTTTGCCAAAAGAAATGAAGAAAGATTTATAAGCACAGTCGCTATTAAGAGGTATCCATTATTGTATCAAATAATATTTCCAAATACGGCAGAATGTTATCAAGAGATTATTCAAAGAAATCTGTTATTAGTTCTCCAAATCCAATAACTGCTGGAATGATGTTAAAAGCGGCATAAAAATACAATACTTGCCTTTAAGTGACAATTTGTTATCAGTTGGTACAACGATAGTATTCACTTTTTCCTTGTGAAGCGTTCCTACTTTCACCTCAACCTTGAGGGGGTCCATCCGAAACTCTGCAATAAACAGTCTGTCACATCAACCTGATCCATTTCTGTCAACATTTCAAAAGTAACGCTCGTACTGACACTAGAGATGAAAAGCTATACTAAACAAGGTGGGTACAATGAAATTGCAGATGGAATAATATTCATATGGCATATTTAGTAGTTGTAGCTTAAAGATAACCGCATGTTAGGCTTTGCTGACGTGGCACCTTCACTCTTCGTCTTATCAGGGGTCGTTGGTTCTCTGATCATGGTCGGGTCGCTGTCAAACGTTTTACTGAACGCCTGTAAAAGAAACGTCGAACATAAAGTTCACTATGCATAGCAGTGGTGTCGGTGTTGGTTGGTTGGTTGATTTGTTGTTTAACGCCGCACTGAGCAATATTGCAGGTATATGACGGCAGTCTGTAAATAATCGAGTCTGGACCAGACAATCCGGTGATTAACATCATGAGCATCGATCCGCGGAATTGGGATCGATGACATGCATCAACCAAGTCAGCGAGCCTGACCACCCGATCCCGTTAGTCGCCTTTTACGACAAGTATAGTCGCCTTTTACGACAAGCATAGTCACCTTTTACGGCAAGAATGGGTTGCTGAAGACCTATACTATCCCGGAATCTTCACGGGTCTGGTGTAGGTTTCAGATGTTGTTACCTTTTTATAACTATTTATTGCTATTCACTGTGCACATCAAACATACATACGAGATTACATGTTTCATTAGAGTAGATTTGTTTGTTTGTTTCTTTGTTTGTTGTTTAACGCGGCACTCGGCACTATTCCAGCTATATGACGGCGGTCTGTAAATAATCGAGTCTGGAACAGACAATCCAGTGTTATGAACATCGATCCGCGCAATTTGGATACGATGACATGCATCAACCAAGTCAGCGAGCATGACCAACCGATCCCGTTAGTCGCCTCTTACGACAAGCGTAGTCGCCGTTTACGGCCGGCATGGGTTTCCTAAATATCTATTCTACCCCGGATCTTCACGGGACCCAAAGGGGAGAAATATGTTCAGTCCATCAGGGAGAGGGTAACGCAAATCTTGTTGTGAAGAAGGATCTACAAGGTATTATGTAATAAAAAATTAGTCACCACCTTTGGGACAACATTATGTTTTATGGACCCCAAAAAACTGATACTGAACTCGACTGCTAGTCTCGGTCAGTATCAGTTCGTTGGGTCTATGAAATACGCTATTGTCCTCATGAATGGCCAAGAATTGATAAATATATGTTCTGAGATTTACATTGAACCATGTTCATCTTTGTCATATATCGCTTTAAGTAACGGTATTCTCTTTGAGGATCTGTATTACTAATACAAATTACAATCAGAACACCGCTTGTCTCGAACTGAATTGGTTGATAGACATTACTTAAAAGTTGACAGATGACAAAGTAGACACAATGTATGGATAACAACAGTAATCAAAGAAGTTGTTATCCATAAATTGTGTCTACTTTGGTGTCTCGAACTACGGATAATTCGATATTGATTCCGACAATGTAAGTTTATGGTCACCACTCCACGTATCTCGAACCACGAATTATGAAAATAATGGTCCCAAGTACTTCGATTTGACGAGGTTCGACAGTATATATTGTTCTCTATTAAAGTGTTACAAACACAAACCTTTGTAGTTTTGTCATCCTTGTGGTATAAGACGATGATCACCTCCCTCAGGCAAGTCAGGGGGTTCTCTTGGGAGAAAGTGGCTACTCTCTCCTTGAACACCTTGGCAACTGTCTCCTGCGGGTATTGCAATATCCCAGTTCCGAGGGCTGGGAAGGCGATGGTCTCATAGCCTCTGGAAGGGGCGCGTTGCAAACACGTGTCAATAGTCTTCTTCAAAAGCTAAATTCAGAGGTTTAAAGCAACCATTATATTCCTAATGTGGTTAACTCTTTATAATAGTGTATTTATGCGTAGATTCTTTGTTATAAAAGGAGCGGAAGGTGAGTCAGTCATCAATATTTAGTTTGGGTTTACAACAGCCTGCTTTCTTGCTATGAGTAACGGTCTATGTTGGCGTGTTTCGTGCGCGTAGCCCATATTAAAATGGATCGGAAGGTCAGTCATACCTTTATATAAATAATGGGAAACTGATTATCACTGTAAGAGCTGAACAGATGGAAATGTGCATGGTTATTGGTGACAATGGTGACAAGGAAAAAAGAGTAATTTGTTTTTATTGTGTTCTCATTACAAGATGGCACAGTCCGAATCTGAAAACAGATTCGTCAGCGTATACAGTGTCAAAAGGTCGTAAAAATATTGAATATGAAAATGAAATATGACGTGCATAACACACGCAATATGTTCCTAGAATGTGTAAACTGAAAACGCAAGCCATCAGAACACTAACTAATGGCAATGCCGAGGGCCTACCTGTAAAGAGTCGGCTGAATCAGGCCACTTAGGGAGGCAGCAATGGTACACTTTCTTGCAGCGCAGATTACCGCCCCCTGTCTCCGCGATATCGCCGAAGTTGATGCCCTTGCGGTAGTGGGTATTACACTCGTTCTGTATGGTCCAGCCACCTTCTTTGGATATCGACATAGAAACCGCTCCCTGATTGAGTCTCAGATTCTTGTTGGTGGTGTTCACTATCACATCTGCCTGCACCACGGGAATACAACACTAAGTTGGTATACAAGATAAAAATATATTCTCTCACAAGGACGTCAGGATAATCCACTTAATACATGGAAGCCAAGATAACATATTCATTCCAACACAGGCCTCTAGTACATGATACATATGTGCACATGTTTTATGAGCGGTCGAATCCTATCACAACGAAATGAGCTTGGGTTTTGTCAGTGTAAAATTGACACATCTGTAAAAGTAGTGTATTGCATTATTTAACACCTGATATCATCTCTATTTGACAGTGATTCATAAACACATGCTCATTGTCTAGTTGGAATCGTAAGTCGACCCTGGTTTTGACAGATATTTCTTATGAATATGGAAAGGGTTATGTCGTTTTTTATGTCTTAACAAAATCTTAAATTAAAATATTTCTATGTACAATATACTTGTTATATCCTCGTAAATTTTGATTCCTTAGCAGAGATTACACGCTCAAGAATAAAATGGAACTCGTCTTCAGTCTTATTTAGGTTTCTTTGACACCTGCATATCTCCATGCATTATTACAGTGACAAAATACTGATTTACTGTGTCAGACAAACAGATACGACCTACCGTGGTTTCCGACAACTCTCCGACTTTGACTGTTATCTCGACACCCGTGCCACCTCCTTCCCCGACATCTATATGGATATGCACACATCTATATAAGTCTCCAATATGTTGCTAAGAACGGGATTATATACATAAACTGTAGGGCAAAACAGTACACACATGAAAACTGGATTTGACCACAACATTTCAAGTGTTATCAAAACGTTACTAGGCTGAAAACTGTCCCCAAAAGATCCAAAAACATAACTACGGCTGTATAATACCCAATACATCACCATCGAACTATTTCTTGTTTGCATCATTTTTTGCTACCACTCAAACATGGGTGTTTAGGTTTTTTTCCCCGGTAGTTTTAACCCTCTCCATGCGAACAGCAATATGTTAAAACTTTAACGTAATCATTGGCGACACACAAAAGCAGTATTTGTGTCGTCAAATGCCAATAACGTATCAGTTGGTGACAACAGAGGGAGACGTAATACGTCATATATGTGTGTGTGAATTTGAACTCGAGGTAAGTTAGGATATTGTTTAACGCAAGTAGACAGTCATTTCGATCTCAGGGGCATACCCTTCGTTGGCACGTCTGTTCCAAGAAGTCTGTTGTTTCTTTCATTCTCAAATATCTGAAACAAGTACACATTTAATTAACAAAAAAAACGCGTTTGTCGTTATTATCAGGGACAATAACTAACAACTGGTGCTTTAATTGTATAACCTATCCTCTACTAGATGCAATGGCATTCGAGGAATTAACTAGTTGTTGGGTTGCGCCTATTACCAGTTCCAGCTTTGTTCTTATCTGCAGTTGGTGTAAATCAAAACTACCCGCAGGATATAATTATGTCACCATGGGCTTTCATCTTTCTTTAAAATATGAGCTTTATTAAGTTTTCGAAGCAGCGTTTCTACAGTACTGTACCCCTCTACAAATGTTTCACTAAATGTTCCACCACCAACTGCAGTGTCTCCAAAAACATCCAGCTAGCTATGTCACACAAGTACCTTGTATGTCTTTTCCTCTGTGTCGTACACGACGATATTTATTTCCTGTAAGCCGCTCTTGGTTGTCCGTTCATACCATGAGATGGCCTCGAACAGAGCTCTGGCAGCAAGGTGAGGGGGGTAGCCGAGTCCCCCGCAACCCATCGCCGGGAACGCTATGCTGGTGTAGTTGGAGACGTCGGCCGTCTCAAGGCACGTCAAAACCGTTTCCCGAAAGTCCTGCCAGGGAAAAAACAACATTTCAAGAAGATGTCTACTGAAATGCTAATCAAAGTTGCGTTACTCCCATGTCTCATATTGTTGTTTTAAAAGGATTTAGAAACTACCTGTGTTTAACACATCAGGTGTAATGTTGTTCATTACATTCATTTCACCTCACCCCGCCACATTCATCTCATCTCATCTCACCACATTCACTTCACCTCTCACTACATTTATTTCACCTCATCTCACTACATTCATCTCACCTCATCTCACCACATTCATTTCACCTCTACCCGCCACATTCATCTCACCTCATCTCACCACATTCATTTCACCTCTCATCAAATTCATTTCACCTCATCCCACAGCATTCACTGAACTTCACCTCACCACATTCATTGACCTTCATCTCACTACATTCATTTCACTTCATCTCACCAAATAAATTGAACCTCATTTCATCACATTCATTTCATCTCATCTCACCAAATTCATTTCACCTTATCTCACCACATTCATTTCACCTCATCTCACTACATTCATTTCACCTCATCTCACCACATTCATATCAACTCACCTCACCACATTCATTTCACCTCATCTCACCATAATCATTTCACCTCTCACTTCTTTCATTTCACCTCATCTCATAACATTCATTTCACCTTAACTCACTACATTTATTTCACCTCATCTCACCACATTCATTTTTTCTTATATCACCACATTCATGTCACCTAATCTCATCACAGTTATTTCACTCATCTCACCACATTCATTTCACCTCATATCACCACATTCATTTAAACACATCTCACAACATTCATTTCCCCTCAGGTGCACTATCCACACCTGAGTAACTTATGTCCAGGTGCACTATCAACACCTGCATAACTTGTATCCAGGTGTACTATCCACACCTGAATAACTTGTATCCTGGTGCACTATCCACACCTGAATAACTTGTATCCAGGTGCACTATCAACACCTGAATAATGTGTATCCAGGTGCACTATCCACATCTGCATAACTTGTATCCTGGTGCACAATCCACACCTGACTAACTTGTATCCAGGTGCACCATCAACACCTGAATAACTTGTATCCAGGTGCACTATCCACAGCTGAAAAGCTTGTATCCTGGTGCACAATCCACACCTGAATAACTTGTATCCTGGTGCACTATCCACAGCTGAATAACTTGTATCCAGGTGCACTATCAACACCTGAATAACTTTTATCCAGGTGCACTATCAACACCTGCATAACTTGTATCCTGGTTCACAATCCACACCTGAATAACTTGTATCCAGGTGCACTATCCACACCTGCATAACTTGTATCCAGGTGCACTATCAACACCTGAAAATCTTGTATCTTGGTGCACTATCCACACCTGACTAACTTGTATCCAGGTGCACCATCAACACCTGAATAACTTGTATCAAGGTGCACTATCCACAGCTGAAAAGCTTGTATCCTGGTGCACAATCCACACCTGAATAACTTGTATCCTGGTGCACTATCCACAGCTGAATAACTTGTATCCAGGTGCACTATCAACACCTGAATAACTTGTATCCAGGTGCACTATCAACACCTGCATAACTTGTATCCTGGTTCACAATCCACACCTGCATAACTTGTATCCTGGTGCACTATCCACACCTGACTAACTTGTTTCCAGGTGCACCATCCACACCTGAATAACTTGTATCCAGGTGCACTATCAACACCTGCATAACTTGTATCCTGGTGCACTTTGAACACCTGAATGCTTTGATGTTGATTCATGGGGTAGCACTTTCATACCTCCAGCGCGTTAACTCACAAAAGGCAATGGTAACGTTAAGGATAAAGGTAGATATAAACAACTATACATTCCTTCAATAAACAATGTGGACAAGAGGCCCAAACTCGGCATACCTTAATGTTCTTTATCACCGTGCCCCAGGGTGGAAGGCAGCAATGGAAAACACTCTTGCACCTGAGCTTTCCGCCTGACGTCACAGCAAGTTGCCCGTATGTGACGCCCTTGGAGAACCTCTTCTTACGTTCCTTTTGGAGGTCGGCACCAGCCGCCTCTGATACGGCCTTGGTGAGCGAGCCCTTTTTGAGTGTGGGGTCTTTTCCGACGGAGATCACGATCACATCCACCTAAACACAAGTTAGATATCTGTTTTGTGACAGGGAATATATAAATCGCGGGTTCCTCAGTGACATAATCGATTATACATGGAAGTCCATAGTGTGGAATCCATATATGCATTCATACTGCGTACATGTTACACACATGCACACACACACACACAGGACAGTGTGCCAGTTGATAAAATATTCGCAGCGGTATTGATTTTATTCAATAAAAAACAAACTTATTTGTCCATGTCTTCTGAGCATCTAAAGCGTAAAGCAAATCTTTGAAGACAGTTTGCGAGTTGATCATCATGATGCCTATTTCATCATCGAAACTCACACCAAAGAAACAGAATGCATGCAAGTTTAATCTATTGTTGTTTGTTCAGGATTTCGTTGTGATATCCTTTAAGCTTAAGCCTCCTGTAAATATGCTGGATCTCACATCTCACATAGGAACAACATTCTGTTGCTACATGAGAGAAGGAAATTCTGAAATTTAACAATGAAGCACACACATTCAGGATGTCCTGCAACAGTGACGTGGTTTGTACAAAGGTCCTTGACAGCAAACTCCGTTGTTTGGGAAGGATTGTTCGGGTAATAAGCCGAACTGGATTGTAAACATACCTTATAAACTTTACGTTTTGTTACACATCATTGACGAATAGACTTGAATCGTATTCATTCATCGAAGGAAAACCACTCTCATGCTCTGTATATATTAACTGCCCTTGCGATATCATTGAAACGCGCTGCCAGTGTAAAAACAGAAATAATACTGTCATACTGTAATAAATGTTTCACGTAATGTTTTATATGAAACGATTGTTAAGCTGCCAACTGTTATCGACTTGCTGTGAGACATATGTCCTAATCGGTCAGTACGATGTTTCAGCGGTTTTCGGTGTGATCTGTTGTTCGTGTTTTGAAAGTATAAGTGGGTCAGAATTGATACAGTAGACCCATTCTGTTGAACTGGTTTATTCAACGAGCCGTTTTGGGCCGCCATTGTATCTGTCGTAGGCTCCTAAGAGAGATCCGATCCTTTATAGACCCCAGATAGCATATACCAGTGAGTGAGCCGGTACATAATCCCGTTATTGACAGCATGTGCAATATGCACACATTCCGCCAGACAATCTTCCAGGGGGCCCGTGTACAAAGCGATCTTAGCGCTAAGGTGATTGTAACGCCTATACCTTAACATAGAATTACGACAGGCGTAACGCTAAGGTTGTTTTGTACAACGGCACCCAGGTCCTGCAGTCCCGTCGGCTGTTAAGACAATCATCGGGGAAATTGGGATCTACTAAGTCCTGAAATACTCACGGTGGCACTAACTTCGAGTGAAGCATATCCGAGAGTGTGTGAGATGTATATATTGGCGCTTGGAAATGTATTTCAGTTATAACAATTCAGCTTGATGTGGGAGGAACGCCCGATATGATGACAGTCTAAGACATTTTGTGAAACCTACGAGCACGGTGCTTCAAAACCTTAAAAGATTAACAGAGTGAACCTGGGATTCGAAAGACGATCATATCTTTTTGACTGCCCTAAGGGTGGCAACTCTGCACATATATTCGTGGAGTCCTTAGACGACTGGAATACCCGTTCCCCTGCAAATGTCAAATTGTATTTTGAAGCTACAACTGCGAAGTACAGCACGGGAAAAAAAATTCGTATCCATAATGTGGCTTGGTGTCGATTTGTACCAACACGGTGTTTCAGTTACAAGCTAAATACTCACAAGTTGTTTGGTGATGTCTCCTTTTACGACTGTCACCTTTGCCTTGAAAACGTTTCTTCTTCCCTCATCAAAACTTGAACCTGGAAAAAATTCACATCACATCAGCAATCATCACGTATAAGCTACGGTCCACTGATGCTATTTTTGAACTATTTACAATCCTTAGTTGGAAAAGCAGCACCTTTAAAGTGTTAACGGGTCAACCAAAGTAAAATACACATAGAAGGTCTTATAACGTCGGAACTTCCTCCAACATTAAGTTGAATACCCGGAATCGATTCGCGAGATGTGCATTATTTCGGAACCTAATTCTCGGTGTCTCCACCCATAAAATTGCAACTGTAGCGTAAATGGATTTAAGACTCGACTCATTCACTCACCGAGCTGAACAGCCGCGAATTATTATTTAAAACAGCATCTTCACAGATCACACGTTCACTTACCGATAGGAGGTGTATCTTCCTCAATATCTATTACACAGACATGTGCATCTTCAGCTACCTTCATCATGGAGTTCCCTGACAGGGACTTAAGGAACTCCATGGCACCCGGCTTGTCCAAACTGGAATACTTCACAATAAGTTCATCGCTCAACGACTTCAGTTCTTCTATGGAATGGCTGAGTCCTGACCTTGGCCCAACAACTTTCACCAAGAAAGATGAATGTTCAAAAGAAACATCCACTTCGTATTTGGTCTTGATGGCGTCAATGGAGGATGAACAACAGCGGTGGAGGGCAAGGAATATCCCTCTTTCGAAGCTGATTTTCCTTTCCTGGATATTACTTCTTTCTGTGGCTTCTGCCAACATCGTCATGACAATCTCTTGAACCTCAACAGCACAGGCCATAACGGCAGGTTCGTCCTCGGTTAATTTATCTATTATGAACGGTTCTTTCACTCTCTGGTGTATGGATTCGATGAGTGTCTTCCACTTAGCCACTGTTAACAAGTCCTTCTTCAGATAAGTGACCTTTACTGACTCGGTGACTATTTTGGATACAGTCGAAGCTGTCGCGAAATCGCTCGCATGGATCCACAGTCCATCAGAGAGAACCTCGATCACCGCAAGCAGATTTTTGGTCGCCAGTTGACACTGAATGTAATCTTGGAATTCAACACGAGTGAATGCGAACAGTAAAATCTTATGCACATTCACGACAGTTGAACTCTGAATCTTTATGAGAGTTTCATCAATTTGAATCCTGGCCTGTATAATGTCAGTTCCTGGACCAACTATAGTAACACTTCCACTATCTATGCTGATCTGCACGTTAAGACCTCGGAATTTTGTTTCCAGAAAGACCGGACAGTCGATGATCTGCAAATACCTTAACTGCCATGGTTTCAGGTCTGTAAACACTTGCTTTTGTTGAGTAACCGGAAGCATGTCTTTGTCCGGGAGATCCCGCTCTACAGCCCGAACTAGTTCCATGATGTTTTCAACTACCTGAGGCACGAGGGAGTGCGACCCTACTATGATAACACCAGGCAGATCATCAGAAGGCCTAATTCTCAGTTCCTCTGGGTTGGGATTTTTTATTGTGGACACGGAATCAGTTGCCTGTATTTTACCCCAAGTCTTTGGCATAATTGGAACCTTCATCACCAGGATATCGTCAAGGAACTCCTTTATTGCTGCCTCAGCCTGCTCTCTCCATGCCTGTATGTCTTGCTCAGATGACAGTCTCGTTGCGCTTTTGGCTTCCAGTGCAACAAGGCGCTCAGATGTTACGTTGTTCCACTGTATGACTGCTCGGCATGTTTTGAGGATATCTATAAGCCTGTTCCTACAGACACCGGACTGTTTCAGGAATGAGAGTTTATTGCTGTCCAAATTATGCATGACAAGCATACTCATTAGTTCGTAGTCGTCAGGAACCTCTGCGTCTTCTTGGCGACAATGTGCAACTGAAAATGGAGCATAAGCTCAATATATATCACATCATAAGTTCCATGAGATTCAAGCTGTACTGTTTATACACGAATGAGACATGTTTAATTATTATAAATATCTGTGACTCATCAGTCAGGAAAATATTCTGGCTAACAATTGTAACTTCAGATAGTCATGTTTAACGATACCACACTCATCCTTTAGCCTTGCATCAGGTCCCGTTTTATAAACCAGTGTTTCATGATACAACACTCACCTTTTAGCCATGCATCAGGCCTCCTTTCATAAACCAGTGTTTCATAATACAACACTCACCCTTTAGCCTTGGATCAGGTCTCCTTTAATAAACCAGTGTTTCATGATACAGCACTCACCCTTTAGCCTTCCATCAGGTCTCCTTTAATAAACCAGATTTTCTTGATACAACACTCACCCTTTAGCCTTGCATTAGGTCTCCTTAAATAAGGCAGTGTTTCATGATACAACACTCTCCCTTTAGCCTTGAATCAGGTGTCCTTTAATAAACCAGTGTTTCATGACACAAAACTCTACCTTTAGCCTTGGATCAGGTCCCCTTTGATAAACCAGTGTTTCATAATACAACACTCACCCTTTAGCCTTACATTAGGACTTCTTTAATAAACCAGTGTTTCATGGTATAACACTCACCCTTTACCCTTGCATCAGGTTTTCTTTAATAAACCGGTGTGACATGACACAACACTCACCCTTTAGCCTTGCATCAGGTCTCCTTTGATAAACCAGTGTTTTATGATACAACACTCAGCCTTTAGACTTGCATTAGATCTCCTTTGATAAACCAGTGTGTCATGACACAACACTCATCCTTTAGCCTAACATCAGGTCTCCTTTGATAAACCAGTGTTTTCGTGATACAACACTCACCCTTTAGCCTTTCATTAGATCTCCTTTAACAAACCAATGTTTCATAATACAACACTCACCCTTTAGCGTTACATCACGTCTCCTTTAATAAACCAGTTTTTTCGTGACGCAACACTCATCTTTCAGCCTTTCATTAGGTCTCCTTTAATAAACCAATGTTTTATGATACAACACTCACCCTTTCGCCTTCCATCAGGTCTCCTTTAATGAACCAGATTTTCATCATACAACACTCACCCTTAAGCGTTACATCACGTCTCCTTTAATAAACCAATGTTTTATGATACAACACTCACCCTTTAGCCTTGCATCAGGTCTCCTTTGATAACCCAGTGTTTTATGATACAACACTCACCCTTTAGCCTTGCATCAGGTCTCCTTTGATAAACCAGTGTTTTCGTGACACAACACTCACCCTTTAGCCTTTCATTAGATCTCCTTTAATAAACCCATGTTTTATGATACAACACTCAACCCTTAGCCTTCCATCAGGTCTTCTTTAATGAACCAGTGTGTCATGATACAACACTCACCCTTTAGCCTTCCATCAGGTCTCCTTTAATAAACCAATGTTTCATGATACAACACTCACCCTTTAGCCTTACATCACGTCTCCTTTAAGAAACCAGTGTTTTTGTGACACAACACTTACCTTTAAGCCTTTCATTAGGTCTCCTTTAATAAACCAATGTTTTATGATACAACACCCACCCTTTAGCCTTGGATCAGGTCCCCTTTGATAAATCAGTGTTTCATAATACAACACTCACCCTTTAGCGTTACATCACGTCTCCTTTAATAAACCAGTTTTTTCGTGACGCAACACTCACCTTTCAGCCTTTCATTAGGTCTCCTTTAATAAACCAATGTTTTATGATACAACACTCACCCTTTCGCCTTCCATCAGGTCTCCTTTAATGAACCAGATTTTCATCATACAACACTCACCCTTTAGCGTTACATCACGTCTCCTTTAATAAACCAGTGTTTTCGTGACGCAACACTCACCTTTCAGCCTTTCATTAGGTCTCCTTTAATAAACCAATGTTTTATGATACAACACTCACCCTTTAGCCTTGCATCAGGTCTCCTTTGATAAACCAGTGTTTTCGTGACACAACACTCACCCTTTAGCCTTTCATTAGATCTCCTTTAATAAACCCATGTTTTATGATACAACACTCAACCCTTAGCCTTCCATCAGGTCTCCTTTAATAAACCAATGTTTCATGATACAACACTCACCCTTTAGCCTTGCATTAGATCTCCTTTAATAAATCAGTGTTTTATGATACAACACTCACCCTTAAGCCTTACATCACGTCTCCTTTAAGAAACCAGTGTTTTCGTGACACAACACTTACCTTTCAGCCTTTCATTAGGTCTCCTTTAATAAACCAATGTTTCATGATACAACACTCACCCTTTAGCCTTGGATCAAGTGTCCTTTAATAAACCAGTCTTTCATGATACAACACTCACCCTTTCAGACTTGGATCAGGTCCCCTTTGATAAACCAGTGTTTCATAATACAACACTCACTCTTCAGCCTTACATCAGGTCTCCTTTAATAAACCAGTTTTTTCGTGATACAACGCTCTGCCTTTAGACTCGCATCATGTCTTCTTTAATGAACCAGTGTGTCATGATACAACCCTCACCCTTTAGCCTTTCATTAGGTCTCCTTTAATGAACCAATGTTTTATGATACAACACTCACCCTTTAGCCTTCCATCAGGTCTCCTTTAATAAACCAGTTTTTTCGTGATACAACGCTCAGCCTTTAGACTCGCATCAGGTCTTCTTTAATGAACCCGTGTGTAATGATACAACACTCACCCTTTAGCCTTTCATTAGGTCTCCTTTGACAAACCAGTGTTTCATAATACAACACTCACCCTTTAGCCTTACATCAGGTCTCCTTTAATAAACCTGTGTTTATGTGATACAACACTCAGCCTTTAGACTCGCATCAGGTCTTCTTTAATGAACCAGTGTGTCATGATACAACACTCACCCTTAAGCCTTGGATCAGGTCCCCTTTGATAAACCAGTGTTTCATTATACAACACTCACCCTTTAGCCTTACATCACGTCTACTTTAAGATACCAGTGTTTTCGTGACACAACACTCACCTTTCAGCCTTTCATTAGGTCTCCTTTAATAAACTAATGTTTTATGATACAACACTCACCCTTTAGCCTTCCATCAGGTCTCCTTTAATAAACCAGATTTTCATGATACAACACTCACCCTTTAGCCTAGGATCAAGTGTCCTTTTATAAACCAGTCTTTCATGATACAACACCCACCCTTTAGCCTTGGATCAGGTCCTCTTTGATAAACCAGTGTTTCATAATACAACACTCACCCTTTAGCCTTTCATCAGGTCTCCTTTAATAAACCAGTTTTTTCGTGATACATCGCTCATCCTTTGGACTTGCATCAGGTTTTCTTTAATGAACTAGTGTGTCATGACACAACACTCATTCTTTAGCCTTGCATCAGGTCTGCTTCAATAAAACAGTGTTTCATGATACAACACTCATCCTTTAGCCTTGCATCAGGTCTCCTTTAATCAACCAGTGTTTCATGACACAACACTCACCCTTTAGTTTCATTAGGTCTCCTTTAATAAACCAATGTTTTATGATAAAACACTCACCCTTGAGCCTTGCATCAGGTTTCCTTTAATAATCCGGTGTTTCATGACACAACACTCACCCTTTAGCCTTGCATCGGGTCTCCTTTAATAAACCAGTGTTCCATGACACAACACTCACCCTTTAGCCTTGCATCAGGTCTCCTTTGATAAACCAGTGTTTCATGACACAACACTCACACTTTAGCCTTTCATCAGGTCTCCTTTGATAAACCAGTGTTCCATGACACAACACTCACCCTTTAGCCTTCCATCAGGTCTCCATTATTAAACCTGTGTTTCATGATTCAACACTCAGCCTTTAGCCTTGCATCAGGTCTCCTTTAATAAACCAGTGTTTCATGACACAACACTCACCCTTTAGCCTTGCATCAGGTCTCCTTTGATAAACCAGTGTTTTATGATACAAGACTTACCCTTTAGCCTTCCATCAGGTCTCCTTTAATAAACCAGATTTTCATGATACAACACTCACCCTTTAGCCTTCTATCAGGTCTCCTTTAATAAACCAGTGTTTCATGACACAACACTCACCCTTTTTCCTTGGATCAGGTCCCCTTTAATAAATCAGTGTTTCATGACACAACACTCTTCCTTTAGCCTTGCATCAGGTCTCCTTTGATAAACCAGTGTTTTATGATACAACACTTACCCTTTAGCCTTACATCAGGTCTCCATTATTAAACCGGTGTTTCATGATACAACACTCACCCTTTTGCCTTGGATCAGGTCCCCTTTAATAAATCAGTGTTTTATGACACAACACTCACCCTTTAGCCTTGCATCAGGTCTCCATTATTAAACCAGTGTTTCATGATACAACACTCACCCTTTAGCCTTGGATCAGGTCCCCTTTAATAAATCAGTGTTTCATGGTACAACACTCACCCTTTAGACTTGCATCAGGTCTCCTTTGATAAACCAGTGTTTTATGATACAACACTCACCCTTTAGCCTTGCATCAGGTCTCCATTATTAAACCAGATTTTCATGAATACAATACTTACCCCTTAGCCTTGAACCAGGTCTGGCAGGAGGCAGTGGGGGTGGTGTGTTTTCCGCGATCATCTCCTCAATCTTGGATATCCTCATGCTCTTCGCCATTTCCCCCATGTCCCTCCTAAAGCAGTCTTTGATGCATGTCTTGAGGGTCATATAGGGGGATTCCTCTTCGGGTTGGGGCTGCTGGCGCATCTCGACAGGAAAAACGTCATCCTCATCGTCATCACTAATCTCATTATATACAGTGTCTCTCTGTTCAGGCGATAATTCTTTTTCGTCGACCAAGCTAAACATAGCTGAGCGGAATAACTTTACAAGAGCTTCATCTGTCTTTGATCCTGTTTCAGAACTTTCGCTTGACGCATCTGCTGCCTCTGCCATCGTGGTTGATATGTTTTCTGTCAAATAAGGAATTTTTGTTTAAAACAATGTCGAAAAATGTGTAAATAATATTCCCAACATATAATAAATCAAAAGCTGCTGCCAACACGCCCGATCATATGCACCTTGTCTTATGTTACAGCACAATATGTGTTTGACAAAAAACAGAGAATCAGGGTGTTACAGAAATGTTTAGATAGAATAGTCTTATTGTGTGGATATTGTGTGGATCTTACACTGTAAGCAGGTTGTCGAACATGTAAGGGTTTGTGTGTGTATATATGTATCGTGTACATATATATACACACAAAGCCTTACATGTTCGACAACCTTTCCACGTCTAGCATCAATGTCTAGCATCTACGTCCACCTTCGATGTCTGGCATCTACGTCTAGCATCCCCATCCAGCATCTACGTCTTGATTCTACGTCCTTCATCTACGTCTGGCATCAACGTCTCGTATCTAATACCACAAACTACGTATAAATGCAAGATATGTACACGAACCCTCATCTTACAATGTAAGATACTCACAAACCTATACACAATATAAGATATCCACACCCTCAACACTGTGTAAGGTAACCCTTGCATGTGAAACTATGGAAGATGTTACTCGTTATAACTGAAACTTAGTTTTGATAATCACAAACGATGGCTCTGTGTGAGATACGCTATCAGTGATAATGGGAAACCTTTAGCCATGTTGTCCAAATGTGAACCTAACAGTCACCAATAGACATGTGTATAAAGAGATAAACGATAACTCAAAGTGTTGCAAAGTTGGTTATAATGAACGTATGAACGTTTTTATAATCTTTTCGCGACGTGTGATTGTCAAAGGTAAAATTACCTTCCACAGTTACCCAGCACGCCTATCTCAATCCAACTGACTTGATCAAAACAACCCTCAACTTTAATTGCTACACATTAACAAACCAACATTCACACTTCTAAACAGTGGCGACTGAAACAAGACCATTACACAATCCGAGACTCTAACAGTGAAATCACCCATGACAGTTGACTACACCAATGTACAAAGTTCAGTTGCGTAACTATTTATCAATGAGGTATTGAAGGCGGAACTTGCCTACCTGTCACTAGTACCTGACACTTCCAGCCAGTTCTCAAAGATTATAATATCAACACGAAGTCCCTGTGTATAAATACAACTGTGAATCACGGTTACATCCAGAAAACACAGTAAACACAGTACTGCCCCTCTCTCTCTCGCATGTAAGGCTGTATCCCACTGCGTGAGGCGTATTATCTACATAACCTACTTACAGTATATGTCAACGAGCACCCGAATGTCTCGTGTCCTATCCGAGCCGTGCACTTTCCAGGGACACTCACAGATAGTCACACTTCCTTGTCACAGCCGTGGTCCGACAATTGGGCAATCGATAGCTGTCACTGCGGGTAAACCCAAGCCCGAAATAGATCCATTGTAGCATTATAAATATCTAACCGAAGCGCGGATGATATGTAACTACGTAGTACATATTCAAAGGTGAAAGGATTGACGTTGTATATTCATTAGATGACATTGATATTTTGAAAAATGTTTATCATTATGTACAAATGTGCTTCAAAGATTTGCCGATTGGGGATCAATGGGGATATTCGTCTAGCATAAATTAAGCCCTTGGCTAGCATGTACGTCTAGTATTTATGTCTAGCATATTTCTCCTGCACTTACATCTAGTATCTATCTCCTTAGCATTTACGTTAAGCATCTACGTCTAGTATCTACGTCTAGTATCTACGTCTAGAATCTATGTCTGGCATCTACGTCCAACATCTATATCTAGTATATACCTCCAGCATCAACGTCTAACATCTATCTCTAGTATCTACGTATAGCTCGTACGTCTAGCATCTATGTTTATCATCTAGGTCTACCATCTACGTCTACCATTTACGCCAAGTATCTTCGTGTAGCATCTACGTTTAGCAGGGGGCGGTCGGGTAAGCCTAGTGGTTAAAGCGTTCGCTCGTCACGCCGAAGACCCGGGTTCGATTCCCGACATGGGTACAATGTGTGAAGCCCATTTATGGTGTCCCCCGCCGTGATATTGCTGGAATGTTGCTAAAAGCGGCGTAAACCCATACTCACTCACTCACTCACTCTACGTTTAGCATCTACATCAAGCATATACGTCCAGCATCTACGTCTAGCATCTGCGCCGAGCATCTATGTCTAGCATCTACGTTTAATATCTTCGTCTTGCATCTACGTCTAGCATCTACATGTACGCTGAACATTTACATCTAGTATATATACGTCTGGCATCTACGTCTAGCATCTTCGTCTTGCATCTATGTCTAGCACCTCCTTTAAATATCTTCGTCTTGCATCTACGCCGAGCATCTACGTCTGGCATATATGGCTAACATCTACCCTGAGAATCTACGTCTAGTATGTACGTCTATTATCTACGTTTTGCATCTACGTCTACCATTTACGTCCAGCATCTACATCAAGCATATGCGTCCAGCATCTACGTCTAGCATCTGCGCCGAGCATCTATGTCCAGCATCTACATCTAGCATCTACGTTCAGCATCTACGTAAAGCATCTGCGCCGAGCATCTATGTCTAACATCTACGTTTAGGATATTCGTCTTGCGTCTGCGCCTACAGTATCAACGTCTGACATCTATGTGTAGCGTCTACGTTTAGCATCTTCGTCTAGCATCTATGTCAAACACCTACGTCTAGTTTCTACGTCTAGCATTTACGTTAGGCATCTTCGTCTTGCATCTACGTCTAATATCTCAGTCTAGTACCTGCGTCTAGCATCTATGGCCAGCATCTTCGTCATGCATCTACGTATAGCATCAATGTTTAGTATCTACTTCTAGCATACTCGTCTTGCATCCATGTCTAGCATCTTTGTAATGATCTTTACATAAAGAAGTTTCTTCCTCAATCTTTAAGTGGGAGTGGGTACCTGGGTTACTCTTTGTCTTAGGTGCACAATGTTACGTTTAATAGCTATACTGCATCGTGTAATTCGAGAAAACATTCCACGACTTCGTGTACATTTGCCCTTCAAATATACTGTATTCACAGGAGCTTGAAACACAAAAACGAGGAACCAGGATTCGAACCCATGTAAGAGGTTCCTGATATGCCTAAGGGGGGCAACTCTGCGCAGCAAATTGCGGCGTCTTAGACGACTGGGCCACACTAAAGCTTATAAATGAACTGCACACACACATGAAACGTGGTTTGGCTACACACTTTACGGTTGGGCCGATCGATTTTAACGCTGCAGTTACTGTTATATCGAGCATAATATAGGTAATATATATATATATATATATATATATATATATATATATATATATATATATATATATATATATATATATACTGATCGCAAAAGAAACGTCACCATTGATGCACAACTCTAGTCTCTGAGAAAATGGCATCACAAGTCAGTATCTCGTGTGTCCGCCAGGTGCATTGATGACTGCCGTGCAACGTCGATACATGGAACGGATGAGGCGGTTGACGCAGTTCAGCTGCATTTGTCGGCCTTGTTCGGACGTCATTCAGCCATCTTTGAATCTCGTCCCACAGATGCTCAATGGGATTTAAATCGGGACTGAGGGCAGGTTCCGATGCTATTCTGCTGGAGGAAGTCTCTTGTTGCTCTCGCAGTGTGACTGCGGGCGTTATCATGCTGAAACTCGTGGTTGCGTGTTGCTTCTGGAAGACCACATGGCCGACCCTCTGAGCAAGACCAATTCCACCCCACACCATGATGCACGGACCACCCCATTAGTCTCTCTCAGCAACACAAGCATCCGAATAACGTTCCCCACGGCGTCGCCAGTCTCTCTCTCTCTCTGCCATCTGCTGTTGAGATACAGTCACGGCTCTGAGAAGAGGACTCTTCTCCACTGCTTGTGGCGCCAATGCTGGTGCTGTGTTGCTCACTGAAGACGGTCCCGGCGATAACGTGGTGTCAGAATGGGTCCTCGGTGTGGCCTGTGACAGTGAAGGTGTCTGCTCGTCAATCGTCGACGCACGGTGTCCGCACTAATGTGTGGCTAGTGTGTGACAAATGTCTGTCGAGCAGTTTCCGCAGCAGTAACAAAGCGATCTTGAAGATGCTGTCGCACAATCTGACGATCCTGACGTCGGGTGGTGACCCTTGGTCTTCCACTACGTGGTCGGTCATCTGTAGTGTTGGTGGTCTGGTACCGTTCCTGGAGCCTGTATATGGTCCTTACGTGGACTTGAAATGCATTGGCTACTTGCCGGGCGGTTTGTCCAGCTTGCAATCGTCCAAGGGCTTGCTGTCGCTGATTCCTTGTCAATATTTGCATGTGGTAGCAATTCAATAACGAATGAATGTTACCCGATCTGGGTGGATTTTTTATTGGGCCAGAAATGTGGGATTCAATTTTCACGGAACTCACGTGCATCGGGTTACCATCGCCGTTCGGGCGATCAGTTTCATTGTCATCTGCTTTGCTTTTTTAGCTCTGTATGAAAGATACACATTATAGACATTACCGATGATCAAATATCCTCAGATATACGCATTTGCAGCGAGCATCAAGTTTACTTTAATCAACTGCCTGGGAAAAGAAAGAAAACACTCGAAAATTGGATTTTGACAACAAATATATTTTAGAAACGTTATCAACCTGAAAACGGCCAAAACACTGCATATATATGGTCCAGACCACAACTTTGATACCCGTATCAATGCCATCTCACCCATTTCTTATTTGTTTCATATTAGCCACCATCAAACATATACTGTTTTTGCTCGGCAGTTTATACAGAATCAAAACACGGATAAATTGATATGTATGTTTGGGACGAGGAGGCGGAATAGATACATTGTTACAAATATGCTCCTATGTCTAGAAATCAATGCACTTGTGAATCAACCTATCTATATCCGATATATTGCAAGTCGAAACAATCATATTTTTCGTATAGTGTAAATAAGATCAGCAAACCCCTACTCGCTTATCCACCCGAAACATCATGTGGAACCGATTTGTAAGGAGGTCAGCAGTGACCGGACCCCCCGGGCCTCTGAAGATGACCTGTAGGCCTGCTCCAGCAACATGTTGCTTACTGGTGGGAAGGCCTCGGGCTCCCCCTCGGGAGGGGCGTAGTACCACTGGACCGCTACGGCTCGTTCCCGTGTTTGATGCGTCATATTTACATCTCGGACGTCCTGAGTCTTCCTGTGCGCTGCCGTGACGTCTTCTTTGGACCCATGGAAAAACAGCATCCCATTGCTTTTGTCTACCTGTGCCATCACGTGCAGATCCGTGCACAGAGAGGTCACTTGTGAAACCTAAAAGCAATTCCTTACATATTATCCACTTTTTGGCAAACCCAGTAAGCAATGGTATGATGCGTAAAAAAACATCGTGGCGAAACTAGGATTCGAACTCAAATTTACAGTGAGTGAGTTTGGTTTAACGTCCCTTCTGATAGTTATATCACGACGTACGAGTAGGGTGGGTGATTTAACTGTACATCCCAGACTTAGCCCCCAGTGACTATTTCCTGTTCCGGCAAATGAAATCTGCCCTACGTGGAAGACGCTTCCAGGATGACGAGGACATAAAGGCTGCCACAGAGGCGTGGTTAGAGAGTCAATCTGCGGATTTCTATAAAAGTGGTATCAAAAGCTTGAAGGCCAATGGAATAAGTGTATTGAGATGAATGAAGATTATATTGAAAAATAAAATTGCAAAAGATATTCTGCGACTTGGTCTTATATTGAAGTTGCAAAACTTATTGAACGCCCCTCGCATCAGCTTCATGTGAGAGGAAAGCCCGAAGTTATGCAGGTCTTAGATGTTTACCACTTTCATGAAACCCACAAGCACGGATGGGTTCTGACAAATTTAGAATCGGGGTAAACCGGGATTCGAAACCACCATCATTGGGCCACCCGTAACGTGAGTGAGTGTGGCTTAACGCCGCTTTAAATAGTATTAAATAATATTTCAGGAGCGCCCCAACTGATCCAGATTTTACACATCTACCACGTTGGTGATGCCAACGGGTATGGAACTGACACACCTAGGAACAAAATCAGGACGAATCAGAGATTCGGCCCCTCGATTCTGGCACGCCTAAGGGACGCAACTATTACAGCGAATTGCGGCGCCTTAGAAGACCCATTCCCCTTTAAGATCATATAACTATGAGTGAGTGAAGGAGTTGAATGTAACGCCCCTTTCAACAGTATTTCAGTTATATCACGGCATGTCAGATTGATTTGGTGGGAA